ATCACTCATTGAAAGCTTAAGGCCGACGAGGATATCCCATTCCCGGGTTATCCTAATGGCCAACTTTTTCTAAGTTTCTTGTTCTTTCCCTTCTAGACCTTATATGCGCTTGCAGAGATGTATGCAGTAGAAAAGTAATCAATCGATAGGCGGTGCACAGGGAAGTAATAACGCGGTACCGTGGTGATCGATCTTGATTGTTGGAGGTGGCAACGCGGCACACATCCCACATCCATGGAGTTGATCATGGATAACAAGTAGTACATGGGGGTAAGATATAGCGAGGCGGGTATTTGTTCAGTAATCTGGAAGCAGCACGGCCCGGGAGGCATCGCGGCTCGAGGTGGGTACCTAGCTCAGCTAGCTTGCATTCTGGGTGGGATTGAATAGAATCAATGAGGTCGCTGTGAACAATTTATACTATAGCTATAGATTTATGATTATAGTTGATATTGTGAACGTCTAAATAAAGATAGCTCAGAGAGTCTGCCATGATTTTCGTTTTGTACTAAATAGTAGTGCACGTGGTGGTAATGACGGTCGATTCAAAGCGATCATGAAGTACACGGTTGATACAATTTTCAACCATTCGATCTGGGCACCGGAATACACCTTATGATTTACCTGGAAATAGATGTGACCGAACCCTTGGGTGACCAGTGCAGCTAAGTAATCTTATGTTAATTGCAACAAAATACTACGTAGCCCGTGGTGAGTATTTATCCTGTAGCTGCTATATATTTCATGATTATAGCCATTGTATATGTGGGCACGCATGGGGGTTGGCACCTCGTGCTATCGTCTAGTCCTGTAAACTCATGTGGGGCGCCCTGTGGGTGAATCTTTTTTTTTTTTTACAATGAAGTCCTACGGAGTGGATGTTTATAACTATGCAAATGCTCGGGATTGATGATTACATGACATCAATTAGGGTGTATAACCAGTTAGTTTTATCTCAATTCATGCTTAAATTCGATTCATCGATTCCTGATGGCAGTTTCACACACCTATTCGTCATATGTGCCAGCGTGATAATCATCATGTAAGCGTTTCCTCAGGTAATAGTTTTGTTTTGGTACGAGTGCTTGCCTAGATAGATAAATCCTAAAGGTGATAATACCATGACATTGTAATATTACTGTATACTATTTCCTGGGGCTTGCAGACCCCTATAGTCATTGTAGCTTTGGATATCCAGAATGTCTATAAATTAAGGGCAAAAGACTTGCGTACCACGGATCTAAAAGGTTTTAATTTAGGGGGTGAAAAGCCTTGGATACAAAACTTTTCCTTATTTCTCCAGTAAGAAATGTTATTCCCTACCTTTGAAATACAACGCTTCTTCCCTAACTTTCCAGTAGAATTCTAGATCTTCTTTCTACCTTCACCTTCACAGCACGGACCTCTGTCTTTCAGGTAAAAATCTTTCAGTACTAATCTAAGAATTAATTCTGCACTGGAAAATGGGAACTCTAGCTGTGCGCCCTCTGCTCGCAAACATTAGACGTGTTCAAAAAAACATATTCGGGAGTATAGACAGAACATAATTCCTTAAATTTAGAGTTTATAGTGCCATAAAATCTGCTTTTCAAAAATTAAACCATAACCATCAACTCCCTCAAAGGATATCGTGGATTTAGCTCTAATTATGCGCCGTAAGGGACTCGAACCCTTCCCAGTTGCTAACATTGATAATGGAAGGCAACTATGCTACCCCTGCACCAACGGCGCTTGATGAAAGAGACATGGATTAAAATTTTCAGCCATCCTATAGCGCTAGTCTTATCATGGGCGATACTTAGTTGGCTCACTACAATACCGGAAATGGGGGTAATTACGCCACGGTAGTGCTCTTTTATTGCCTGTGATACCATCGGAGTCCTATGATACTTCCGTAGTCTGTTATATAATAGACTATTAGTATAAGTAGTAGCAATCAGGTAAAAATAAAATGTATTTAGAAATACGAATTATTCAGTCAATACTGATTCTCTTACATCCAGTATTCTTACAGTATTGTAAGAAATCTAGTATTGGTACGGTATTGATTCGGTAATTCGCCTAAATGCCGCATCAGTATCACTAAAGTTTATAATAAAATGTCATTTTCAGGTATCGAGACTAGCAGGTTCTCGATATAGAATTTAAAACTGACTGTAGGGGTTGTATTTTTGTCAGTTTTGATACCCTGGGTGGCTGGTACGTACATGCGCATGTGAATGAATTCAATCAGATACATGTTGTAGGCTGGTTTATATAGGGTGGTAAGTCTGTTTGGAGTTAATAGCTGACGAAGCCTATACTAGTACATGTAGCAAAGTACTGTGTGACACTGTACTAGTCACAGCGTGACAGCAATGAGAATGACAGTACGTGGCATGCGGCGTTACTGATGGTCAGAGCGGGGGTGGCTTTGATGGCCGCCCTGTGCGGGCATACTAGAATTATTGATATGGTATTGTGATGGTATTGATATAGTATCCCTCAAAATTTATTATTTTCCGCCATACAGTATCAGTTCTGTCTAAATGCAGCACTTTATTTAACACGTCTTAATAGGAATAAAATATTCCCAACACTACTGGTTTAACTTCGGGGCATCTGAGCAGCAAAAAATTGCGCACCTTACAGCATTACTCCTGTAACTAGGGTACCCCGATTTCCGGTATTGTACTTGTAGCGGTGTTACCTGTCCTGGCACAAAACTCACTACATTGTAGAGCCATGTACACACTTATAATTCAGTGCGTATTAATACAGCGACCTACATCTTATGGAAATTATTCACTCCGACAAACACGTATAGATGGGATACACCCATGTCCCGAGTCCTCCATAAGACTACAAAAGGTACTAGAAGACGGGTTTTTTTTTCCTTTCCAAAAAAAGGTCAACCCTAATTTCTAAAGCCCTGTTCTGTCTATGGGTTCTGTGAGACCTGTATTTTTTTATCCCCAATTCGACTACGTTATGTACCGATCAATTTTCTAGCTACAAATTTGCCAGCCAATTACTGCTATCCTTATAATAACTCTCAACAAATCCAACCGACCCCGTCTGAGTTTGAGATCTACTAAGTAACCCACAAACCTGTACTAGATAGGTTCTTTTACTATCCATTAGTTAATAGATACCGGCCGTTTCCCGTGAGGGTTGGGTTGTCTTATCAATTACTAGATCTGAATCAATCTCTCACTAATTATTCGTCTAGTTTGTTGTGACTTTTGGCCCCCACAAAAAGGGATCGTACAAGGTTTAGCCAACTTCCTATGCGACACGGGCCGAGTGATGGATGATGAAAACGATATTGCAGTCATCATGTGACATGGTAGGGTGTGATAGGTTTGTATTAGAGTATCGTTGGTCTCTATATTCCGATACTTGTAATTATAAATAAAATAGAGAAGATGGTGGTCCGTATCTAAATGTTAATCACCACTAAATGTTAATCGTAAAATATAACCATTTGGGTTCCTTGTAATATAGACCCAAACCCACTAAACCAAGCCTTGGAAACCTAGGCAGATATTTTCTCGGTATCGCCTAGACGTTGAGTAGGTAGATCGAGACCATAGCTAACTGTTGTCCTTCATTCGCGGTACGTGGGTAGATGTCCTTCATGAATCAACAGCGAATTAATTCAGAAGGTGAAAGCCGGTATTAGGGGCTGGGGGATGAAATTTCACCTCTGGCTTTCGTGGCATCCTAAACCATATGCTGCGCCTCTAAGTCTTGCGTATGTGTTCAAACTTGCGGACATAGCTTACGCAATATTGCTCTCCTCCGTGACCCATATAGTGAGGCCGTGACTCCAATCTCCGCCGATCACAGGTCAGCCTTGGAAAGGACAATATGCCAGTAACTGTCAATCGACCTGGATTTGATTCGTACAACCTTATTTAAACAGGTAGGCTGTGTAATTCTGGAACCTTCTGTGCTGTCAAGACAAGACAATTTATGAGCGATCACTTAGTTGGTCTGTGAACGTTTGATGTTTCTGAGCTCGAGCCTCAGGGGGCCCACTAATGTCTTGAATTCAAAACTCAGGAAATGCGCAGTTGAGACCAAAATCGAGGCGTAGAGTTTTGAAATCATCTCCGATTGGATTTTCATTGTAAGGTCTTGGCAGAAACTTACACCCCTGCTCGCACCCGCTAAGCCTGAGCGGGGACTGCAACCCGAATACTTGTTTCCACTCACCAGCTATCACTCATATGCAATGAAATCAATGATCGCCGATATCATACTGATATCGGGATGTCGAAAAATTCTTCAGTGGCACAACTTTCCTGCGGAAGGCGTGAATTGTTTTCCTCGCAGCGGCTACGCCTCCTGCGTACGTGGAAATAAGCTTAACTCACCAGCCCCTGTTGTAAATCATTACAGGGCTAGATCATTGGCTTTGTTAGTGAAGATGCTTATTTTTTAGGTAGAAGTTTTCAGAAATCGAACTTTGAGATGGGGATCGAGGAGGTTTATAAAGTGTGACGTATCTCCCCCACGCCGTCGCTTCTTTCCTTTTTTCGGAGGCACCCGAAGTTTGTCAAAAAATATTGCATAAAAAAATATGTAGGCCGACGGGAGATGGACGGATTAACACACTTGAGATGTCATGGCTTGCATGATCCGATCTAGATTTATCTGAGGGGTATCTGGTGAGACTTCCTCTACAGGTTCCTGTGCCTGTGCTTGCGTTGTGCCCCCGTGCGAGGCTATTGCGTCGTTGGGTTGGTCGTAACCGTGAAGCAAATCATGAGTTATATTGCTACCGTCAAGGTAATACTTATTAGTTTGTTCACAGTTCAGATCATGTATTATCACTCAATGTCAGTATAGCCAAACATATGACTAGTACTCCAGAATTTCATTTGCGAGTTTTTTTTCCCCCCACTCTAAATACCCAACAAACCCAAACTCCCCTAGACTTTTTTTTGAATACCATAAAATTCAACAATCCGCTTACATGGTCCATACGATTCGGAATCCGGCCCCTCGGGAACCTACGCCTTCCACTGCAAACCCCAAATTTTCTCCCCTGCGTGGAACGGCACGACAACCCCCTCACCTGCTCCGATCGTGTCAACCACAACTACCCCCGGATCCTTACTCAGCACAATGACCCCACCATCCTTGCTGCCCAAACCCTTCTCTACGATCTTGTAAAATGCTCTCCCGAAGTCACACGCAAATCCCTTCAGCATATCGACCCTCCCCGCCCTATCAAACGCAGTAGCAATATACTGCACCGCATACGGCTGCGTAAACACACCCGCCGCAGTTTTTCCAGTTGCAGTACCCACCTTTGCAGATTTAGGGTGCGGTGCGGAATCGGTTCCAAGGAAAAACTTCGGATTTCCTGATGTAGCAGCCTTAACAAGTGCTGCACGATCTGAAGGAAGTTTTGCAACAGGCTTGCAGAAGCAGTGCGGGTTGTCGGCCCATTGATCAATAGTCAAGTATAGGTGGTGAGCAGTGATAGTTGCTGCAACTGTAGGACCACATTTTTTGACGGCCTCGACTGCCGCAGCAGTAGTGCAGTGTTCAAGGACAATGCGGAGCTTGGGGAACTTTTCATGGATGTCGAATAGGGTTGGGAGGAAAGTTTCTTCGGCATTGAGGACTGTAGTGGTCTCCGACGATGGGGATTCACCATGGAGGTTGAGAACTAAGTCATGCTCTTCCATTGCAGCGAATACAGGATAATACTGTGTATACGAGACAACACCGCTCTCAGAATTGGTAGTAAGTCCTTTGGGATAGGATTTAACACCGAAAATCTCATTTGTTTTGGCGGCCTCGGCAATGACAGCGGGGGTAATTTCGGGGGAGAGGTAGAGTGTCATCATGTAAGTCACGGAGCTATCAATAGCCTGAAGCCTCGCATGGTAGGATAAAGCTTGCTCGACCGTAGTAATCGGAGGAACGAGGTTTGGCTATGTATATATATAAATAAATAAAATAAGAATATTGGCTTGAATTGAATATTGATAATTGCGTGATGGGCCGTGAATTACCATAACATAGACGAGAGAAACGCCACCCTTCTTAATAGTGGGTACAACGGTTTCCATCATGCTGCCATCACGAAGATGGACGTGGAAGTCCGCAGCTGCGGGCAATTCGATTGAAGTCATGGTGATAGTTGATGTTTCGGAGGAATGGAAAGATCGAGTGGGTTGGGTTGGAGGGTGGTTTCTGGAAAATCTTGAGATCTTTTGTTGAGTGATTCCGTATTGTGTTATCTTTTCTGAAAGATAATATGTTTACTGATGAATCAACCCGGCGAAACACTTGACAGATGAGGCAGTCCCCAGTGTGGGGAACTTCAAGCCTTGGCATGCAGGGTAACCTGGAGGCTCTTCTTGCCAACACAGGGGAATTAACAATCGGCCTAGGAACATCACCACCAGCTATTCTACCAATTTTTCAAATCTATCTTGTGGCCAGGCATCTCCATATTTCTCCCTGAGATATTTTCTGTCAGGACGCTTTGAATTGCGTTGTGGACAGCTAGTAAGCTACCTCACCCCGCAATGGCTCTCGACTCTCTTCACAATCAGCCCGTCGTTATCGACAATGGATCAGGAACTGTCAAAGCTGGGTTTGCTGGAGAAGACCTACCGAAATGCTTCTTCCCTTCCTTTGTAGGACGACCAAAACATACCAGAGTGCTTGCAGGAGCATTGGAGGGTGATGTATTCATAGGATCTCGAGCACAGGAATTGCGTGGTTTGCTCAAGATCAAGTATCCGCTGGAGCATGGAATAGTTACGGATTGGGATGATATGGAGAGAATCTGGCAGTATATCTACAGTGAGGAGCTCAAAACACTATCAGAAGAGGTAAGCTTTATGGGTTGATTTCATTATTTATTTTTATTGGAAATATTCTCTAGAGGTTTAGTAGTAACGAGCGGGGGGAAGCTAATTGGGTTATGGGTTAGCATCCAGTGCTTTTGACAGAAGCGCCACTGAATCCTAGAACGAATAGAGATACAGCTGCTCAAATATTTTTCGAAACTTTTAATGTGCCTGCTTTATTCACTTCTATACAAGCTGTTTTATCACTGTTTGCTGCCCGGTCCATTTGTTGATTACGTTTTACAACGCCAGTGGAATATCAATTTGCTAATCCATGGTCACACTGGATATTCAGATACGCTTCCGGTCGAACAACGGGCATAGTTCTTGATTCCGGTGACGGTGTTTCCCACGCTGTCCCTGTATATGAGGGATTCGCAATGCCCTCAGCTATCCGCCGTATCGATGTAGCTGGTCGCGACGTGACCGAGCATCTGCAGGTCCTGCTACGAAAAGCTGGTGCTGTGTTCCACACATCTGCCGAGAAGGAAGTTGTACGGCTGATGAAGGAAAAGGCTTGCTACATTGCCTCTGACCCAAAGAAGGAGGAGAAGGAGTGGGCAGGCGGCGGGTCAGGCAGAGTCGAGGAGTATAGATTACCGGATGGCCACGTTTTGCGGGTAAGGGACCCGTACACTATTGCATGAAGTAAAAGCTTGACGTTAACATCATATATGCGGATAGCTCGGTTCAGAGCGTTTCAGAGCTCCAGAGATATTGTTCGACCCAGAAATCATTGGTCTTGAGTATCCAGGGATCCACCAAATTGTAGTAGACGCCATCAATAGAACGGATATGGACTTGAGGAAGGATCTATTCGGCAACATTGTTTTGTCGGGGGGCTCCACCCTCACCAGAGGTACGTTTTTGGCCTGTACGAGGGTCGCCATTGCTGGTAGCCTCGTGGCAGAACCTATGGTGTTTATTAACCGCAAATTGTGTGCGCACTTTATGTTCACGCAGCTGACCGTGTCTTAAAAATGGTTGTACAGGGTTTGGTGACCGACTTCTTTCGGAGGTGAAACGTCTGGCGGTCAAGGATATGAAAATTAAAATATTTGCGCCGCCAGAACGCAAGTACAGCACATGGATTGGAGGTTCAATTCTAGCGGGGTTGAGCACGTTTAGAAAGGTCAGTCTTATGCCATTTTCACACAATTCTTTAATATACGCCCATTCGGTTAGAGGTGATCTCCGGGTTGACCCTAACCGTCCGCTTACGTTTCATGTTGCAACTTCTGCATTTTTTTTACGTGTTGAAAATATACTATCCCTGTGGCTTGGCATGTGGATCTTCTGTAGCAAACCACACTTGACACGTGTGGGGTACTACTATTTCCGCAACCACAATTCGTAGAGAACCTAGCGTCACATCATCATCTGAATATATTAGGCTAACATACACCTTGGTGTACCTGTATTAGATGTGGGTGAGCATCGATGACTGGCATGAGAACCCGGAGATTATCCACACAAAATTTAGCTCTTAGCCCCGTGCAAGTAAAGGGCAGTCACTGCTGGAAATACACCTAGAAAGACGAGCCAAAGCCATCATAATTCAACGAGATTAGTTGTGCTGCTGCTGAGATGTTGTGCTTAGATTAGGGAATAACATCACATTCATAATGTGCATTTACAGGGAGTTGTTTTTTACTGGTTTGTTCAAAGAGGAAGCCACATACCCTATTCTTTCTTCGTTCTATTAAATAATTGCGCGCTTTGGCCATATAATTGTTATGTACGTACCTGTATGTACGACGATTAATTGCGGGGAAGGAGAGAGATTTTAGGTAAAGAATTGACTCGCGTACTACCGAAATCTCCGAACCGGTGGGCTTTTGCCTTGCGTCTGTCTGTTCACCTAACTCCACGGATCACCGGCTGAAAACCGTGCATGCCTTTTTTTTCTTTGTGTTTTTTTGATTTTTGTAGCCTAGGTCTTAGGACGCCTCGGATCCCCCTTCCCCTGGCTTTGTTACTATTTTTCGGCTGAGTGCCAATCTCACCCAATCAACCAAAAGCAAAGGGATCAGCTCCAGCCCAAACTTACCACTCGTCTTGAACATCGTGAGAATGCTGTTTTGTTTACTTTTGTTTGTTGCGGTTACTGCTTCCGTTTGAGATCACGAGATTCGGTGTTTCGGGTCTGGTTACCCGCCCAACCAATCCTGTTTATGGTGGCTTTCTTTGTACTCTGTATTTCCTCGTTATCTGCCATCATATACATAGTCAATCATCATCATCATCAGCATCACCGTGGCCACAATTCATCATCAGGTTACTTAGCGTCATACTAAAATATGACGACAGGTTGTATTTTGACAAGTTTACTCTAGGTTCTTAACGCCTCCTTGGACGGGTATGGCAGATGGAATGGTATGGATAGACGCGGAATGTCAAAAGATTCGGTCTAGAGAGGCGAATAAATGGATCTTCAAGTGCCAATTGCAAAGTGTTGAATCATGAGAATGAGTTGCGGGTATATGTATGAGTCTTTGAGATTCAAAAGCCGAGTATAACCATAATGTAGTTACAAACTCTCCCGCCACCATATTATATCGTACAGGCTAGCTAAGTAACTAGTAGTAAACTGAGTAGAAAATTCGTTAAAAAATGGAAAAAACGCTCAACACCACCAGTCTGATAGCAGACAAAAGAAAAAAATAAGCAAGTCCCGTTGTTCCATGTTCCAAAGTCCCAAGATTTTCCAGATCCATATTCCCAAACTTTTTTTTCCCACAGGTTTTTTCTCTTTTAAGAAGGTTGAGGGTGGTGCGTACAGGAGAGAGGAGGAAGATGCCACTTCCCACCCCCTGCCTGCTAAAAAAAAAATAAAAAAAATACAGTTTGTTTAAAAAATACATAAAAAGAAGGAAAAAAAAGTATAGACGCCACAAAGATTTAAATCGACGATTTCCAAAAACAATTCCCGCCTGCAAAAGAAATAAATATCAAGTAAAGCAAATATTATCCCGTCCAAGTTTTGCCGGAGAAAGAAGGTAAAAGCAGGTATATACAAGCTTTTTTTGCTTCTTTTTCTGACCGACTAACTAGGCTATTGAATCATTCGCCGACCGACCGACCGACCGACCGACCGAGGTTGAACTCCAGAGACGAAAAAGAGATGTAGGAAAGAACGCAATGTTGAAATTGGATTGGACCTATGATCTCGAGTTGACGCGAGTCAAAGTGTCCCACACCTTGTCGGCTCCTGACCTTATGCTTGAGGTTGAGAAGCGGGGAGCTGATCTGATTGAGCAAGTGGAGCTAGTTGAGCTTCGTGGTGAGTCCGGCTCAGTTGAAACAGTGTTGCTGTGGGCAGGAACGACGTTTCCGGCACCTCCACGGCCAATGGAGTAGACTGGGGCGTGGTGCTGGTGGAACAATCGATCACGCTCAAGCTCCTCGTCAAAGGAAAACATTGCTCGCTCGGTCTTGGGCTTGATGTTTCCGGCACCGCCGCGCCCCCCAAAGAAAAACTTGAGTGTGAGGGGTAGTGGCAGGTGTAGTAGTGGGGATAGTAGTTGCTGGGGGAGTGGAGCTATAGAAACTGCTGGTAAGACGGCGGTAGTTGCCTGCACCGCCGCGGCCGGCGTGGTAGTAAGCACCGCTGTCGTGGACTGGAGAACCCTCGGTGATTTGGATGGTCATTTTGCTGGTTTGGAGAGTTGTGATGTTTGGTGATGGTTATTTAGGTATGGTAGTAAGGTAGAAGCTAATTGAATTCAAGTTCGAGAGCTGTTTGTATTGATGGTATTGAGGAAAGATATGAGGATGCTATATATATTTCCACTCGAGGGGGTTGGTGTTATATATACGATATGAGTATATTTGTTGGAAGCTGTGAGTGAATAAGACACCGAAGATGTAATTGCTGTGTATTGTTGTGTGTGTGGATGAAGAAGTCAATTCTAGTGGGAAGCCAAAGAGGCTTTATATTCCAGGAAATAAACCAGTGCCCTGAAGATCGTGGGACTCATTGTGGTATGCTATGGGCAAATAATAACTTTGGGGCGTCGGCATCCATCCTTGGCTGACTGACTGACTCGTAACAACACCACTCAACATCTTACCAGTCCACCACCATCCATCAAAGCAGACCCAGTCACGAGGGGCCGCTACCGCACTTGGACCACCATGACCTAATTTCGCCATTGAGATTTGTTATTGCCCATACCTACTCTATGTGATCCAGTACACACACCCATACATCAATCTATGCCATGCCACCACTACAACTACCTCCTGGCCATGGTTCAACCAGACGCAGGAGGCCGTCGGTCTACTATCCAGTGGAGTGGGCCAGCTTCATTGTGGCCACCAACTGAGTGACTACTTACGAGTACCTACTGCTCCTGTTAGAGTACCCGTATGTGCTACTGCAACTGCAACTGCAGGTCAATGTTCAAACATTCACTGCACCACTGCACTTTGAAAGAGCCGAGAACAAGTGAGTGTGAAAAAAAAAACGATTTACATCTACTAACGCAACGCCCCCTGCCGCTGGTTCGGTTAGGGCTGCGGATAGGGGATGAGCACAGGGCTCCCTTCGCGGTTATATTGCTTCTTTCTGCAAAGGGAGGGAAGGAGAAAAAATATCATCGTGAGAAATGATGACGAGTGAAATTTTTTTAGGTGAAGGTGAGGTGCCATGCCATGCCGACCGTTGCAGTAGGCCCTACTCCTGTTCTAGGCGCTTTCATTACGAGAAGAAAACTGCGCAACCAACCAAATATGGTCGTGGAGGGGTTGCCAGGCGAAGCCTCCTTCCCGTAAATGGGCATGGCTGTTAGGTAATTGTGGAGCACGGGTTGGCCATCTGACCTTTGTTGGTTGCAAGGGAAGTTAGGAAAAATGGAAGTGACTTCAAATGGCCCAGGTGTGTGGGTGCTGTCAAAGAATTATTTCTTTCTTCTTCTTTGGTTGCGCAAGAATACGTTATTCCCGCCTCATTTCAGCAGGTCAGACCCAACATCCAAGTGTGGCGCGTCCTGCTTCAAAAAAAATTGAATCGAGGCTGGAGGAAATTGATCAGAGGACGTTTCTTCTTGTGTCGTCCCCAACTCGATCTGATCTCCCTAGAGACGTCATCAGACGCACGAAACCCTAACTGACTGACCTGAGCTCCAAGGACGCCGTACCTAGGCAGACGGACAGAAGTGAAAGAAAAAGAACATTTCAAAGAAAAAGAAACACAGAAGCGATGAGGAAAATTTTTTCCATGCGTTCCAAACAAGGCACCAACTTCTTCTTTCTAACAATAGTTCATTGATCCCCACAAAACCGTCCCAGCCAAGAGCTCAGTCCACCTGGGTACATAGAGTACATGTGGGTATGTGGGTAGGTTGGAGCAAGCTCGCCGCCTCGCCGCTGGGCGTTGACCCCAAGCTGCAGGTACATCCCCAAGATCTCGCCATTCCAATTCTAATTCACGACAGACACACGTGCACTAGAACATAGCCGGCATAAATCATTATTTTGAACCTGAATCCCTGGTTGTTCCCCGCAATACTTTACAACTGAGAACTCCCTCGTGGCTTTTCGAGACCGCACATGCTGCTCTTTGTCCTCTAGGGGTAGCCCAACGCGAAGAACACCGGTAGAAGTGGCGTCTGTGCGAGTTGCTTGGAGCGGTTGGCCGAGAATGCCGAGAATAGCCCCCTTCGATCGTATCGGTGAAATTGACAGCTTGAGGAGGCTCGGTGTTCGGATTGCGTGCAAAGGCCGACGGGCCCCTGGTTACATGATGCGCTCTTCCCTCTCGGGCAGATCACTTGACACTGCAAATCTCAAACTTCCATAACCAAGGCACCGTGCGTGCGGCGTAAGGGAGTGAAATCTGGGGGAGACCTACTGCTTCAGAAATCTGATGCAGGTGAGGAAAAAATCTGAACCAAACCTGGGAAGGCGAAACTGCAACATAAAAAGCAATTCACAACGTTCCAAGACCGAGCTGGCGTCATATAAGCGTCAATCCTTTCTTGTCTTAAACTTCGGGGTTAGAGGCATTCAATTGGCCCTTGGCCTCTAGCTAGTACTGGTACTTCACAGGAAAACAACAAGAAAAGTGCCTTAGCAACCGGTACTGCGTGACCGCCTTTTTTTTCCTTTTCAAAAAGCAAATAAAAATCATTCTCTGATCGAAAGCACCTTCTCGGCATCGTGAAAAGTGAGAAGCTGGACCTGGTTATGCCTTGGCACCTGGGAGAAATTTTCTCGCCCACAACACTCCAGCTAACGTCCCAACGCAAATGCAACCCCGAGTCAGCACACCACAACGAGGATCGTGAGATTGCACAGGGCCATATGACGTTTGAGACTTGTCATGAGGTACTTTGCGAATTGTCTAAGCGGACAAGAGTAAAAAGTTCACTTACCAAGCACAACAAGCAAATATCTGAACACGCCCCCCTTCTTGTTGGAAGAGCCTAGCAAGAAGGCCCAAAGCCATAAGGACTGTGGCAAATGTTTTCCATCTCTTCCAAATTTCACGGCTGGGTGAGCCACAAATCTTTTGTAAGCCGCAAGCTTCTTTGGCGTGTAAGGTGGGTAGCGAATCTATTGAGACAAAAAAAAGAATCAACACCAAAACATTAGTTCGTTATTCCATCGTTCCCTCGATGAGTCTAGAAAGTGCACAACACAACGGTACTGAAAAAGGAAGCCGCATTCAAGCGAGTGTTTATGGCCAAAAGAAGCAAAATGGCCACAGACTGCCGGTAAATGTCCCATCGTGACATTCACACGCGAGCGTCCTCTGAAAGCATGGGAGGAGAAATGTGTTTTTTGGAAAAGGGGAAAAAGCAACGCGGACCAAACTTACGCTGAGCTGCCCCTCAACCCAGAGTGGCTGACTGAGGATCGGTCGTCTGTGTACGAATGAATCAAAAGTATCACGGCCTAGAAGCACCCCAGATTATTTAGCACAAAAGCAAGGCTTGCATACCCGCTAGCTGGTATTTCCCCGCAAAAGTAAATAATGCTCGCCAGTGCTCCTCTGTTCGTCCATACAAGGGAAAGGGAGTCGAAGGGGGAGACCACGAGACCGTCGCCAAGGATCGTGACAACGAAACACCAGCTCAACTCACCTCTGTACTTTCCATGTCCGGATTCACCAACCCCGCCGAAGGGAATGTAGCTGTTTGAGGCATGAAGAATCACACTGCGTTTTATTTATTGTCAGCAATTCGAACATTGCTTGCAGAGGGTTCCAAGCGCATCACTAATTCACGAAAGCAACAGCTCCATAGGAATACAGCTCCGTAGTCAGAGAGCCAATGCGAAGGTTGAAGACTTGGTCATGCTCCACTTCAACGACTAGGAAACGCAAGGGGTTGTGAAACTTACTCATTAATGGAGACACCCCCAGACCTCACACTCTTGAGAACTGCAGCCGCGGTTATTCACCGTGTTGACAAAGAGCAGCTCCCCGTTGGCGAGCATAAAGTGGCCGCCGGCCAAAACTGAGGCGGGCCGACTGAGGTGAGCGAGGATGGACTTACTCTTTTCTTGCTCCAACTTATCCGCAGAGAAGATGTACATCGCCAGCGGCGTATCCCCCAGCCTCTTCGCCAATAATACCATCTCATCGACTTTTCCTACAACCATCATAGGAATCACAGGGCCGAAAATTTCTTCGCTCAACAAACTATCACTCGAATTTGTCACTTTCACAAGTGTTGGTTCAATGAACCTTGTTGACTCGTCGACGCTTCCGCCACACAAGACTGTTCCACTACTGTTGTCCAACAGCTTCTTGATGCGGTTGAAGTTTCTATCATTGACTATTTTGCCGTAATCCGGGGAGGCCTGCGCACCATTCGGGAGGTATATTTTGAGTGCATTTTTGAAACTTTCGACAAATTCGCGCTCGAGGCTAGGGTGTATGAGAACGTAATCAGGTCCTAGACAAATTTGGCCGGCATTGTGGACCTTCCCCCAGGCGATCCTTTTAGCAGCAGTTTTTACATCGGCAGATTTGGTGACGAACACGGGGTTTAAACCGCCTCTGCAGATGGGTTGTCAGCGCGATTTTCTGCAATTGGTGCGATCAACCATATTAAGGCCAATAGCTATAGCATGACACCATTAAGGGTGCAACTAAGGGTACTTTAGAGTTGATGAGAAGCAGAATATCGCTCGACCAAGCCTTTCAAGCTCTTCCGGGCTTCATCAAGCTGCGTCAGACTCCATCAAGCTGTGTCAAGCTCCATTAAGGTTTCAAGGGTGAGCTTCTCCGAGCTTCTTCAGAGCATTGAGTTGCAGCTCAAGTCCCCAAGTACCTGAGCAGCTTACTGCTCGTAGGGGATTGATACAAGACTACCAAGTATTCCACTCTTCAAAGGGCATCGCTTTTCAAAAGTCTTCATTTGGGACAGGAAAACCCACAATTCCAATATACAAGGCGTCAAATGCTTCGCTGCCGCTGTAGCAACAATTTTCCCCACATAAGTGCTTCCCGTGTAGACAATCTTATCAAACTTCAGCTCCAGGAGCTTCGTCGTCACATCGACCCCGCCATTGACGACCGCGTAAAATTCACTGTCCAGAACATCCTCGACGATTTTCGCAATAAGTGCAGAAGATCTTGGAGTCAGCTCACTGGGTTTCACAACGGCTGCGTTACCGCCGGCTATCGCTCCAACTAGCGGACTGATGGTCAATTGAACGGGGAAGTTTGAAGCTCTGTCGGACCAGAAGTATGCAAGTCAGTTCAAGTTCAGGTCCTGTTATGTAATTCATCAGTAGGTCAAATTTGTTTTAACACTCGAGAGTGATGACAATTTGTGCTGTCCCACACACCCTTGCTTCCTTGGTATAGCCGGTGCTCAATGTGGCAAAGAAACCCCTAATATTCGGGGGAGAAAACGAGAGCAAATACAGCGTTTCCCTGTGAGGCGAGCATTCACCTACTCGTGCGGCCCTGTTATGTCCTCCGGGCTGCATATAATTAATGAATTTCAATCAATCAATCAACCAATCGATCGGCCGATCAATTAATCAATTAATCAATTAATAGTCGTGCGGCCGGTTTGAAGCCACCCAAAGAACTATGGCGAGTAATACCATAGGCAACCCAATATAGCTCACGATGAAGGCCAAAGACCATCCAACAGTGCGAGTGATTGGGCAGCTAATAAGAGCTCACATTGTTGCAGTCTTTAGATCAATTACCCTTCTGTCTGAGCGGCTTCAATCTGACATCTCGAGTACAAATATCCCTTGACTGCAGATTTTAAGTGATGTAGGTCCTCTCTGCTCGGTATCCCGCGTGCTCACGACGCAGGGAAACGCTGTAATGAAGAACGAGAAGAAAAAAGACCAAAAAAAGAATAGGACTCTACCCAATAATTAGAATTGTTCCCATAGGATCTTTCCTCATGACTGGTCTGTTGACAAGCTTGGTAGTCCATGGCACGTCGGTGATAGGCTCATCCGCCGCCCAGGTCTTGAGGTTCTCCATAACATTCACGATGTCGCTCAATGGCCACGCGAACTCGGTCATGAATGTCTCAAAAACCGGCTTCCCGATATCGGCTGCCAACGCATCATAGAGTGCCTGCTCATTGTCTCGGAGACCCCAGTAGAGGCGGCCGAGCTGCTCAAGGCGGAAAGAGAGCGGGTGAGACTTGAGAGTGCCGAAGGCCGCGTCTAGGCGGGTGACCGTTGACGCGATCGAGTCCACAGGGGTTGGGGTGAAGGAGGCCATAACGCGCGGGTGTGTCGGAAAGGTCGTTTGGGATTTGTTGTCGAGAAAGAGATGTAGATGTAATTAGGTTATTCAGAATTTAGAGGGATGTGATGGGATGGGATACGTTGGGGACAACTTGGGATCTACGGTATCCGGATTGCCGACCTCACACAGAGGCTAAAGGCTAGGTGAAAATCACACGGGACAAACCGAGGCCGACAGCTCGTTCGTTCCCCACAGATCAGTCCTGTTTCAGGGTCTTCAGGGCGCGATTTCAGTCCGGAAACGAATCTCTTCACATGTTGTGATGAGGACAGGTTAGCCATATACGGCTAGCCCTACGCCACACTGCAACGGCGGGACCGAGGCAAACCGGCTTTTGTGGAGGATCTGCGACGGTTTCTTCCTGTCGTGCCACACCAGAACTCTGGCCAATCAGGAGAGGACAGCCTGCAGGAATCCCAACGACTCGGTTTGGGGCGGTCTCGGGTGCTTGTGGTAGGCTGAAGGTGGGTTCCGATTCGATCCGAATTTCGGGATCTCCTTTGCTTCCCGTTTGCTGGAGAAGCTTAAATGTGCCTGAATCAGGTTACTGGATTTGTCTGCGCGGCGGGAGGGAGGGAAGTTTAAATCTGGGGAGCGTGGCTGCTTGCGGGGAGGGAAGGCTGGCTTTGGGCGAGACATAATCAGGGCATAGTGCGTTTGGGTTCACAACTTGGACTGGAGCACGATATACCACTATACAACACTTTTCAAGTTTATTACAAGACTCTTTTTAAGTTTTGTGCACCCGGTTGGGGAAATTTGGCTGTTTGAGTTATGTACAAGTACAAATATTTGGGGAGCAGTAAAAAAAAAAAAAAAAAAAAACAGGCTAGAATTCAAGCTCCTTTGAAATTTCCGAATCACCTTCAATTTCCACGCATTTGGCACACCCGACAGTCTACGGCGGGTTGCCGTAGAGTAGGATAGGAGAGCAGTATGTTGACTCGACGGTGGATGAGAAGGCAAAAAAGAAAGAATTAGTATTGTGACCTTTGACGCAATAAATCGACGATCTTCCTAACGCAGCTGAGTTGACCGCGCCTAGGAGTTTCGAGGGCGGGTGTGCTGCGCGAGGTGGTGGAGTAGAGTAGGTGCGGGGTCAATGATCAGTCAATATCTCATGCGGGATACCCTCGGGCCCGCAGAACCTCAGCCGCGGCCGTCTCGCGAGGAGCGGATCAAGCGAGGCTTAAACGGCTGAGACCGGCAAGTTATGCAGGAATCGCCGGCAAGGTCCATCTGTGTGTGTGTGTGTGTGTGCTATGTGTGAAACAGATCTTTTGCACTTGTTACGAAAGAACTTCACTAGCTAGGTAGTTGCGTGCGCACATTGTACCCTATCACAATGACTGACTCGGATGCCTATTATACGAAGTTTCCTTGGCCGGTACAGAAAAAGGTCCCCGAAATTAACAAGAGGGCTCTCCTTGCATTGGTTTTGTAATGGTAATGGGACGGATGGGTACATACGAGCTTGGGGCATTTTCAAGATTGTATGTATGAGTCAAACATTGACTCTGGCTAACGAATCGGAGTGGTTGTCTGGGTAAGGCGTGCTACACTTTGAATGACTTTGGAAGAGGGGAGACAATGATTGTAAGTGCTATAGTAGGTATTTCTTACAAATCGATATCTGAATCGTCAATGATGCCTAAAGGCCGACAAATTATTTTAGGATCACATCAAAAACCATTACACTATGGGATCATTGGTTATTTTCTGGCCACAGTGTCGGAGATTGGACCGGAAACAAACATACAGAAGTGTTTCTCGCATACCGCACTCCCATACTCTATTCTAGCGAGCACTGGCAAGGAGTTAGACAGACAGGTTCGATCGTACCACGGTGGTTCACAGAAGTCAGATTTCGGGGTGGTTTGAGATCCCAGCGATAGAAATTTCAAGACAAAGAAAACACTGGTGACGACGCTGTCCGACCCTTACTTCCCGCCACCGAGCTGCATAGAGACCGATCATACGATAGGCTAACGGTGGCGCAGAGTTATCGTGCTTCACTCTGGGTAAGGCATCCATCCAGGTCTCGGGGGGTTGGGACCGTGTGAGCACTCAGTTGTTTCGAGCACCTTGGGGGGTTCGCCGACCTTAGATACATGGGTTCGTATAGAAGGTTCACACTAAAGCGCCGGGAGGGCATGATATCATGGATGATTGATTTCATTGAGGATCAGATGAATAGCGCTCCAGGCCCTAACTAGCTCCGGTGCTACATCAAATCAATGATGGGATGGAAATAAAACGTTCATCTGTACGTCTAGAAATATCTAGAAAAGGTCTCTGAGTGGTACGATAGCCTTGCTTTTGGGTTTCCAGTCCGGCCGATCTGCATGTCCTACACAGAGACCCGCAATCCGGATTGATGGGATCATATATGTAAGTTGGCGCAAAATAATCCGTCACTGACGTAGAGCCTAGTAGCTGGTTCGACGGATTCGAGCGATGGATGATGTGGTGCATGTTCATGGTCTATCACTCGCTGGCGGTCGCCGGTCGTGTCGGCGGGTGTCCGGGTGCCAATGATATTAGAGCACCCGCGCAGTGGGTTGGAATCTAATCGGGCTTCTACATCTGGATGCGGCGCTTCAGCCCACGTGTTTGGTTTACTGGAAAGACAGTCGCCGGCCAACCCCTGCCGCCGTTCTGTTAAAATTGCAGACGGACGAAATTCCGAAAACCAGTTTCTCTAGCTCTCTGAACCAACTTATACCAGGGTATAACACTGCCTGCGCCGGTAATTCATGGTTTTGTGGGTCCGGTGTTTGTACCGGATAGTCGCAGCGCGCGGCGGCGGTCTCTAGCTGCCACGCCCGGGCCTGGGTGCCCATATATAGATACTCTTCGTCCGGTACCGATCTGCGGTTACCCGGTCGGCCGCCGTATCACTTGCAAGCTAGAGCGTCATTACAATTCGGCCGCACGGCGTCTTCGCGCGCCCGGCCGGTAGACTGCTTGGTGCGCTGGCTAGTTTGGTTCCCAGCTAGCTATAGTCCCTATCTAAATTTGGGCGGAAACCGCTAAATCGTCTCGATGGTGGGCGTACGGGGATTACTAGGATCCGGCGCCGCATTTGCTTGGCAATTGGCCGCGGCGGCCTAGTCCAATTCGACGTCAGTTCGGTCGGCCATATTGATATGTGCGCTGCAGAAACTATGGCTAAAGACAGACAAATTTTGTTTAGAGGATATGAGTCACAGCTAGGGATGTTTGGTTGATAGGATCCAAAGGCCAGTTCCCCCACCAGGGCTAGGGTTTTTTCGGCATCCCAATACCCAACACCCCAGACCCAGACCTCAATTCACCCCCGACAAGATGTAATTTGGCCGTGGCTACCAATACCAAGGAGGGTCAAAGAACATGTTCTAGAATTCTATCATGAGGGAAATCGTGCCCCGAAAGTGAGGTAACCTGGCATATGGATGTGGGTTAGGGTTCGTGGCTATCCCAAATCTTGTGAGAGACAGGGGCATCCTTGTATGTGGTGATGGGGCATCACGTAATAGAAATTGGGGTCATTGGGCTTTTGGTCTTGGGGAGGGGAATTAGGGGATTGAGGTGACTATGGTGGATGTGGTCTAGGGCTTTAGGTGGATTCGTAGGCTGGATGGATTTGGGTGGATATTGAACAGCTGGCAGAGTGGATTCTGGAGGGGGGAGTGGGTTTGGGTTTTGGGCCTTTGAGTAAGATGAAAGGGATAAGGAGGTATATTTTGATCTGGGGCTTTGGTTTATTTGGAGTATGGTTAGTAGATGGGGCTTGCTGTTAGTGAAGTGGAAGGACAGGGTTAGGGGTGGTTTATTCGGCTCTGTGCGGGGTGGTGATCGAATTATTACATGGGGCTTTAAGAGCGTATTCTCCATGAAAATAGGCTTCGGCCGGACATATATAAAATAACTCAAACAACGTTACGCCGTCTCGTTGGGTTTCGTCTGGATAGTTTTCTACTCGTACACATAAACCTTGAGCATTTAGGCCACTTGCCTTGAATAGAAATTTCTACTAACAAATCTCCTACGGCCATGGTTGGTGTGGTTGGTATCTTTGTCTTGAGGTGGATATTTGTTGTGGGTTAGGGTTGTCGACTCATACCTGTTGATCATTACCATGAATGGTCAGTCAAAAGTTATCTCTAAGGCTGTAGTCACAACACTCACTAGTATCTGGCACTGTTTATAAGGGGAATTCTGTATTTTAGATTTGGGGGGTGGGGGAGGTTATATGAATCGACCCGCCATAGAACCTCAAAACTCAGAGTTTCTGTATATATTGCCGATCCCACCTCACCTTGGTGAAAAATATCTTCAATTCCCCATTCTCGACACGCAGACCAAATAGAAAAACCATAAAACCGATAACTTTCCACATATACAGGGTTAGGGTTTAATACCACATAGTCTGCACATGCTCTGAGCCTCGATTATTATTGGCCCGGCCCTACAGTGTCGACGAGTTAGAAGCCAATCAGGGCAGAAGCAGATAGCACGTTCTTAACCGTATGTTGGCCTGTATGTACCCGTGATAAGTGAAGATTCTAGCGATCGAAGGGTTTGGACTGGTTGAGCATTAATTCGGTCGTGCTTTCTAATGATCTGGCTGGTCTTTAATTATCGCGCATAGCGGTCAAGAGAGTGAGTACCTATTGTGCTACCGCCCAAATGGTGTAGTTTGGCGTGCACTACGATGGATGGCGAAGTAAGTGCTAGCCTTCGAGACACAGGCACATACTACTCGGCGAGGGGCCAATCATAATGTGGCACATTATCTTCAGGGTTAGGGGTCCGGCCCAATCATTGGCCCCCACTGGTGATGTCGAGATAGGAAAGGCCTTCGGACTTCCTTGGTTGTGCTGCAACTGCGTTAGGTGTCATTATATATAAGTGTCAAATATATCATTGCCCGCCGAACATTGCCAAGTCTGAGATTGCTCGCGATCGGATATGGGGCTTGGCCAATTATACTGAAATACTCACTACTATGATCACTGAGCTGCGTTAGAGAGGTGGGTGTAAGTCTTTTGTTGTGGAGAAACAGTTACTACTCCTTTAACGAACAATTTTGTTAATGTTCTTGTGGCAATACATAGCCCACGATCTAGATACAGAATCTTCACTGTTGAAGTCTCGTCTGCAGCGCGGAAGGCTGTGAAGCCAAGTATAAAAACGATATTAGCATCTACAAGTCCCCACGACCCTTGATTAAAACGCCTACAAGAACAACAATGACAACTCCCACCGGCGCAGTGCACAGAGACGGGAAGACGGATGATAATGTAAGCACGCATTAAGAGTCACACATATGATAATGCAGCTTGTGCAAGCATACAATACATACACTGACATAACAGGCAGCACTGCAAGGCAAACCAGGAACCAAACTACACAGCAGTACCTATGTATCTACACCACACAAGGCCCATCCGTAGTACCAACGCGGCTAATAGCCGAACCACCAGGGAGATCTATTATTACATTGCGGCTCCAGTTCACAACCACGGGTGACAACCCATGACGCAGCGCACGTGACTGCGGCCAATCTTATTCCAAAGCACGGGCAAACAACACGCCGAGTCCTACAACGTACCTGCAAGGAAGGGTAAATTTCTCTCCGAGAGACATAGAGGAATCCCGTCCCCGTGCCCCTGAGCGCAGTCTGGTGGATATCTAATCTCTTCCGTTCACCGAGTGATCGACCATGACGCTGTTACTAATCCTACCCGTCCGGAATTCCGTGGGTACTAAGGCTTGGCGTCGAGGTCTAAGCCTAATTTGGGAAATATACAGGGGAGGGAGTTCTCTTGTGGTTCTTGTGGAACGGATAGGAGAGGTTGTATAGCCACTGATGAACATGGGGTTATGAGTTCGGATTTAGTGCTCGGGGTTATATATTTGGAGAAGAGAAGAGAATGTTCTGAGGGTTTATTAACAGGGAGGGAAAAAAAGTATAAAAGGGGTAGATATCTGGTGAAGGGACTTAGTATCGAACACACTCAGACTCAATTACTATACTACTATCAGATTACTACTCTACTACTTCTTGTTATCTTCACTTCAATATCATTAAAATGGCACCAAAACAGCTTCCCACCCGTCCTCTAGGAAAGAATGGTCCTCAAGTCTCCGCAATCGGTTTAGGCCTCATGGTTCGTGGATGGATAATTCGCAGTGTATGCTAGTATTGTTAGTATACCGATACTGACTTTGAAATACAGGGTCTCTCCATTGCCTATGGAGAGGTCGAGAACGACGAGGAGCGCCTCAAATTCCTTGACTATGCCCACGAGCAGGGCGAGACCTTCTGGGACTCCTCAGACATCTACGGCGACAACGAAGCCCTCATCGGTAAATGGTTCGCAACTCGCCCCGGAAAGCGCGACGACATCTTTCTCGCCACAAAATTCGGTGTATGTCGCTCTCCTCTATACCTAATCTGTGTACCCTTACTTATATTGCCAATGGCATGTTATAGATCAAAGTGGACCCAGCAACATACTCCATGTCCGCCGATGGAACACCCGAATACGTCCATTCGGCCTTCAACGCCTCACTGTCTAAGCTTGGTGTATCCTCAATAGACCTCTACTATGTCCACCGCATCGACGCCTCAACCCCCATCGAGCACACCGTCGGCGCAATGGCAGAGCTCGTCGCAGCCGGAAAAGTAAAATACCTCGGCCTGTCCGAGTGCTCCGCAGACACACTCCGCCGCGCATACGCTGTGCACCCCATCGCATGCGTGCAGGTCGAGTACAGCCCCTTCGCGCTCGATATTGAGAAGCCGCACGTGGACCTCCTACGGGCGTGCCGTGAGCTCGGCGTATCGGTTGTGTGCTATAGCCCGCTGGGGAGAGGTATCATGACGGGGCAGATCAAGAGTAGGGACCAGTTTGAGCCGACAGACTGCAGGCTGTTCTACCCAAGGTTCAGCGAGGAGAACTTTCCAAAGAACCTGGAGCTGGTGGAAAAGGTGAATGAGATTGCGGTGAAGAAGGGGATCACGCCGGGGCAGGCCACTTTGGCGTGGATCTTGGCGCAGGGGATCGATTTTATTCCGTTGCCAGGGTAGGTTCTGGACCAGGTCATTTGAGTTTGTTTTATCCGTTGGCTGACATGGGAATAGAACCAAGAAGGCGAAATATCTCCAGGAGAATATCGATGCTATTAATGTACAGTTGACACCCGAGGAAGTCGCAAAGATCAGGGAGTACTGCGAGAACTGTGAGCCCGCCGGCGAAAGAGCAGCTGCAATGATGAACAACATGGACTACGGCGACTCAGCCCCGTTGAAGTAGAGATATAAAAGTGATGGGTGGAGGGTAGTTGTCGAGTTCATGTATCTAGGGTAGATAGTGGGGTCTACTTGGTCGATAAGGCTTGTGACATATGTTGAGATTGTTAGGTTTATTGTTCAATAAAGATTTGAGTCAGAAGATGTAGCTTTAGAGTTAAGGGTCTGACAGAGCGAAGTGGCAACAAAAGCCGTTCAAACGGGGGCTTGAACAGGGTTTCGTTACTAGTAGAAAAGCGAGATTTCCAGTAATATGTGAAGGCTGTGTCCGAGCAATCTGTCGTGACCGAAAAGGGAAACACACCCACCACGGAGCCGCCTGGTCCTGCTCCGAGTGGACGGTATAAGAACACAACCTCTCACTCCATGGCCAGTGAGAGCCCGTGACCCATACTCACCAATAAGCGTTCCACCTCGGTACCTCAACACCAAATGGGGTGGTGTTTTTCGAGAGAAGACTGCTATTAGCCATCTCTGTCCAGGGATTATCTCTCGAGTGGTTGGTTGAATGGTAACGATACACATCAGAAGTTTCCCACAGAAGTAATTTTTGATTACACAGGCCTATATAGGAGCTATATGTAGCTAGCCAATTTTCCAGGTTTTGGCGGTAATTTCACACCTACTTTCAGGTATACATGTACTTGTATAATTACTCATCAAGCTCTCTGGTCATGGTGAAAGAACACTCAGTCAGCAGTAAAACCACACCGCTTCGATTCTCGCTCTGGTGTGCACGCATAACGGAAGTGATATGATAATCGGATAACTCTGGGCACTAGTCTACTATCTAAAGTAGATAGCAGGGGTATTAGGATGTTTTAATCCCGATTGGGATGATAGTAGTAATGCATATGGGGCTAGTAAGCAACTAATCAAAAGAGATGAGTGTGCATTATATAGGTAATCCTAATATTATATTAATGCGTTATCTTCAATATTGGGTCAATGACTATCTCGGATCTAGAGGGAAGCATGGAATCTATTGATTGCTGCTCTATAAGTCAATGATTTATCGGCCAGATGGGCTAAACAGCCAGATAAAGGTCTTCACAAACCCCCCAACCTCACCCTTCTCCCGCACCAGCAGCTTTTCTATCCCTCTCCACAAACCCCGCCTCCAGCACCTCAATCAGCTCATCCAACCTACGCACCCGCCCACGTCAGCCCATCCATCCATCCGCCCACAGCCCACAGCCCACCACCACACACCACAGGACGAAAGACCTACCTATCAACCACACAATCCGTCATCTCGCTCTCCGCCAGCTCCCCATTCACATCATTCCTCAGCAGCACCGTCGCCGCGCCCGCCCTCCTCCCCGCCGCCATATCGTCCATGCTATCCCCCACCATAATCAGGCTGCTCCCGCCATCCTGCAGTCCCCACTGATTCGCAATGTGCAGGATCCCCGCCGGGTCCGGCTTCGGCGGCCGGAACTCCCGTGTCACGATGGGCGAGAAGAGCTGGCCTTGGCAGAAGTTTGTGATCAGGAAATTGACCGGCGTGCTATAACACCCAACCCAACCCCACTTTCATCAGTCCAGTCATATCACCCAGCGCGGAGGGAGGGTGCGTGAAGAAATTAAACAGACTCAAAGTTCCGTGTACAGATCGCCTTCTGCACGCCCTTCTTCTGCAGATACTCCATCAGCGGCAGCAGCCCCCTCTGCGGCACCATCTTCACCATCGCCTCGCGCTCCACACTGCGGATAGACTCCATCGCTGCCTCCTGCATGTCGGGCGCCAGCGTGTAGACGTGGTCGAGTATGTCGATCGTCTTTGCGATCCCAAGTGCGGCGCGCATCTTTGCGAACATCCATGTCTGCGGCTCGCTGGGGATTCAGAAGAAATATTAGATCAATTGGCCTTTTTTTTTAATATTTATATGTATGTGCTTAATTAGGCGCTCAGTAAAAGATTAATTGCGAAAAACCGCCCTGCTGAAATGCCTGTTTTTCACAACACTTTTACTGAGCGCCCAACTACAGCTTCTTACTTAGTTAGCTAGTTACAGCACGAAACATACCACAGAGTCCCATCAACGTCAAAGACCACACCGGCGAGCTTGGGCGCCGTAGAGCGCGCGCTGAGGGCGGGGTTTAGCGGGGCGAAGCGGTGGCGGAGCGGGGGGGTGGCCATGGTGGTGATGAACCGTGGGAGGGTGCGGGAGATCATCGCGGCCGGGTGTGGTGAGGGGTGGATGAGACCGGGGTTGGGATTGGATGGGATGCTGGAACTGGCCGCCCCCACGTACCAGTAACGTTGCGAGTGGTGCCAAGAGGGGTTGACGTCGGTGGGTGGTCATGGGGGATCACTCGGTTGATTACTAACTAGCGAGTATATACTGGTGGATGTTGATGGCTGATATTATGGGGACTACATGTAGTGGTTGGTGGATCAGGAGAGATAGAAAACCTATGTTGGAATGATGCATGTGTAACTTCTCCCATCTGTCAGATAGCCATGTCTTAGGAAAGGATTTGTTGAGTTGTGGATCGTAGGTTTTAGCGGACCAGTGGAGTCAGTGAGGTATAGCGAGCGTCAAGATGCAAGTATTACTATAGCCAGTGAACCGGTGAGGATCTGACTGTCGCTACACTGTAGCGGTCAATCGCATTTAAGCGGATCTGGTTCCCATTGCATTTTCTCAGACCCATATGACGAGGTTTTGATATTGGGTGAATCTACTAAGCAGCTCCAAGCCCTTGAGTTCTTCATTTGTGAAGAGGACTCGATCCGCTTTCTCAGCAGACTCAGTGTGATAAGTTTAATTTTGCATCTTCCTTACATGTAGTATCCTTCTTTCTCTTAACATGCTCTGTCCTGCGCGGCAGACCATTACTTACTAGGAAGAGCCCCCCGTGCAGAAAAAAGATAAAAATAAAAAAGAATTGATGACGCCTCGATGGGGATTTGAACCCCAGTCTCCTCCCTCACAACAGTTTCACCTACAGGCTGACTTTTGAGAGGCATGCTAACCGACTGCACTACCGTGGCTTGAAGGGACTGCGTGTGTCGTGTATTATAGACCTAACGCCCTCTAACCCTCAGGTAGATGTACGTGCTTAGATGTACTTAACCCTTACCACTAGGGAGGCTCATAGAGGGCTAGCACCGTGTACTGGTAGTACGTGGGATCCACGAAAATCTAATCTTGGGGGCTTAGTTGCATTCAAGCCAGGACCCGGGAAACTCGATCCCGATGCGTGTTCTTCTCCAAGCTTGAGGGGGTATTTGCATGATCCGGTACGAAGTATTACTACACTTATGTTTAGACGTCGATGATCCTTCTCTCAGCCACACCGGTTCATCAATAACCGAATTAACCAAGAAAGGACTGGCCTTAGTACTCCATACTAAACCAAGCCAAAGCCTAAACCAGCCCGATCACGCTATCTAGGATTGTTTTGTCCGAGTCTCTTATAGTATCCCAAAGTAGTTCGTGCGTTTTCACGACCGAGAGCTAGTAGGCAACTTTTACTCGGTATTACACCTAGCCCTCACTCCGTGAACCTCTTTTGCTGTGAAGTCACCTTCTGTGACCCCTCCTATACCTATTCTGGTGTTTTCACAGTCTGTAGGTAGCCAGATTTTCTGGCCGTCGTGGGCCTAATATGTCTCCCTTTTTGCTCTGACGAACGAAGGGATATGAGGCGAGACGAAATCAACGAGATGGAGGTATGTAGGTAATGCGATTCGAAGCAGGTAGCTAAGAGTTATTATTAGCTAGGCTCGAGCTAGGGGAGGTACCAAGCATTGGAGGAAAACTATTTCTCTAAGATAAGCCACAATTTTACTGGACTATGATTATTGAAGTGCAGTGCTCCTGCGCGATCTCTCTTTTACGGCCACACCACTACATGTACTTACCAAGAGGAGCCCCCTTGGAAAATGAAAAAAGAAAAAAATAATTGATGACGCCTCGATGGGGATTTGAACCCCAGTCTCCTCCCTCACAACAGTTTCACCTACAGGTTGACTTTCGAGAGACATGCTAACCGACTGCACTACCGTGGCTTGGAGGGATTGCGTGTGTCGTGTATTATAGAGCTAACGTCCTCGAATTCTTACATGGGCGGGATCTGCCACTAAGGGGGCTCATAGAGGGCTAGCACCATCAATGATAGTCTAATCTTTAGGGCTGAGGAGCACTACACACGCAGCGTTTGAGGAGACCTGATCTCGGTGTGTGTTCATCTCCAGTAGATATCCATACCAGCTCATATGTAGCGACTCCGGGTTTATAAAGAGAGGGGTGATTGGCATAGTAGTCCGTACGAGCTAACTGAATCAGAGCTTAAACCAACCAGCACACGCTATTATACTGAACTATGAGTATTAGGGTACATTAAAAACGTACTAACAGACGACACAAATTCCATGGACAAATCCACACCTCCGAGTGATACACCATGAAGCACCCACAACGACAGACACGAAACGGAACAGAACAAGGCTGGTCTAGCGACTATCTCCTCCGGTTTATGCTTATAGAGCCAAGTTGAGATATTTCTGTAGCCCCGTGGCCTCATCCACATAATAAGTACATAGTATTCGACGCCACCCTCTCTGTAATACGAACCCTAACCCTGCCAAACAGCTATCCTCAACCCTCACATACACATGCACAACCCATATGGGCGGCCAGGCAGCTTCGATAGAGCAGCCTTACATCGAGAGGCAGATCTCCTGTCCTTTGTGGAACGACTTTCATTATGCATGGCTGGGTAAGGTAGCCTCTTACGCCCGCAGGGCTGCGATGCAATATATGGGCCCTGCGACGGGCGCGGATGCACACACGACGTCAAGGCATCTCGGTTTCTATGGTTGGGGGCTGGATTTACTCTGTGTCGATTGCAATTGGGTGGTGTTGAACTTCCATTGACAGTGTTGCATGTTGCATATTGGGCTAGGGTTTGGGCGCGAGGGTTTGGAGGAGCCAATTGGGAGGAGTGAGGACTCTCGGGGGTTTGTATACTTGGCTTTTCTAAATAAACTGTTATGGCGGCGGTATTCTACATGGAGCCAGCTCCTGTTCACTACGTGGAAAGAAGAAAGATAGAAAGTGCGAAGGGAAAAGGTAAATGAGATAGCAAACAAAACTCCGCGTTTCGTACAAACATCCATCAAATCATCAATCAACCAAAGCAAACTAGAGGACAAAAAAACGAAAACAGAAACTGGAAGAATATAGTAAACTCAGCTAATTGATTAACCAGCAGCCAAAGTTTTTATTTCTAAATAAAAGAAACAGTAAAGAGGGAAGAGAAGAAAATAATAGGAAAAAAGGGGGGGAAGGAGTAAACAATACATATATTAAGAAAAGAGTAGTGTAGTTTTTAAACTAGCTACTCCCGCCACTATTATCAGTGTCCTTGAGCTTCATCTTCCCCAATGCCTCCTGGGCCTCAGCGCTAGAACTGGCCTCGCCACTAGAACTAGCCTCTGCCACCTCTCCATCGTTGAGCGCTTCCTCGAAGCTCGGTACTTCATCCCCATCTGCCGCAGGGGCCGCAGAGCTCCCCTCCCCAGAATCATCCATACTCCCCCCTCTCACGACTCTACCCGCCCGCGCGCTCTCCCTCGCCCCTTTCGCCAACCACGCCTTCTGGTAGTCCGACCTCTCCTCATCATTCATCTGTTCCCAACCCGCAATCTTAACTTTATCCACGGGGGAATCCACCACATCTGAAGTTCTCCGCCCCGCTATATTGCTGCTACCCTCATCATACCCCGGGGCCTCCTCCTCCACATGCTCGCCTCCCCCGGGAGACCCCGGGTTTGGTATCTGCTCCGCAGTGACCGGGCGCCAGGCCGGCGGCAGTGGGAGACGGCACCAAGTGCATACACGCTGCTTCTCCGAGTTATCGTGGGGCTCCTCGCACCCGTCCGTTGCGCAGGTGTACTTATTCTCCAAGAGCTCTGCGCGCTCTGTGGAGCGACAGCGGGAGCAGAGCCATCCGTCTTTTGCGACGCAGAGACAGAGCGGCGGGGCCGAGGTGTGCGGCGAGTTTGGCGGGTGGGAGAAGTTTGTTGCAGACCAGCAGGAGTCGCAGAAGGTGCGAATACGATTTAGGAATGTTCCGGAGGTGCCGTGGAAGTCAGATTTCACAATACATGTCTGGGATGGGGGTTAGTGGGGTGATCCGGTGTGTTTGTGTTTCCGTGTGGGGGCCGGGAAATGAGCGGGGGTGAGCGGATGATTAGGCTTACCTCGCAGACGGGCATAGAACAGATTACGCAGTTCTTAACATTTGCACCTTTGATATGAGTGTTCTCAGAGCAGACGAGGGACGTCAGGGCGAGCAGTTCGGACCAGTATTCTGGCGATTGTAGGAGCGTTTCACGGACTGTGCTGGATGTGCGAGAAAGCTGGATCACTGTGCATGAATATACCCGTCAGTACTCATAAAAACGGGCTGGAATAGTTGTAAAAAAAGGAATCATACAGTCACCCGTCGTTAGGAAACTTGCAAAGCGCTTCACAATCGAAAACTGGCTGAGCATCATCGACAGCGGGTCGAAGGACGGGGGTGGTAAAGGATCATGATCCGAGTATGAGGGGGGTAGCATGATGTGGTATGTAGCTCTAGATGGTCCCTGGTGCTGGAGGGCAGTCAAGATAGCAGTCATGTAATGTTTAAACTTACCGTATGTTTTGGTGGTGTATCCGCTCCGTACTGTCTGGAACTAATAATCGGCCGAGTTATGGAATTGTGATGTTGGGGCGTTGGGGCCGGAGATGCTGCAGGTGAGCTGATGCGGCTGAAAAGGTGGGGTTGGGGTTGCAGAAACGCCAAGGCTGGGGTCCCCGTGGGGCAGCGGAATTTCGAGTGACGAAATCGGTGCTAGGGATTGAGTATTCGGAGATGTCTGTCTTTTAAATGAAGCGTTATCCTTTGCGGCATTGACATAAACAGAGTTTATGGTGTTTTGTGCTGAAAAGTCATTACCATTTGCTCGGCGTTTCAAGGTGTTTACCAGCACATGATATATAGATAAAACTTCTTCCCCAGAAACCACAACCCGATCTAGCGAAACTGATAAGTAAATCCATGAGCCAAATAGCTCTTCTATCTCTATCCGCTCTAGTTCCATGCCCATTCACACTAGCACCTTCAAACACCCTAGTGCTATTCATACTCCATCCACTCTTCAGCCCTTCTAACTCCCTCCAATATCTTCTCTAGTTTTCCTCTGACCTCGCCCACACTCTCATCTCCGTCCTCATCTTCAAAGTCAAAGTCCTCCTTCAGAAAATCTCTTGCAACCCTCTCAGCCTCCTCCAATTCCTTCGTTTCCCCGCCTGTTAACCTACCACATGCAGCAACCAGATCCTCACCTCTTGCAGCCAAGAGAATCAGATCCTCGGCCCTCGAAACAATCGCCGGGTCAATCCCGTTAAGGGCCGCACAGCAAGTTCCAAAGCTACTGGTGCTCCGGCCGAGCTCCATCCGATATAAATATGTGATTTGATCTTCCGTAGCCTCTGCATCGTGGTCAAGAAGAACATTCATGTGAGCAAACTGCAGACGTGGGTGCTCAGTGAGGAAGCCGTTTTCAAATATCTCATGGTAATGGGTGGCTGCAAGAACTTTTGGCCTCTCATCCCCGCGGTTTAAGAGGTGTTCGAATACCCCACATGCGAGCCCTGCACCGTCACTCGAGTCGGTGCCTTTGCCAAACTCGTCAATTATCAGAAGAGACCGACGTGTGGCTAGCCTAAGGCTTATCGCAATCTGTTGAAGGTCTATCATGAATGCACTTTGCACTTTGGAAACACTCTCCCGAGTTTGGATCCTGGTTAGGATTTTATCTGTCAGTCCAATCACTGCGCTCTCGGCTGGGACAAAGGACCCAATATGGGCCATGTAGACTATGAGTGCAACCTGTTTCAGGTAAATGCTCTTTCCAGAGTAGTTGGGTCCAGTGATAAGCATCATACTTGGCACAGTGGAATCGTCCTCACAAACTCGTACCGGCCTTACTGTCCTTGGTGGTGTAGCTGGATTGGCTTCGTCTGTGTCCGGAGTAGTTTCAGTATCTATACTCTCCGCCTCATCCGAACCTTTGCCTCCAAGAATATTGCTATCGTTCTCCACATAGGATGACACGCAAAGTTCTTGCAGTGGGTGCCTGTTAATGTCAATGATAGTTTTTACGTTTCTAGAAAAGTCAGAACTAGCGTACCGGCCCTTGGTGATCTTGATGACATTTTCATCAGTAATGATGGGACGAGAGTATTTGTACTTCTCCGCCGCCAGAGCCAAGGCCAGAAGGCTAATTATGCTTAGTCCAACCCGGCATCGTGAAAGGGGATTGCATGATCATACCAATCAAGCTCGGCAAAGACCATAGCACAATCTGTGAGTGTCTCGAAATACTTCAGCACCCTAACCTGTAATTCATGCACCAGCTCAATTTCCCTGTCTTCATAGTATCATCAGAAATCACTCGTCATCAACCGTCACACCCAAAGTACTCACCACAGATAAGCCCATACATATCCCCGAAGTATCCATCCATCTCTCTCATTTGCGGATTCTTATAATACCAGCTCGTCCCTGTACAGAACTGGAACTCCCAGTCTTGGCCCATATACACTGGTCTCCCCGCCGCATCATCCTCTCCGCCATCGTTACTACTACCTTCACGCGTGGGTACAACGATCAGATACCCCAACTGCGGGAAATAAATCACATTCAGGTTGATGGCCACGTCAGCCGGGATTCCAGCTGCGACTTGGCGTGCAACCTGCGAGAGCATGCTATCCATGCCATCGTACATCTGCTTCATCCGGTCCAGCTCATCGTCTACGTTCCTCATCACCACAACCCTGTGTTGCAACGCACTTTCGTCAAAGTCAATTGTGTCATGGATCAGTTGTCCTACAGCCTGGATGGCCTTGACATCGACTGAATCCATTAGTTTCTTGTAGATTGCTAAGCCTCTGACTCCGCTCATCTCTTGCAAAGAAGACCTGATTCTTAGTGCATAAAACGAGAACTTGGCCAGAGAGATCCATTCACCTCCACGACCGCCACTACCTAAGCCTCTCCGTAGACCTGAGAGGACTTTGGGGATGTTTTTGATGTAGCGCAGTGACTTGCCGAGCGCAACCAGGACATGGGAGTTGGAAGGGTGGAGGAATGCAGTAAGGGTATCATGACGGGACGTCAGTATGGAGAGCGAGAGACTAGGGCGTAGAAACCACTGTTTGAGCATGACATGGCCAAGCGGAGAGCGAGTCCCGTTCATGATTCCAAACAGAGATAGTCCCTCTTTGCCACGGCCTTTGGGGCCTTGCATATGGAAGTTCGGATGCGACTCATCCTCAAATATCTGCAGCGAACATATCGTATCCGCATTCACAAACCTACTCCTCGTTAGCCACTTTCTCCCATCACCACTGCATACATTCTCAGCCTGGCACATACATAACATGAGCCATACTCCACATCTCAATCTCAGCTACCAGAACTCCATCGCCCTCACCAGGACCCCCGTCAATACTAGCCTTCCTCTGTAAGTATGTCAACACGGCGCCAGCACACCCGACAGTAACCTTGCTCTCCACGTTGATCCATCCGGCAAGTCTTAGTAAATTCCCACGTCTACGTAACTCCCCTGATATGTCATGCATATCCCCAGGAGTCTGTATTGTGATTGAGGGCCCGTTGGATTCACCAATACGGATCGAGATAAGCTTGTTTCTAGCCGCATCGTACGAGAACTCAACAGTAGGGCGTATGGCAACGTGGTAAGGTGTTGCAAACTCATCTGGGAGAGCGGTGAGCAAAAGATATAAGTATATCTGCAGAAGCAAGTTGGACTATGCACCCTTGGGATCGGGATTAAGTGACTTATCAATTGTCTCATCAAACCTCGACGGCAGCAGCAGAACCGTGGGCTTGATATGGAACTTTACTACACTCACGAAGCTACATCAGTAAGCCCAACCAGAGCTCGCCACAGGAGCACTCACAAGCATCCAAGCAGTCCGAGGTAGGGAACTCAATATCCTCCATCAAACTTAATTTCTGCCCTGCCATCGAGTAAAACGCACACCCTATCTTCCTCCCTCTGTGGTCGACAGCCATAATAATACCCTCCGAATCATCCTCTTCCTCATCTGAAACGTCCTCTTCATCATCATCTTCACCTTCAATCTCCCTGCTATACGGGTTCAGCCTGCGTGATTTTGAAGTTCCTGAAGTAGCAGTGAGGGAGCTTCGAGTGGTATGAGAAGAGGATTGTGAGGATTGGCGGAAGAGGGGTTCAGAGGCGAATGCTACAGACGCTGGACGAGTGCGTGCCATTGCTGAACACTTTGGTTGACAGGCACAAGAAGTCTCCTGAATGTGTCTAAAGCTATAAGGTTATTAGAGTCCTTATTACTGCTGAATACTTATTAATATTACGTAAATCTGCACAATACCCGGAAGCTAAAAAGAGCACCGAGTGATTATATATGATGCCACCGAAATACTAGACCGTTTCTAAAAGCCAATAATCGAATATTCTAGCAAGCATGAAGCGCCCCCCCACCCCCTTTTTAAACTTTTATTACCAAGCCCTAAATATATATATCCGTATCCCATATCCGACGTTAAGGCAAAGAAGGCCCTTCATCGTGCCAGCAAGGAGCGCTTCCAAAACCTATATACCCTTGCCTAAGTATTGATACACAGAAGCGGCCAGCCCTTATGGGACCACCGAGATAGCAAAATCATGATTAAACAAGAAAAGGAGGATATATGCCGCCAAAAAAATTTACAGGGCCTCTCTTAGGTCTTATACCTCTGCCAGTTCCCCTTGGCACTCGACGGCATCGGTCTGTATGCCTCTGTACGCCTGGGCGCTGGCTCTCTTGGCAACGGGGGTTGTGAATGTGATTCGTAACCCCTCCTTGGTTCGCGAGCTGCAGGGCGATTATGAAATTCTGGTGGAGGTCCATACATATGGGCCCCACCTCTGCCCCTACCTCCACCCCCACCACCCCCACCACCGCCTCTACCCCCGCCTCCTCCGCCTCCGCCTGGTCGGCCGCCATTCCTATTACGCGGTGGGCTTCGTGACCGTGAGCGAGGTCTTGGAGGCAGTCCGTGGACCGGCCTGGGCGGTAAAGGTTCACGATATCTATCAAATACAGGGTCCCTGGCAGGGCTCCGCTGGCGGTATGATACACCATTACCATCTCTTTGGGCGTTCCTCGACTTGTAAGAGTCCTTGCCCCTAGACGGCCCGGCAGGGGGTGCACGCTTCGGGAATGGATCATCCCTATCGAAATTTCGCATATCCCTAAATGGGTCCAGTGTTGGTTTCATCGTCATTTTAGTCCCCGCTGCCCCAAATGTAGGATTTCCTTTAGCTGATCCAAGGGTTTCGAGTTTATCGGCGGATTCCAAGAGCCATTCCTGGGTCGCATAAGAATTTACATTGATTTCTGACAATGAGAAGGAACTGCTAATTGGAGGTGATGGGCGCCGGGGACAGTCATCACCATAGTGGTCGCTTCCGGCACAGTTGTAGCAGTAAAGGGGAAGGGATTTCTTCGAAGCTTGGATTGGTTTGAGACGGTGAGTGGGGATACGACGCCAATGCTGTTTCGGAAAATGATTAGCATAACGGTCTGTGTGAATGTGTTTCAGGATGCTTACGTCTATTACGCGTGGCTCTTCTTCTTCATCCTTCTCGATATCTGGGCAGGCGTGTGAAAAGTGCTTATTCCAACTTCCACAATGTTTACACTATTCTCAGGATTACAATTAGTAGGAGTTCTTTGTTATAATATCAATCAATAAGTGATTGGAAATTTACCTTTAGTTCCTGGCAGTTATCTTCCGAGTGCCCCACTTTAGTACAAACAGTACATATCCTTTTACTCTCTGAAAAGGCTACCGCCATTACAGCGGCAAGCTCTCGTTCCTGTATCACATCTGCTGTAAAGTCTACACCTGAAGTTGAGCCGAAGTAAGGACGCGCCTCCTCAAGCCTAAACGGCGGCAGTATATATGCAGAATAGTACTTCCGCTGCCGCATGGCTACATCTTGATCAACGAGAGGAGATTCGCCCCCGTCGCCACCTTCATTCTCGTCGAGCACAGTTATAACATCCTTCTTGGCTAGGCTTTCTACAACTTCTCCTTCTTCATCGCTAATGTGGTTACTTTTAGCCTTCTCATCACCATCAATGTCAACCATGTCGAGATCAATGTGGATCTCTAGCCCTTCATCGTCATCATCGCTTAATGATGATGATGACGTGTCATCCTCATCCTTTTTGTCAGAAATGTTTTTAAACCCCCCGCCCTTGGGTAGATCAATTTTTGCATTTCTTTCCGCCTCTGCCACTGACTGCTTCTTCTTTTTTGACTTTCGTTTCCTGTCCTTGGTCTTCCCGTTTGTTTTTGCGGAATCTTTCTCAAGCTCCTCGCTGGCGGCTGCTGCGTTAATATTAGAAACCGCTGGGTTAGAAGCTGTCGCAACTGTAATTTCCACAGACCCAGGTTTTTGGGCATCTTCCCGCCCAGGAGTTCGTGCGCCATTGAGCCTTTTGGCACTCAAAGCGCGTTGAGTGGAAAAATCCTTATCCTCATCCTCATCTTCGGACCCGCCATCTTTCAGGGCGTGAGCACCATTTGAGGGATTCCAATGCTGACACCGCCGTCCTCATCTGATGAATCGCCTCTGGAATTTAAGCTTGGAGACGTCGGCTGTTTAGCCTTATCAGCTCCCTGTTCCGTATCATTTTCTCCTTCCTTAGATAACCTTCTGAGCGGCTTTCTCTTTCTCTTATTCTTTTTCGCTGTCTTTTCCTCTACGCCACCTTCCTGGTCGTCTTCATCTTGTGAACTGTGACCATTCGTAGTTACTGGGGTATTGTTTCCGGTATTCGAAGGTGTACGCTTGGAGCGCTTGGAGCCAAGGTATTCCACCTCGACCGGTTCATCGTCAGCACCATCTGAAAAATCCAGTGATATAAAATCAGCTGAAGACTCCATTGCCTTTTTTGGGTCGGTGCGTTGGCGCTTGTGATTTGAGCCACTTGACGAGGGTCTGGAGGAACTTTTAGGGGTCGTAGTTGTCGAATCGCGCTTTTCCTTGGAAACTGGCTTGGACGCTGCGCTGGCTCCCTCCATAACGAAGAGAGAAAAGGCGGGTAGTAAATGGACCTAGAGATAATTATGTCACGCGCGCGCAATCAAGAAAAATTGTGTGCGATGCAAATATTCAATTTGCGGTGTGAAAGGGGCGATGATGAGCTCGAGATCTATCAGCGAGATGTAGTTGAGGTAAGGTGATGTGAAATTTAAACGCGGGGAGGCGAACTTGTTATGTAGAGAACTCGGTTGTCGCGGAGAATAGGGCTATCTGTGCAGTTACCCGTCTTCAGGGAGAACGAGCCCACAGGAACACGGTTCAAAGGCTTAAGCAGAGAGAGAGACGTTATCATCAAAAGGGAGATTGATGCTCAGTCTTGGTGTGGATGATGTCGGGCCGGGTAAGAAGGTGTATGTATTTTTTTCTTTCTTCTTCTTCTCCAATTGGTTTGTTTTTGCTTTTTTTATATTTATATTTCTACAGTGCTGGTTGTGCATGGGTGGTGTCCCGAAAGTCGCCTGGGCAGCAATCAATCAATTACAATCGTTCTTTCCCCCCCTCCCCCCTTCCACAACTACTACCAGCTGGCACAGCTACCTACAGCTTCCTCTAGAGCTCAATCTCTTTGTGTAAATAAACCTAGAACCATTGCACATGCCATACATGTACCTAGGTAAAGTTGTACTAGCTACTAGAGTGAATAAAATAGAGTAGACAGGTGTTAAAGCACTCATACCGTCGCGTCCTGCCTGACTCTTTGACCCAGGAAAAGGAGACAAATCTCGCGTGTCAATAACTCTAGCCTGAGAGTACCTACAGGCTACATAAGTTTTGATGCACGGCCGTTTCTATCGCCAAGGAGCACTTTAGGTAAGAACAATCTGGTGTCCGCTTCATCTCACGCATCATCCCTCCCAGTACCTACTGCGCTCATCAGCAATCATCGCCTGTTGCTCTTTCGAGAAAGTCGGACGGATCGTAGAAGGGCTTCTCGAACATAGACAGACAGCTCCATATGTGCAGTAGGCACACGCATAACACTAGGCCGCGCTACCTTGCTAAACATTTGCTCACTTCTCCACATCCATCCACCCCCCTTCCCTTGAAATTCCCCTCTAGAGTCCCTAGGTAGTACCTTTTTCTCTCGCTCTCATTCTCTCCTTTAAACTTTACAGAGGTGACTAGACCAAGCACGGGTTCTTGCTCTTGTTATTCCCTGTTCCTATTCTCGGCTCACTTGTCCGTGTCGTTCCAGTCACTCGCTCCTTATCTTCTGTCTCTCGTTTCTCTATCCTGGAGTGGACTCCCTTCTTCCTCTTCTTCCCTCACTCGCCCTCAAATTTCCTCTTGATCTCTTGCTTGTCCGCTCTCCTTTCTCCCTCTGGCTCAATTCACCTTTTTCACACAGTAAAGACGTCTTCCCTCTACGTCTTGAACTCTATCGCTGTGTAGCTCCTGTACTTGTCTACATACTCCCCTCGTAACTGCCCGCGTGCACCTTACCGCTCTTGTCAGGCCAACCAACCCAAAACTTAACCTAACCCAACCCTACCTCACTCACACCCACCACATCCGCCTCTCTCTCCCAAGCCTCAGCCTTGCTTTCAACCCGATTTATTCGATAACCAGTCGCCTTCCCCAGGCAACTACCCCCACAACCTTCAAAATTCATTCCCTCATCCTCCCCCGCACAACCCCCCCTTCCGGCGGCCCCATGGCGGACGCCAATCATGCTGGCCGAAGGCGCCGCTCCAGCTCCCTGATATACAAAGAGCCCCCAGAGACGATCGAGCAGCGCTCCGACCAGGCTGCATTGCCGAACTTGAACGCGAGCTGGGTCAACAGCAAAGGTGAGAATAATACTGATATTGAACGTGCCTTTAGTGGCTCGGAAGCTGACTATATGTGCTGGGGCTACTTAGGTGCTTGGGGAATTCACGTGGTGCTCATTATCGGGCTCAAGATATTCTATGATACAATGCCGGGAGTGTCTCAGGAGACTAGCTGGACACTAACGAACATTTCTTACATGTTTGTACGTCTCTACCAAATCAACCTACCCTTTGCTTTGCTCTACGGATAGGAGGCGGTGGGGGGAGGTTGAAATGCTGACGGAAATACTTTCGGGGGTGTAGGGCTCTTATCTCATGTTCCATTGGGTCCAGGGAATACCATTCGAGTTCAACGCAGGGGCTTATGACAACCTGAATATGTGGGAGCAGATCGACAACGGGGACCAATACACGCCTACCAAGAAGTTTCTCTTGACAGTTCCAGTAGTACTGTATGTTTCCCCAACTTATCAAGCTTATCTTAACTTCTCAAAAATACTTATCGTTTTTCAAGATTTCTTATGAGCACGCATTACACACATTACGACCTCACGTATTTCACAATCAACTGCCTCGCCGTGCTAGCCGTCGTTATTCCTAAACTACCTTCGGTACGTACCACCATTAACTTTCTCTTACTCGTTTTTTTCGTGTGTAATCAGCCATATCTGTCCTTTCGTGTTTCGGCTATTTCCTGAACCCGTTCCCGGAAGCGATATCACGTGCTCCCTCACACGTGCCACCGAAATTGAAGCCCAGACTAAACCCACTTACGTATGCGTTACTAATTATACATATTTAATGCAGAGCCATCGTATGAGAGTAGCTCTTTTTACTGTTCCAGAAGAGGAGTAGTGATAGGATAGCCGTTTTTCCCATTCAATATTATATTTTATCTTATGTCAACCCCAACGAAAGGACGATAACAGTATCAGAGCTGAGGACAGAGCTGAGAGTGAGAACGGGCGGTTTTGTGTTGTGTGTTTGTGTGCTGTGTGCTTTGTGTGTGTCTTTGTGTGTGTGTTTTTTCTGGTTTAGTGGGAAGGGGCCTCGCTGAGCTGAATAAACGAAAAATAACCGGCGTTGTGATTTTTGATTTTTTTGTATTTTTTCTGTTTGCCTTTGTTTCCCTTTCCTGCTGCTTCCATTGCACGTTTTTATAAATCTACGTAATCTCCTTTTTGCTTGTTTCCTTTAATCTTTGTCTTGCTCTTTCTTTTTTTTTTTTACCACACGCATGCCTCAGTTGTTGTTTGTTTCTAGTACTCTTGCAAGTCAGTGATTGGTTTTTTTTTTGTTTGCATGGCCATGCCCCGGTGTTCTCTATCATATCGACCATGCTCTAACTGAATATCTCGAACTTTTCCTTATTACTATCCATTACTCTGATGGTAGTGTTACCTGCAAACAAACTATCACCTTATTACCTGCTTGCTTACTCGCCAGCTATGACATGACCCTTGTACTGAGCTTTGGCTGGTAGCTAGCAGACTTCTTTTCAATATACATACATGTATATTTTTCTATTTCCTTTGCAATATATATATTATGGCTGAATGGGAATCTCGGAGGCTGTGCTGAACCCTGATATCTGATTATAATGATCTCTACCTCGTGGAGTACTAATCTTCAAAACTGAAAGAGTGTTGCGATGATATTTATATATATTTGTAGACTGTGCTACCGGAATATCCCATATTGAGTGATTATAGATTCCTAGGCAGGAATTGGTTAATAGAGAAGAGTAAGACCATCCAATACTCATACCCAATGCTACTCAGCACAATATAACATTATGGCCCATGTCCCATTCCAGCAGGCGCTGTGTCACCACGGCGAGCAATGTGAGAGGTGAGAACTTTACGCGCGCCGATTCTCCCCTGTGGCGCTGGTGTTGCGGCTCCCACCCGGGCTACCATGAAATCCTTCTTGGCGGGGGGTTGTAAGGATTATTGAATTGAGGGCTAGAAGAGTAAGAGGAGACCAGGAAGACGCCAAAACCCACCCCATCCCATCATCAACAAACGCGGCGCGAGGTTTTTTTTTTCTCTCCCTCCCAAAGGCGAGTTATTAAGGAAACAGCGCGATTGTTTCCCCCCCCAAACCCAACACGGAGTGCTGAAACTTTTGATACAACAATCTCTCCCGCCCCCGAAAAAGTGTGCCTGGTCCTGTTTGCGCAGTACGGACCCCTTTACACACAGACGCTGGGGGGATAGCTTAGTTGCTTTTCTTTGCTTTTCTTTTCCTTCTCTCCAAACGCGCGAGTCATCTTGACGAGACCGAGATCTGCTGCTTCCTTGCGCACAGTCCAGTCAGCTACCTAGCCAGCTCATCGCACATTACGCGGTTGTCGTCCGTCTTTATCCACGCCTTCAATCTTCCTCTTCCTCCTTGCTTCCTCATCCTCCCTTTGTCTCTCCTCATCTCACTCACTCACTCACCACCGACCCCTTCTTCTTCCAACTCCACCGCCTCCGCCGTCGTCGCGAGAAGATTCAGAGAAATGAGCACCATGGTAAAGATGAATGGAAATAACAACAACAATAACAACAGCCAGGGCCGGGCTGCTACAAACATCTGGCAGGTGATGAACTATCCAGTTCCTAGAGGGTATGTGTCTTTTCCTTCCTCCCGACAGCGCTGGTTGCGGTTTGAGGAGGTCGTTGCTAACTAAGCTTGTGTGCTGCAGGAAATGTGTTCACAAAGTATGAAGCATCCACTGAGTCAGAGAGAGTGTGGTGGTGGTGGCGATAATATCATGCGTGGGTTTGCTAACTGATTGGTAATGATTGTCAGGCATCGATTGTGTCGTCGTGCTGCCCGTGTCTGCGTTTCATGCTCAACCCGCTCCAAGCCGCGTCGTCGTTCCTGTGTGACGGCTGCAACCACCACGCGTCGTTCCATAACCTGCGGAATCCGAGTGAGGAGGAGCCGGAGCTCGAGGTCGTGGAGGAGAGGAGGATCATCATGAATGGGAGCGGGAGCGTCAATGGGGGCCATAAGACGATCACGAACGGGAATGGGAGTGGGAGGAAGAGGCTTGCGGGCAGGATTGTGAGCAAGGATGATGAGGAGGAGGTTGAGAGCGAGAGGGATGGGCAGCTGGTTAAGAGGTCGAGGAATTGATCACATTAAGGGAAGGGCGGGGTGGGAATGGCGTTTTTTTCGCTTTTTTTATTTTTACAATGTGTTTTGATATCCGTATTTGGCTCTTCTTCTTCTTCTTCCTGGTGTGGTTCTTCTGCGCCTTTTCTCCCCCCGAGCTTTGGAGGAGAGCGCTCTCATCTAGAAGATCTACAAGTCTCCTTATTCTTCTTTTTTTTCCATTTTTACTTATTTTTCCTACGTTAATCGTGAAAACAAAAATATTGGAGGGTTCTTTTTTTAACTTTTTTTTCTCCCGCTTCTTTTTTAAAGATTATTTATTTTACCTTTTTTGTTGCCATGATAACTCTTTTTTGCCCCTTCTTATAATTCTCGTTTTTCATAAAGAGTGCAGCTTAGCCTAGCCTATAGCTAGCGCGCCTTTCCATTGCAGCTCGCCTTTCTACATACATGTAGCTAGCTACATGTAGCTACTTGGCTATACCTACCATACGTACTAGCGGGCCAGCCGGCGGCCATGTGTTGTGTGCTATATAGAATCAAACCAGCACCCCACAGCCTGCCTGTGACTTTTTTTTTTTTTTTCCCTCTCCGGCCGCGGTGTGCGCGCGCGTGAATGTTGGTTTGATGCAGTAGCAACGGCAATGTGAAAAAAATCACTCGTTGTCACTCGCCCGACGGTCCGATCTTTTGATTGGTTGTAAGACGTCATCGGGGAACCGCCGGAGCTTTGTGAGAGATTGTAGAGGGTGGTATGTAGCACATTGTTAGAGAGCCGAGATAGTAAAATAGATGGCTAGAATACAGACGATACAGTAGGGAGGTAGAGTAGGAGGTATGGTAGCTGTCTAGTCGTTCATTCTAGAAACAGGTCGCTGGCCATGGAGGTTGGTGATGAGCCTGGTCGGATTTTGAATTGGACCGAGTGATAATTGGTGACGGTTCCGTGGTTCGTGGGTTCGTGGGGTTTGTAGCCACCCAATGCCAGAGCTAGAGGGGATGGTCTTGAGACTATGACCAACCGGCCTAGGCAAATTTTTAGCTTGAGACTTATTGACATTTTCTGGAGTTTATATAAGTGTAGTTTTGTTACGCCTTGGTCTGGGAGGGGAGTTTGTCATTGTGCTGGTGAGATGGCTGTAGTTGGAAGCAGAGAATATAGGGAAGGTATGTTTCTCAATGCAAAACACTGCTCTATCTAGGGGAGGAGCCGGGATACAGGGATAGTAGGAGATAGTTTGTGAGTTCGTGGATACATCTCTTACAGTCTTACGAAAACCGAAAATTTCCCGTTACCTTGGGCCTTGGCTGCTCAGTGAACACCCTAGTGGATAAATGACTTCTGAAAATCCAAAACTGCTCTTGCCTTGAGTACTGCCGGTGAAAATCTGCCCACACCGCAATGCTTGTTAACGTCAATTTAAATACCAAATCACATGACCCTGTAATAAATGCTCCGACCCCGCTCCTCCCAGGCACTTCCCGGCTAGGCGAGACCCCCTTCCTTGGGCTCAAGGAGGTTATAAACCTCTCTCCGTCTCTGGGCTTACACCGAGGGCTTGAGAGAAGCCCATTTTCTTTGGCTCTATAGCTTTAGTAGGCTTGGCTTTTGGTTTGTCCCTCATCTTCACGGGTAAGTATTCTTTTTCGTCGGTCTATCCAGAGAACGCCGGGAAATACGATAGGATTCCCGTTATGTGCTTCCTTCTCCCTCCTGTGCCCCCTCTCCTTACTCCCCTCCCTTATTCCTCCAGCCTGCAGCCCAACTCTCACTACCCTTCCCTTGGTCCCAACTGTAGAAAGCGATATCAGCAGTCTTGGTGCGGCATACAAGGTAGGAATTTAACGAGTGATAGTTCATGAGCCAAGGCCAGATACTGACTGAACGGATAATGAGCCATGCAGGAGCTCATTGGTGTTTGATTATCTCTTGATGGTTTATTGAAAGTGTTTTCGTGTTGTAGAGATGTTGGCTGGCGGTATATCGCTGCTGTTTTAGATAGATATCGTGTGAAGGAGAAGCGTACGGTAGGACGCTCAGACCAAATCTAAAGCGCGGGAAAGAGGAATAAAGTATAATTTGGGACTGACGTTGGGCTAATTATAAGAGATAATAGTTACCTGTAGGTAGATAGGTGATCGCAACTAAGTGACCGCCCGTTGTTGTCGTTAGAAACCGCTGCAGCTGCGTAAGTAAGTACATGTAGTACAAGAGGGTGCCCGGTGGGTTCGTGGTAGGTTGTGGTTGCAGGGTTAGGTGTCCCCCTAGCCCACTCTGCCCTCACTCCCTTAAATATTACTTTCTGGTCTTTGACAGTTATGTGGGTGAGGTAGTCTAGTGGTAGACGCCTCGTCTTGCTACACCGCGTGCGTTGAAGCCACATGACCGTCCGGAGGTCATGGGTTTGACCCCAGTGGTGGGAGTAATGCTCTAGAAAAGTGGGGTGTACGTCATGTAATTGGGAGCAGCGCTCAATATCGCGAATTGGGCCTGTAGCCAGTGAGGGGCGTATGGTCACAGCATTACTTTTTGTGTGTTTATTTTTCAAAATTTACTGCCAGCTTGATTATCTTATATAGCAGCTCGCTCGTAATTTGGGTCTCCCTCTAATTCCCCCATGGCCAGGGCCGGATCTACGTAGGATTGGGCTGGTTTAGGGAAACTATGTTGTTTAGACTATGTGCTTTTATCTAGTATAGTAGATATAAAGGAGACTCGCACTCGTAAACCTCTAAACTATATATATATATATATCTCACACACACATATAAACGATTCAAGTTTCTACACTGCTTTTGACGTTCCACCACACGAGATGCATACATGTACATTTACTAAGCTTTCAGGAACTAACGCTCAGACGGAGACCAAGCGCATTATAGAGCAACCGCCAGGCATCGACGTCCAAAGAAATAAGCTTGAGCATTGGGTTGGCTAGACCAATTGAGCAACAGCAACTTCTAGCCCTTAAGAGCAGATTGATAAGGCCCCCCTCCGCAGGTACTTCAACGATATCAAGTGAAGAACATCGCTGGGGGCCAGAAAGGAACATACAACTACAACTACATCCCTTAAGCTAGTCTCATCAACGGACGTACGTATATATATATCCCACCTACTAGGCCCCCCCAGCACTAGCACTGAGAACCGGTCTGAGTTGCCTTGGAAACTACATGTAGGTGTGTTCGCCCGTACATAGCCATCACATTCGAGATCTTGTGGCCCTTATATAAGCTTCCTCGTCCTCGTTGGGTCTTATTTGTATCTCTGACCCGGCCGGACACCAGGGTTGAGACCCAAGCCAGGCATGGAGGAGCGGGAAGGGGATATGAAACTGGTTGAAACAGGTATTGGTGATCTTCTCTATGATACCTTATGATAGAGAAGGGGCTTTTAAACTTGCATCTCCACGGAAAGATTGACCGTTCACCCGCTAGTGAACGTTACTGCTAGAGGTTATAAAAATACAAGAATACAAGTGGGGAGCGAGCGTTTTCTTGAGGAGGCCAGATCTGGAGTAACCACGCCTTGATCTGCTACATGGGCATATATCGACCTCTCATGCAAGAAACAATACCAGAGCCACTCTCATCAATCAATTCAAGTTTGAATACCGTTCATACTATACTTAATTCCCTGGCGAACGACACCAAAGAAACCAGAGATACAATTGACAGCATTACTCTACAATCACTCTCAGGTAGACCGGATGAAAAGGAAGTTAATGAGTACAACAACAGAGAACGGTATAAACTTGAAAAATAGGTATAATGGTATCGTCACAGAGAAGATTGTATGGGCAATACTAACCATAGAAAATAAAGACTACATGCGTAAATAATCAATCGGCCATATAGACACATAAAACATCAATGTGAGGCTACTCTAGTTAACTGCAACTTTAGAGCCGGGAGCCAGGAGCCAGTTCTGCGAGATGCAGGGAATACCCCCCTTGGTGCGCCGGATTAAGCTACTTAGACCTACATACCTACTCTACTGTTGCTAGAGAGCGCATCTCGCGCCTCTAGGCGGTTCACTTTAGCTTTCTGGCTTTGAACTTCTCGCCGCGGTCGGCCGGGTTCATAGGCCATTTCGATTCGGAAGGATCTTTAATTTCCCCGCGGAGTTAATTTGATATCGCTCCGATATTACAAGTAAGCACCTTATATATATAGCCAGAAAACAAAAAACCAAACATGCACCGAGCATCGGTACCGCAACGAGAGATACACAGATTCGACTGCAGTCCCGCCATACCCTCATGTAGGCATGCATGACCCAAGCACCAGGCCGCCGTATCGACTCGCTATGACTGGGATTCGAATATGCAGTCATGTCTGCTGCCTAGCTAGCTAGCTAGGTGACCTCCTCAGCTAGATATTGACTGAGTGTACATACATGTATCTATATATCGAATAGTTCAAAACATCTATCATCCACCAAGCACCGCATGGATCCGAGCCAAAGACATCTCGAGACCATTCGAGCTTCAGACCCCCCCCCCCCCCCCAACCCCCACGTCATAAACACATTATCGTCCAAAACCGACCCATAACACCCACTGTCCAGCTCACACCGTACCAACCACACACATAAGCAAATCGGGCGCAAAAATTCGGCTACAACGGCTTTGCCCACCATAGGCCAGCAACCCGCGCATCCAATGAGCCCACACACACACACACACACACACGCACCTATACGTCAAGAGATCTCGAGGCATCGAACATGTAAGTGCTGCATATCTATCGTCAATCGTTGACCAAGTGTCACCCACCCACCGACCGACCGACCGACCGACCGAAACCGTTGGACTCAACGGCTGCGACTTGCCGACCGAGTGACACTCCATGATGCCTACCTAGCGCCCCCCCCCAATTAACGCCGCACACCTGCCTGCGGTATTGTCTACAGACCGCATTCCTTGCTGTCTTTCTCTGCTCATGTAGGTACATGGTACTCCACCGTATGTAGAGTACATAGAACATCCAGACGTACCATACCCGTTGCAATTGTAGGTACATGGCAATTACACCGAGTAGGCGAGAACTACATGTAGCTCCGCGCAAACCAGAGTAGGTACATACATAATCCCCCTATGATAGAGGGATGCTTCCATCCTCCGTGGACCATGCAGCTGAGTAACACTTTTTTTTTCTTTCTCTTACTCCGCCAGCCCACGTACGTACATACGTACATGTATCCAGATGCACTAGAGTACATGATAATAACCCTGCAGACAAAAAAAAAACCCACCCCAATCAAAAAAACCAAAAACCAAAACCAGACCCTCCCAGCAATGGGGGGGGGGGGAGGAGATCCCTGGCTAGCGCACACCCAAGCTTTTTTCTAGGCGATTTTAGTTTTTTTTTTTTTTTTGAGGGGGGGGGGAGGGTTACGTTACAGATGGCCCCCGTTTTGTGTGTGCGTGTGTTACGTAGATAGGCGGGGAGGCGGCAGGGGGAGGAGAGAGAGAGGGAAGCCTACCTACATGCCTAGGAGGGATGGGGGGATGGGGGATGGGGGATGGGGGACTTTATCTCCTTGTGTATTGTAACTATACCTACATACTACATCATACATACACATACACATACACACACACACTCTCTCTCTCGCCCTCACTCGCTCGCTCACTGGGGATTACTTACACCAGATCTTCGTACATCACTCGGTGTCCTCCTCCTGTCCATCATATGGGCCCATTGACAGCCAGCCAGACAGCCAGACGTACAGCCAGATAGAGAGAAAGACCAGATCCCCTGCACGCACTTCACTACGTGACAAGACCCAAGAGCTGTCTGGTAGATCACGAGATCCACAATACCTCACCTCACCTCACATACCTCAACCTCACCTCACATACCTCAACTTCAACCTCAACCCCTATACCCGCACATACAACCAAACCCCCCCCCACCCCCCCCACCCCCCCCCACAACCAAACCAATGCTCCAATGCCCCCACTAACCCCCCACCACAACCTACAATGCCCCTCCTCTATCACCACCGCCGCCGCCGCCAGTCCAACCCCAATCCCGGCCCAGGCCCAGACCCAGACGACGACGACGACCCCACGGCCTCAAACCTCGTCAACATGTACTTCCTGATCCTGGCGCTGTTTGCCGTGCTGCTCGTGTGCACGCTATGGTACTGGCGGCGCAGCAAGCGCAAGGAGGCGCTTGTGTCACTGGGCGTGCGGCAGACGGCGCTCGTGGCGGATCTGGAGATGCGGAGGAGGCGTGGGGATGCTGGTGGTGGTGGGGGTGGTGGGAGTGGGGAGGAGGCGGAGGGGAGGGGAGGCGCCGCCGCCGTATGTGACGAGGCCGGAGAGGGCCGCGGGGGGGTTGCCGAAATATGAGGAGGTTGTTGGTGGTGAGGAGAGGAGGAGCGCTGGTGATGTCGGGGTGGGGGTGGGGGTGGGAGTGGAGGTCCGGGAGCGGAGGGAGGAAGAGGAGGGTGCTGGTGGTGGTGGAGTAGGAGTGGGAGACCGAGAGGAAGAGCGTGGGGTCTCTATTGCGGTGCCGCCGCCGGTTCATTAAGAATTGATTACAATGCCCCCCCCATTGTTCCGTCTTTTTTCTTTTGTAATTTCATTTCTTTCATTTTCTTTTTAAATTGGTGTTTGTTGGATTTGTTTTGTGGGTTCGGGTTCGGGTTGGCTGGTTGGTTGATTGGTTGGTTGGTTTTTTTTGTTTCCACTTTCATTACCTCCATACATATATTTTTTTTCTTTGGGGAGGGAAGGGAAGAGGGAAGATTGCGATCTCGTTTTCGTGTCTTTATTTTTTATAGCTTTGTGTTTTTGTTTCATAACTCTACATAGGTATACTTACAAAAAGGTTGGTAATCTGGCATGGGCACGGCACGGCATGGATGGGGGATTAATTGATTCATGAAATTGTTTCTTAATTGTTTCTTGTTGTTTTTGCTGGAAGCGCTTATTCCTATTGACTGACGAAGCTGGAATGTTTGATGAACGGGTAATTAATATAGCCCGTAGTTGGGGCTTGAATAGAAATAGACAATTAATCTGTAAGGATAGCTTAGTAGTGTGGTGGTTGTGGTTGCGATAATGATGATTATGAGACCTGGCCGGCGTTGTTTCGTTTTAAACACAGAATCTGATACTCATCCTCATCTTCGTACTCACCCTCGTATTTGGCCGTGATTCATCAAGATCGCGAGATTTCGATCCCCCAACCCTTCACGTCTTCACGTGTGTCTCACACTCCGCGAATGAACATCGTGCGCGGCTCTGCTCATCCCTGCTGAAAGGGCGCCAACAGACAGCCCAGCCAACTGTTATTTACCTCGGCAGCAGTGCTCGGCTTCGTGTCTGCCTGCTGTCAAGTCCAAGTCTCTCTCTCTCTGGGTTGCCTACCTACCTTACTATCTGCTTGCTTTATATTAGCTAACCTCCCCCCCCCCCCCCCCCAATATCTATCCCCTCGGTCTCACGTTCTCTCGCCCACCCTCTCATATATTCCCCATACTTTAACATGTGGCGCTACCCCCGAACCCTCGGAGTACAATCCCCACCCCGTCACCACCACCACCAGCAGCAACAGCAACAGGTAAACTCACCCCATCCACCAGCACCCCCATCCTCGAGAACTACCAATCTCCACGACCACGATCACGACCACGACCACGAGGATATGTCACCCCAGAAGAACACACGCTCGATGAGCCCTGCGTCTCTCGCGATGCCACCGCCCCCACCGCCAAAGCCAAAGAGCGTCACGATGGAGGAGGCCCCGAGTTTGCACCACAAGCCCAGTAGCAAGCCCGTTATGACACCTCCGGAGGCATATGCCAATTATAGACATTTCAATGTCACTATTCCGGCTCCGGGGGTCGCCCATGTCGAGATTAATAGGCCCGAGAAACTTAATGCGTTTTATAAACTGTAGGTTGTTGCGTTATATATTGACTCCCCTACTCCTGGCTAATTGGGAGTTAGGATGTGGGATGAGTATGGCTCGATCTTTGACCGTCTGTCGAGCGATTCAGCAGTACGCTGCATCGTACTTTCGGGCGCTGGCGAGAAGGCCTTCACAGCTGGGCTGGACTTGGAGATGAACATGGAAATGGTAGGGGGACGGGCAAAGGGCGACGAAGAGGCTCCGATCGATCCAGCGAGGAAAGCGTGGGCACTTAGGAAGCACATTCAAGAGTTTCAAGAAGCGATATCGGCGGCTGAACGGTGTGATAAACGTATGTTTGTTGTTGTTTTCCCGCGTTTGTTTGTTTTTTTTGTGGGTGGGGGGGGGGTGGGTGAATGAGCCAATTGGGTTCGTGTGTTAACCGCCTCGTGTTGTTTCAGCGGTCATCTCCGTGCTTCATGGATTCTCACTAGGCCTCGCTATCGATATCGCCTGCGCAACCGATATTCGTATTTGTGCCAGCTCAACAACATTTGCTGTTAAAGAAGTTGATATCGGGCTCGCTGCTGATATCGGCACGTTGTCGCGTCTCCCGAAGGTTGTGGGGTCGTTGTCGTGGGTCAAGGATGTTACAATGACTGCACGCTTCTTTGGCGCGGAGGAGGCCCTGCGTGTGGGGTTGGTTAGCGCGGTATACGGAAGCAAGAAGGAAGCCTTGGAGGCGGCTATGAGGTTGGGTATTACGTTGGCGGGTAAGAGCCCTGTGGCTGTGCAGAGTACTAAAGCTCTGGTGAATTACAGTGTTGGGAGGAGTGTGCAGGAAGGTAGGTTAAAAGTCCAAAGTTCTGCTTTGAGGGTTTCATTTATTGACTCGTATCAGGTTTGCTCTATACACAATCGTGGAATGCGGCGGCGTTGCAGACTCAGGATGTGCCAAATGCTATCAAGGCTACCATGCAGAGGAAGAAACCTACCTTCTCAAAGTTGTAGAAAAGGAAAGATTCTCTCCCCTGCGCCCCCCCCCCCCTACCTTCTCACTTGGCCGAGTGTTTTTTTCTCGCTATTTCTCCTTTGGTTTCACTCTTAACTCCCCCTGGTTGCGTTTTTATTATACTGGACTCTTTTTTCTTTTTTGTTTATTTGCGCTATCATGCTACTAGTATTACTTTTGAAGGAGGGAGGAAAGCGTTGCTGTTGTTATTGCTGTTTGTGTATTTCATGAGCGATGAGAATTCAAATTGTTCTAAGCGTATCTTTTTGCTGTTTTATCGTAACGATGAATAAATGAATAATGTATCGATGCATGTAGTTGTAGTAACTGTATAAGATGCATAACATGGTAGGATATGGTTTGATTTTGATTGAAGCTCCTTGCTGGTGGTGGGGGCGGTGTGTCAGGTACCCCCCATCCTCGGCTTTCCACAGCTCCTTCCCTTTCAGTAACGGTATAAATGACAACAATCAAACGGTAGCTTCCCTCGGAGTTTCATGCGGTAAAGTAAACTGGAAGCTCTCAAGCCTGGAGGAATTGACCAAAGGAATTGGGTTTTCCTGGTCAAAATATCTCCGTTTTTTTTTTTAAAAAAAACCCCCTTGACATCCATTTTGCAATATCGTATGTATGTAGAACATGACGACATACACTGCATAGGACTAAGACAGTAGTCCCGGCACCCTCCGTCGCTGATACTCCATTATGGTTGTTTCTGGCCAATTTTGGTTCAACGGTATGGTGGTTTTGGATGTCAAGTTCGGATGATAGGTTCAAATTGGCCCTGGTGGGTGTCAAATCGGACGGCATTACAATTTTGTCAGAAATAAAGGTGAAATATCCGTTTTTGATAATGTACGGCGTCTGACATCGGACAACCACCGAAAGTGGAAAACCCACTTCCCCGCCGGGTAGGGCAGGGCACGCTTTGTGTTAGCCGGATGTCTGAACCTGGACATTATCTCAACGGTGACGGCTATAGCTTCTGGAAGTACTCTATGTGCGTACTGTACCTGCATAGCACATCCGTGTGCATAATGTTGTCATCCACCGCTCTAAAGAAGAAGAGGTGGTCTTTCCGGCATAGAAATCCTGTTATAACTCCTGAAAAACTATGCCTCAATAGTTTTGAATAGGTTGGAAAGTATTGATTAGCTCTCGGATAGCATAACTCACACCAAAAAAGTCTTAAGCGGTAGAATTTTTATCCGCAATGACCTTGTTCGAAGCTGCGTGTGTGATTCCCAAACTCCCGGGATCTCACGGGGATCGTATGCTTCAGGCTCACCCGGAGATGCAAGTTGATGATCGAAGATGACGGCGTCGAAAGGTGTGCAACGAGGTAGGAGCCCGAGAATGACACTCACCCGCATCTCAAGTCTTGGTTATTCGATAAGACGTGCGCGTGTTCAGCAACTGATATTTGCTGCTGAAGCCCATTATTTCAGTCCCGGGAAAGAATCCAGCAGAATGATATCATTCATACATATAATTTTTCTAAGTTGTGACAAATCATGAAGGAGTACATGTAGCTTCTGGCACTATGGGACCACGTACGTGCGCAATACGGGATAACATGGCTCAAATCGGACACGCGTCGTGGAAAAGCCAAAAGTTGATCTGATCAAATCCTCATATATTGAGCTGAGACTTGTCTCTTCTTCACATCGATACATCATCGTAAGTCTCTTTCTATGTCTCATCGATTGGCTTTTTTTCGCTAATTGGATAACCACAATCATAGCATGCGTGCATACCCGTACGATATACCGACGTTCATTTGACCTGAGCCCACAGAGAAAAGAGCCATTTCATTCTTGCCGGCATACAACCCCCCCCCCCCCCCCCCCCCCCCCCCGCGGCTCCTACGCAAGCACTGAATGTCCGTCTTCGAGCTTGATTTTTATCATCTGTAGTTTGAGAAATGATCGATTGTTGTCTGGTTCTCAGCAGGTATCCTAATGGTAATTTCAAGTTTACCTTATAATTAAGCTGATCAAAGAGGGTATGGCATGGAGGTGGGAGGTTTACCCCCCCGTATTTTCATTACAACACTAACGCAAAGTCGTTTTAGTACCGGCAACTGCTGTCACGAGGTAACAACTACCTCCACCACTATCGTTCGATATTTGAACTTTGTGCAACCTCATTGGATTCACGACATCTCACTCGCTACCTATCGCCTCGTGACGTAAAAACATGCCCACCTTATGCAGTTGGTTTTTTGTTGGTGGCAGGTGTGCAATCTCAAGGTACCCTAGCTACTTCTTTTCTCTCGATAAGAATTCATATGTGAAGTAGATAAGAACGGTTTTTTTTTAACATTTTTTTCCTTAGCGGGTTGAAGTAGAGTTAAAGAATGGCACTAAATAACTACCGGCCGGACGCGGTTAACCCGTTCTGGGCAACGCCGCACGGACTGAAAGATGAAACAGAAATCAGGTTAGGTTTTCAGTTGGCCAAAGCGTCTATGAGCGTCATCTAGTTCACAGCCAAAGGTCTGTCTTGTTAGCTAGCTAGGGGTGGGAGATTAGATCCCAGTTTTTCTCGTTAATTAATTTCGGTGAGGAGCATGATTAAAGATGAGTAAACAGCGAAAGAAGTCGGCGAATGAATTTAGTAGGCAGAAGAAGTAGGCAGAAAAATATAGAGCAATGGGCCAGCGAACGGATAGATAGGAAATGTCTTATTTTCTTTTGAACACTAACTACACAAAGTGAGGTTTTGAAAATGTTATTGATATGAAACTTAAACATTCGCAAGGACATCAGAAAGGAAAAGGAAGGAAAGGCACCGGAAAATCTACTCTACGAATTTCACCAACAAAATAGAGCCACTGACCTTACCTTGCCTAAGATTTTTAAATTAGGGCATCACGTGCCAATCAGCGCCTAGGCAAGTTAAGCTGGTTTGTGTATCAATACCGTATGCAAAAAAAGGACGAAAATCAGAATCCGCCCAACCAATCAATACGAGATCAACTTCCCCACTCTTACCTCCCTCGGCTTCTCTTCATATAGCTCAGAGCCAGAAATAGAATTACTTCCCGATCTTCTCTGAGGAAATGTCGTCGTAAGCTTCCTACTGCTTGATCTCCAGCTTCCTTCGGGCCGCTCGTGTGAGAATTTACAAGTAGGCCAGTAGTCACATTCGCCGAATCGCAAGAAGAAGGTACAATGCGTTTTGATGTGTTGTGGTGGTGTCGGCGAGTCCTGCGAGATGAGTAGGGTTAGAAAGTAGGAGAAGGATGAAGAGTGGGTGTGAGCAGTTGTATTTGTGAGCTCAACTCACGAAGGAACATGTTATTATTGGGCTGGAGCAAAGCAGGCTGCTCTAGTGGGGGTGATGTGCTGCAGGTGGGATAGGGTACAGCTCAGAGAAAGAAAAAGAAAAGGAAAGAAAGAGGAAGAGTAACTAGAAGCCTATAGGAGTGTGTTGAGATCGGCATATAACAATATTCAATATATGTTAGTTGGTAAGTATTTACCTTTTTATCTCTAACTTCATTATTACACTCTTCCTCATTCTCTTCTTTTTCAGCTACGACCTCCTCACTCTCTTCTCTCCTCCATTTACCCCCAATACTCCTGCGTATGTGTGTATCCCTTTCTCTCTCAGAAATTGACTCGGTAGAAGAGGTGTCAGTAGCTCGTCCCGGTACACTGGTTGAGCCGTCTCTAGTGTCTTTGTGCACTTTCTCCGTGGGAGGGGCGTGAATGTAGAAACAGTCTTTCCCACGCCTGCAGCCAATCCTTCTCTGGAAGTAAGCGCAAGGCCGAGCTTTATGGCACCCATCGTCACCTTCATCCTCTTCTTAGAGTATAATATACTATTGAGACGACGAGTCCTCGTGTGAATGTGGGTGGGTGTAGAATGGGCTGTTTTTTGAATATCCTTCCGCAGAGGAAGCAGAAGAGAAAGAGGAGTAAGATGATAGAGCAGCTCTAGATTGCATTATTTCTGCGTCGTCACGAGTACATTCTGACCCTGCAGGGGTAGTGGCAGATTTCTCACAACCCGAAGATTGGGTTTCTCTGCCTTGGCCCTGATACTGAACCAATCCATGGGGATTTTGCGGTGTAAATGCTACCGCTGGCGCCGGCGTAGTTTCCAATACCTCTGGTGCAAATCTTGGGTGAGAGATTTCCTGAAGCAGAGATATTGTTCCGGGTCCGGTTGGTGGAAGCACCGTGATTGTCGATGGAAGATCAGCTGCTGAAACGAGAGGGAGTACGGTCCCATTTTTGTGAAGGAGAAGATAGGTGTAGTAAAGTATTTGGGTGCTTTTGGTATTGTTGGAAAGTGACAAGACATTGGAGGACATTGTTGGATATTAATCGGCGAGTGACTTATCCGTGGGGATGAGTATTATGAGTAGTAATTTTATATAGGAATATCCTCAAATACGTTAGTGGCAATGGGGGTACCAGCCAAGGTAAGATCTTGAGGACGTGAGTGATAATCGTGAGAAAATAGTTTTCCGGAGAAGGCACAGATATATAGGAAAAATAAGTTCGACTCCTAAAGAAAGGAACCCCATCTCTGTTTGCTTTTGAATCATTCAAGCAGATAATATTCATGAGAACGCTAGAGCGATCCTGATTACCTACCGCACAAAGGAGTTGGGTGAGTATGTAACGTTATGTGGTATTAGTGAATACCTAGAGAAACCCACCCCCGAGACCTAAAGCCCAAGAATTGTAAGATTTATGCCAGTTGCCTTGTTGCCTTGACTGTGTTCGGGCGAGATTGGTTTAATTTCTGAGAATAAGAGTGTTTATTTATGTAAAATTATGTAGGTACACTTTAATTAGTTGCTGGACGGCCTGAAGCCTAGCTTGGTTTGCTCCTGGGGTTAGTGGTTTTGTGAGGTGTTGGTGATGATCTGTGATGCGGATATCCGAGATTGATTTTCCGGGCTGCTAAGTGCTCATTGTTGGCCTGGCCTGCCCTGCGGCGGTTTGCAGCAAGCAAGCAAGCAGGCAAGCAAGCATGTAACAGATCAAACAAAAGTGGGTGTCTGAGTGGCTGGTGATCATCAAAATCCCCTCCATCCATACCATCTCTCCATGGCCGGCCTACCCCCCCCCCCCTCTCTTAATCAAATCAAGCATCACTTTTTATCCCATAACTTTCCCCCCATAATCTTCGACTAAGAGGCTTCTACTGAGACTGGCTTTTGACCCTCCTTTGGTGGAGCTGGCTGGTACTGTAAGTAGATAGACCACCTCATGTGGGCAGTCCTGCAGAGAGTAAATCCATATGTGGTAATGTTAGGTACATGTAGTTCTTCCGGTGGCATAATTTCCAGGGTCTGCTACTTTCTCAGCCAGGTATCCCTCTCACCGCCCCCCCCCCCCCCCCTTCTCTCTCTGTCAAGAACCCCAAACCAAACGATGTGACTATAATGTCTCTTCCCGCGTGGGTGAAGTGAGTGGGAAAGTGCGAGTGTGCAAGTAATGTGAAAGTGAACACTAGTGACTCAGTCTTTCCAGACTGTCGGGAACATCGCCCAGAAAACCGCGGCGGCAGCAAGTCGCACAGCTCTCCCTGCCTCTTCCTGGCACTCTCTGGCTTTCTTTCATCTGGAGGAATTATAATAGAGGCTAAAATCCCTCTTTTTTTCGTCCCCTTTCTTGATCTTGACACCTTGGTATAAGAATTCTCGCGGTCTCTTTTATATCTCCCCATCTGCAGCTCATACCCCCCCCCCCCCTCCCCCCTCCTCTCATCTTGCCAGTAATATCAGTATATGCCACCCCCACAACTAGCAGTAGCGAAGGCAAATTCCTTATAAACATGGCCCCGCGTAGCGCCCTCCTCATCCTAGGGATCCAGAATGAATTTCTCGATCCTGATATCGGCCGTTGCATCATGGCCGCTCCCCCTCCCGGGAGCCCGTCCTTTGTCGATAACATCAAGGCCTTCGTCCCGCACTTTCGTGCAAACGGTGGCGACGTCATCTGGGTGCGGAGCGAGTACCAAAAACCACGTGATTTTATCGACCCTCGCAGCAACGAGACCGTGCTCATAATACATGACGACGACGACTCGTCCGACTCTGAGACGGAGCACAACAACCACAGACCTAGGGGCAATGAGGCTGGTGGGTCAGGAGTGGGAGCGGGAACAGCGGGAGGTAGGAGACCTCGCGCTGGTTCAAGCCCTAGGCCGAAGCTTGCGAATGGCGCAAGACCTCCGCTGCGCTCCGACGCGTTCCTGGCGATTGAAAGCCAGCATCCGCCATGTAAGCCGGGGACTCCCGCGTGCGAGTTTCACCCGTCAATTGTTTCGTCGATCAAATCGCCGCCTGATAAGATCATGGCGAAGACGTGGTTCTCGGCCTTCAAGGATACAGGTCTTCTTGAGACGCTGAGAGGGAGGTTCGTCTCGGAGCTGTACATATGTGGAGTTCTCACCAATATATGTGTCCTTGCAACGGCAGCCGAAGCAGCTAAGCATGGGTTGAATACTTATGTGTTGAAGGATTGTCTAGGATACAGGAATCTAACAGCTCACCAGGAGTCATTGAAGGTCATGGTTCACGATTACGTGGTGGAGGAGGTTGAGAGTGAATCATTGGTGAAGGGCTGGGAGAAATGGAGGTTGAAGGCTGGGGGTAATGGTAGTAATAACGATAACGGATCAGCCGGTATTCAATTGGGGGCCACGAGCCTTTCGAAGGAACAGTTGGTTGCGATGGTGTCTGGGCTGAAGGTGGTGGGAGGTGAGAGCAGTGGTGAGAGCAGTAGGAGATTACCTGCAGAACCTGTCAAGGAAGTACTGGCGGAAACTGCGGCTACCCCGCTAGACGACGACAAATCTGTCCTCCCAGCTGATCTAGCGCCGATCAATGAAGAAGATTACCAGATATTGAAGTCAGCAAGGAGCGCCCACAAGTCAAAGGCAGTAATGGGGGTACTGGGGTAAATGAGGTATCCGCAGCAGGCGCAGGCAAGAATGATAACGAGCCCGGCGATGAGGGGAGGAAAAAGGATGAAAAGATGCATAGAGAACACAGAAAGAAAAAGTCACACGCAAGCAGTTCGAAACGCGACAAGTCAAACACAATCTCTCAAGGTAGCAGCAGTTCATCCGGAAACCCAAGGTTCGATTCAAAATCTCCGATCATGGGAGAAGGGGATTTTCTTGGTGAGGGCGATTCAAATCTAGTCAACAATATCCTGCCTCCATCCCTATCTAAGACGGCATTCGATAGGCTGAAGAAAGAGGTAGCCTGGAGGACCATGTACCATCGTGGTGGCGAGGTTCCAAGAATGGTCGCGGTGGAAGGAGTAATTGATGATGATGGTGATGAGAGAAGGTATGCTTGAGATCAGTAATCGACTTCTTTTTCGAAGCTAACTCCAATTTCAAAGTTTCCCGATATATCGCCATCCGGCTGATGAGTCGCCTCCTCTCCTACCATTCTCCCCAACGGTACAGCTTATAGTGGACTGCGTCCAAAAGGCCCTAAAACACCCGGTTAATCACGTCCTGATACAACACTACCGTGACGGCAATGATTACATCTCTGAACACTCTGACAAGACCCTCGACATTGTGCGAGGATCCAAAATCGTTAATGTCAGCCTGGGTGCTCAGCGAACCATGGTTCTCCGAACAAAAAAGGATGCCGCAATGCAAAAGGCTGCCGAATCAAGATCACAAGAGCAGTCAAACCAACCAGAAGGTCATGGTCCGGAACGAACGACCCAGCGTATACCACTTCCTCATAACTCGATGTTTATCCTAGGCCTTGAAACAAACAAAAAGTGGCTCCATGGAATTCGACAAGACCGACGTGAGAAAGGCCTCAAGACCGCCCAGGAAATGTCTCACAACGGCGAAAGGATCTCCTTAACCTTCCGCCATATTGGGACCTTCCTCTCAGACAAAGAAGATAAAATATGGGGCCAAGGTGCCGTCTCTAAATCTAAGGCCGAGCGACGGCCTGTTATCAACGGCGATGATCCAGAAACTCAAAGGCTGATTGAAGCTTTTGGCTCTGAAAACCATCAAAGTGACTTTGACTGGGACGCAGCCTACGGCGGCGGCTTTGACGTCTTGCATTTCGTCCCACAGCTACCAAAACTATTTTTTACAAAAGGTGATATCGGCAGCATGCAAGTCCGCATGTGCCTATTGGAGAAAGGAATTGTGTTCACTCCCTATGAACTCGAGCCCAATGAAACCAGCTCGCCTTCCTTCCGCGTTTTGAACCCTCGAGGTACCGCTCCAGTGTTTGTGGATGTTGACCCCGAGAAAACAATAGTTTGTGAGGCACTTTCAATCCTTCAACACATTGAAATGTTCTATCCCTCCAAGGACCCTGGGAAATTTCTGCTGCCGTCCCCCAAAGATGAAAGGGCCGCTTTTTCGAGGGTTCTACAACACATGCAGGAAAGTGAAAAACTACACAAAGTATTGGAAAGTGATAACCAGGTGGCGATTGATACCGAGCTGGAGATTTGGGACGCGCGCTTATTTAGAACGAAAGGGTATCTATCGGGATCTGATATCAGCCTTGACGATACCGCTGTGTGGCCAGTCCTGGAGAACTATATGAAGCGAACTGGGTTAAAGCATCTGGTTAAGTTTAGTGAATTGGATACGTGGTACAGCCTCGTTAAGGAATGCGATAGTGTTCAGGTCTTATCTAAAGAGGTGGTTAGAGATGCGGTATCTGAAACAGAGGGGTTAGAAAACACTATGGCAAGACTAAAGTTGGAGTCAGAGGTGAAGGAGACTTAAAACACGTGGGCAAGCGGTAATGATTATAATTTGTTTGATATCATATACTGTAATTTCTTAATATTCTTACTGGCCTTGGGAATAACTTGGAATAACTTGGTGGATTTGGTCGACTTAGGGGGATAAACTATACGTATTTTAGTAGCCGTTATTATTACTTCAGAAGCAGAAAAGTCTTTGTATTTTCGGTAAAGATTATTCAACATTTAGTTTTTTTTGATTGGGGGGCGTTGCTTAGCTGTTTCTTGGCCCTTACAACTTTAGATCTTATTAATAATAATTCTATATATCTTCTTTAAGTTGGTAGTTTTGTTTGTCCAATTCGATTGGGACTAGTCTCTCCTTGTTGGTTATGTAGTAAGGCAATAGCCGAAAATGATGGGACACGCCGCCAATCACTCCCGTGAGAGGACGCTGATAATCGAGTCATGAAATATCACTCGTGATAACATGCGACACATATTAGACCCAAAGCTCAGTGGGAAAGAGTTCCCAGACACAAGAGTGGCACTTAAATCCCAGGAAAAAACTCATTTCATCCGGCCCTTGATGCAACTTCCGAACACAGGAGGGTTCGGAGAAGTAGATGGCTCACGCTGTAAGGGTCGAGGAAAGACCGAGCTTTAAAATTAGTGGTGACAATTGAGCATAGAGGGAGAGATATAAGGACGAATAGGGCCTCCAGGAAGGTACATACCTTGCAGAAGTTAAAGGGGACTTTTTGTTGGTCCCTCGGCGCAGCCTATGAAAGAGGGAATGGGAAATGCCCAATCTTGATTCTGAAAAGCCGAAAAGAGCCGGATTCAAAAAAACCCCATCATCTCTAAAAGAGGGGCAAGCGGGTAACCGGAGGTCTGCCTCGACCGCTGAGCTGCTAGTATAAATATTACCTTGGGATATAGAGATATAAGCGTCCTAGATATGATTCCTCTATAAGAGATAACTAGATCCCCAGTCAGTGCATGATAGATGATATATGAGGAGGGGGGTGGGTGGTGGAGGTATTCACATGGGTTGTGGGTGTAGCCACGCCCCACAGTGTGAAGTCCCATCTGGCCATGGTGGGGATATATACATGTATGTAATGGGGCCGATTATTAGGGAAATATGTATACACCTACGATGCAGCATTTAGGGTGCATGGAGTAGAGTGACAAGAAAATTCTTGGTTGGAAGGGAGATCGAGATGCATGAGATAAGTGCATGCTTTTCGACATTTCTGCTATTCACTAGTAAGTACATGTATACTAGTCTCGTGACCATCCCTTACGGGTAGCTTGCCGGAGGCAAGTGCTGGGATCAAACCTACATGTATGTATAGTTCTAGGACATAAATCATCGTATGGGGCGGCGTAGCAACGGGTTTCGACACCTCCCGCCCCATTATGACTACCCACCCAGCAACCACAATTGACCCTTTGGAGAGCTGTTTTTTTGTATAGTTGTTCAATAGTAGCTAAATAAAGATAATTGGACATTTAATATCTTGTATACCAACCCCTTGCCTTTATAACAGCTCTATTCTCCTAAGCATACTCTCAACTAGCTACCAAATCTCTAGAGAATAAATCATCAGGTAACAGTTCCCAGCAATGAATTAGACCTTCCTCCACGAGGGGCTTCAATACTTAAGGTGATCTAGTATCATATCCCAAATGGGGGTAGTGTTGGTAAAGCTTCTTGAGATGTACTCAAACATGTTCAATGGGATTTAAGTCAGGGGAATAGGTAAGCTAGTCCCCCAGAACATCTACCCCACACTCCTCCAACCGCTGAGTTGTAAGGGTTGTGGTGTATACCATGGGGTACACTGTCTCTGGGCGCCATCGGTGGCCGTGGAAAAAATTTGTGGTCAGGCATTGCAGTCAGGCGTTGCAGCGTTGCGACCTCACACCTTCCAATAATTTATGGCATCACGCTGTACATATGTACCTGACGTCACTTTTCTAGCGAGGGAGGCCCAAAGGGTCTACCAATACCAGACAAAGAATGGACTATTCTTTATGGGCAACTCTATCTCTGGGCACAATTTTTGTATATCACATATTACCAAAATCCACTCCTTTTACAAGGCCCAACGTCACAAAGTCCAATAGATCACAAGAGCACCGAAGCCCATAATCACACGAAGAGAGCCTGGCAGCATCGCCACCAGGAACACGCAACAAAGGCTCATTTACTATCATTCGGGGTATATAGACCACCTCTGCTTTATACAGCAACCCAAGCAATCATTCAGGTGGGCATTACCATTTCACTGACGCCAAGGCTCATGGTTCGTCACTCGTCAACGTACCTTTCTATGATTAATCAAGGATTATATAACAGACCAAACATTATGAAACCACCCCCGATCAAGTCGGAGAAATTTAATCTTCCCTTCTCGATGCCAAGAAATGGATATGGAGCACAGAGAAAATTTTGGAAACAAACTTCTCTTGAGTGCTAGTACAGCAGCCTATATGTAATGTGTTTCATCAAAGCTTTGAGCGTGATCATTCCGACTCAAGAGCCCGGATCTATTCCTTGAGCTGTCACCAAAATGCCGACCCTTTTTGCGAGGGCTAAGAGCGGTAAATCCAAGTATGCGATTGGTGAGCTATTGACTCGTGATAAGAAAATCGAGGAATCGTTGGCGAAGTCAAGTCATTTTTCAGAAGATAAATCCAGGTCAGAAGCGGCATGAAACTCCCCGAGCAATCGCTAGCGAGATGCGTGTTTTAAATTCCCTTTCCTAAGCTCACAAGCTAATTACTAGGAGGTCACATATGGTGAGGGTATCATATATCCCTATGTCGGTTCACAAGGTGTAAGCACCCAATCTAGATCTCTCAGGGTTAAAGTGCTGGAGCTTGAGCAACTGGATTTCGATAGGTTTATGCAAGATTTGTACTTTCCAGGAGGATAAGTTTTGGTCAAATTTGTGCGAGAAAACGCAAAACTGTTGGCGGAAACTTATTCTCCTGGTAAGTACTCGGGTGTAAGGGTAAGTGATCAGAACTGCCTCTGGTTGGACAGAACCTCGAGAGAACCTTCTGGTTGGCCTGGTGTGCCAAGTTGGCCCACCTGGGGCTTATATCAACCATATGCCCCAAGGAACTCCAGAGACCAAATTTTGCCCTCAGTTTTATTGATATCTGCTGAAATTTAACTCTACATAGACAAATGTATGTCCAAATACAATATAGAGTAGGTGCTAATAAATAAAATATTTTATATATTTTATGGATTTTTTGATGGGGATTTGGCAATAGTTCTGATGACTTTTTTCCCCCATTCAAGATATAAATTCTTGGCAGATCTTATTGGCTCCAGCCTGTTGCACCCACATATCCTTAACCAATCTCCGTTGAGTTCTGATCACTTTGGTGCACACCCGAGTACAACATATCTCGTTTCTAATATTTTCATGGGACATCACTCGCTACCGCGGATCATACTTCATCACAGAAAATCACTCGGCCAATCAAACACCCTCAGTGTTCTCGAAACATTGTATTAATAATTATAAATCCAAGTTTTCTCCAAAATTCCTCGAGAAAGAATCAAAATGTACTCCTAAAGAGAAAAACCCAACAGCGATCAAAATACATTGGTATATGATCGCGAAGAGAATAAGATGAACGCCACTCATCCCTTAAGATATCCGCTGCCAAAGCTCTAGATGAGGGATGCAAGAGCGATACAACCAAGGTTTATCAGACCGTTCTATATGAAGTCAGTATATTGAGCAAAACTAGAAGTATAAGAGCTAGGAGCCAGTATACCTGAGTTGTGTCTCCCTGACAACAAGCAGCCTTGGCATCACACGCTTTGTTAACAGGTACCTGGACTAAATTCGAACACACTATTAGTAACACACAAAAGCTTCTCCTATACTGTCAAAGAGATACTCACGGGCAGCAATTGGCAAGTTAATTGGAGTGCACTGCAAGCCGATATCCCCACTCCCAAACACAGACCCCAACAACCCAGCATTCTTCGTGTCGCCCTGCTTCTCAATCTTGTTGCAGCAGTTCAACTGTGCATTACCGCATGTCTGCACTCCTTGCTCGACCGTGTAGTCGCCCCTAACAGTTCCCTTGTTTGCCGCGCTGTTTCCCGCATTCTGGCCCGCATTGCCGACATCTTGGTTTCCGGACCCGTCATTACCAGAGGCAGTGACTGCGGGAGCCGGCGCAGCTTTTGCGGGTGGTGACAGGAGAGGGGAAGCCGTGGCTGTGAAGGCCAGGAGGAAAAATGCGAGGATGGTGCTGGCGTGCATTACCGAGGTGGTTTGAGTGGGAGTTTTTTTTTTTAGGTAGTAGGATAGTGAGAAGTATGGAGAAAAATGGTCAAATGAGTGTGGGGTGTTTTTTTACTTGCTTACGAGCTTGGGAAGAACGAATGGATGGTGAGTGTGGGAAAAGGACAAGAGGTAGAGGGGGCATCTTATGGGGATTTTTTGAAGGTGAGGAGTTTGTTTGTATTCCTTTCTTCATATGTTTTCGATGGGAGCAAAGGGGGGCATGTATTTGAAATTGCTTTCAATTCTTCATCTTGGACGCACGTTCTTTGAAGAACAATCTTGGCTGCGGCATGAGAATTAGATACATCTTATCTCTGGCTGCTATATAGTCGGGCTATTGTGAAATTTTAAATAACCAATGGAGAAGATCTACAGATTCCTAATTATCCCCACGCACCCCCTTGAAGGGTGTACATTTGCACATTTCACAACAGATTTTGGCCGTAATCCCCTGATATTTAGGTGTTTGGATGTATTAACATGACATAAACAATCATATCATGAGAATTAATATTACGATAGGCACATTATAGATAAAAGAGATAAATTGAGTCTGCTATTTATGTAGTTACATAACCATCCTACGTACCGAAACGACTCAACAGATAGGGAAATTAAAAGAAAAAAAATAAGAGCAAAAAAAATAACTAAGCAATGCAATCTAACTCCCCGAAACCCAGACTCGAGACCCAAATCAGCTTTAAAGGACACAAAGAAACAGTTAAACCACTCCCAGACATAGTAAAAAAAAACAAAAGAGAGAGGGACACTACGTTTTAGTTTTAAAGAATAACCTCAGCCTGGAGGGGTGTAGTGGTGAATCAAATCCCAGCGGATAATAATGACAACAAACAGGAATGGACCTTGAAACACTATAGCGCAATGATATATAACTCTCCATGGGAGATGTGCCAGTTACATGAAATTATATGATAAGCCAGAGAATTTCAACAGGCAGCACTATGCAGTGAAAGAAAGAGAAAGGCGAGAATATTTATAACAATCAAACTCCACATAACCTCAGACAGAAAAACGCTAAGAGCCGATGAAGTAGAGAAAAAATAAACCTGGAAACCCATTACATGTAAACTAACATGTACAGATGCTTCGAGCCCCGGGTGAGAAGTGATTATCGTCACACATGCCTATCCGCTAAACAACCGAAAAGAAAAGAAAAATAGAAGAGAAAAATGAACTAACAAAAGAGTCCAGGAGAAAAGCCTTGATATTCATCGATAACTTCATCCCTGGTCACCCGCCCTGAATACATGTACTTTCCCAGTGGCAAAAAGAGAGTAATGTAATAAAATATGTAAGAATGAGATACATGTGGTTTTGATCGTTCGGGTTCCATGCCCTAAATGCTCTAGAAACCTGAATAGACAGAGGAGAAAGTTTTTTAAAAATGAAACCCTATCGCCGAATAGAAAGAAAAAGATAACTGCCAAATGGGAAAAGAAAGGAAATTAAAAATAAATACTCAAAAAACTTCATTTCTCTTCGATTTTCTCAAAAAGGTGAAGTTTTTGAACTTGGCCATCGCACTGGTGTCCTCCTTTGAAGTAGGAGCACGTTGAGTTGGTGCTGGTGGTGGTTCACTGAACTTCAAGAAATCTGCCAGACTATCTGTTTCCCCTCTATCAGTCCGGGCCCCCCTGGCTTGAACTCCACCCCTGGCTTGAGCCCTGTTGCCAAAACGGGCATGGTTCGCAGTGCCCGGAGAGTCCATATCCGTCCGGGAGTCGTAAGGAGTGCGTCGTTGTTCCCCTCCTTGCATATACCGCGAGGAGGAAGAATCATCCTCTTGGGCAAGAGGGGTATGCTTGTATCCCCCAGGCATTTGCGGAAGAGGTGGCAGAGGGAATTTGTCGGCGTTCGAGGCGATCGAGTTCTTTCGTCCATTTCTACCGAAACGACCGATCAGACTAACGGAGCTGTTTTTCTTTTGTATTGTTCTTATTTCTTCGTTCTCCTGTGGTGGTGTAGGCGGCTGAGGGGGTGGCGGTACATTCCGAAGAAAATCCATAAGGCTCTCATCCTCCTTTCTTTTCTTTGGGATTATTAGGTTTAACGCCTCCATGTCTTCGTCGTCCTCTTCGTCATCCATGTCAATCGCATATGGATCTTTGATGCGTGTCTGTTTCCGTTTGGTCTCTGGCATAGAGTTAACTGCTCCGTAGTCATGTTGCTTCTTGGAATTATTACGCAGAAGGGCTGTCGAAGACGAGAAGGACGACTGATAAGAATCAGGTGGCGCAGCGGCACTAGTCAAGAAGTTGAGTTCGGTAGGTGGCGTTGCGTTGTTTACCGCAGGCTCAGGTTCAGCCTCCGGGAGCTCGAACTGGTCGGAATCCATAGTGTTGCGGAATGGAGCGACACTTCGGGAGATACGGCGCTGAGTGACTTGTCCATCAACATCTATGGGAGGTGTAGTATTCCGAAAGAAATCAGCAAGCGCAGAAGTAGAGTCGCTTGTTGTAAAACCGCTTGCATGCCGAGCTACCAGGCGATTCTTTGGGCGAGATCCGAGTGAGTCGGATCGATACTGCCTAATTACGGCTGGAATTCCGGTAATGCCACCTGGATTTAGTGGTGTAGATTCATTACTGGCTTTTGGAGAGGTGGTTACTGAGTTAGGTCTGTACATATGTCGTGAAGCCGGGCTGTAGGTAGAGTTATGAGAAGATGATGGGAGGGAGGTTGTGGGTGTTTGAGGCCTTGTTTCGGAGGGAGAAGCCGAAGTGGATCGAAGTAGCTGAGTAAGCGAGGCTACGTCCTCAAGACTGGGATCTTTAGGAATTATAGGAATTGCGCGGGCGGTAGAAGGCCGTGAAGAATTGCCAGACCTGCTTGGTGGTACGGCACGCGCCTCCTTGCCGTCTGGTCCAGTATTTCGCAAGAAGTCCACAAGTGCCGATGTTGCAGTGCGTGGCGTTTGAACTTCTTTTGACTATCGACCTGTTAGCTTACCAGATTTTGGCAGTGGGTTACAATTTACAAACCTCCATCCGCCTTAGGGGGTCAGGCGTTATAGTACAATGAATAGTATCACCGCTAGAAATCAACTCTTCGAAGCTGCGTTCTTTATCATCCAGGCTTGCAAGTTTTGTAGATGGCCTTTCACTATGTAGGCTGCTCCTGCTTTCGTCGTCTGACTCTCTTGACTGCTTTCCACTCTCCATAGGCCATGCGATAAGACTCTTCAGTTTTGTGGAATTTTGCGAAGTACCTGAATGCGATGTAACTGGGCGCTGCGCCTTTCCAGAACTTGAAGAACGTCTTGATTTATTTGGCGTTTGAGGGGGTGTCCACGCTCGTACATTACCCCGTTCTGACGGGAGTGATACGGTACTTCCAGGAGGCTGAATTAACGTAAGTTGCCCTAGCTTTCTGTCTGAAAGCTGGGAATGCTGAGAATACTTGCTACTAGCGGAGGAGGCCTTTTTTGCGTGTGCAAAGTAATCACCCGCAATTTGATTAGTACCGCCAGGCGTCAGTCTACCCCCTTCGACAAAATACTTATGGGTTGTCGTAGTTGGTGATTCATCGTCGGAATCGATTAATTCTGCCAGTGTTGTTGCTGACGGTCGTCGATCTGCAGCGCGCTGCTCCTGGAAAGTCGAGACACGGCCGTTGGTGCGTATTTCAACAAGTTCAGCTGGTCGCCTTCTTGATGATGGTGTAAAACGCTCGAACTTTGGGGTAAGATTTTCGGGATGGTCTGAATGGTCGCCAGACTTATGTAAGGGCGATGGTGTTTGAGATGCAGAAGGCTGAACTTGAATATCTGATGTGTGAGCCGAACCAATAATGCTATGATGATCATCATCTTCATCGTCTTCGTCATCAGTAGCCTGTGTGAAGAAAGTAAGTTCTGAAATCCCATCATCAGGGACTGGTGTTTTTTTTAGAGCCTCGGCCTCTTCATTCAAATGTTTGAATTCAGCAGCTCCCTGAACAGCCGATCTCTTGGGTTGTTCTTGAGTAGGAAAGTAAGATTTCCCTAACGGGTTTAGCTGCTCGGACGTAGGTTTCACAACTTGAACAGATACATCCAAGTTGAGCCCCTCTTCCGCAGGTGTATAAAATTCACCATCAATGTCCTCAAAATCTGTTTCTGCACCTTCGCCTTCTGGAGTATCCTCAACAACCGGATCAGGGAACTCCGAACGAATAATGGCAGGCAAGGAGTTGCGCCGTTTGATGGATCGGGAAAGCACAAATGGTGCTTCTGTCGTTGTTGAAGGCAACAATACCAAACTCTGTGGGCGCCTTCTCGGACTATCTTCGTAAAACTTTGGGAGGTTAGATTTAATTATTGTGGGTACTGGCTAATAAAAAATCGCCAAGTGAGTAACATACCAAGTAATCGTGACCAGCGCCGAGGTTGGAAGGAGTGTTTATTGACTCCAGGGTTTCTTTTTCTGTAGAAACGGAGGTCTTTGAAATATTAGCAAGTTGTTACTCTGATTCCCTATCGGGCACCGGCACAAACCTCTTTTACTTGGTTCTCAACATTTGTCCCAAGTTCTCTGCCCGCAGTGCCAGTAATTTCTTCTCTGATTTCTGGTGCTTCAGGTTGCGTATTCCTTGGGTCTGTTAATGTACTACTGCTGCTCATTCTGCTAGCAGTACGCTCAAGTCGCTGTAAAATCCCCCCATGAGAACCAGGTGAGGAAAACGAAGACCCTCTACCACGCACGCGTTTACGCCATTGCCTCCATAGCCTTCCCAATGAAGAGTTTAATGCAACTTTCTCCGTATCCAACTCCTCAACCATAGGCCTTTCTCTCTCAGTTGTATCGAGTTGATAGCCCCCACTCTCAATCGCAGCCATTCGTTGTGTGAAGCGATTGATAGCGGCGTGACCAGCTAGAAGCAGTGTTTGTTCACCCATGAACTCCAAAACCGCTGTGAGCCATATTGCTACTGCTGGAGAAACAATGCCGGGCACGATGCTATTCTGCTCGTATTGCTGAGAACCAACAATCCCTTCGAGGTTTCCATATCCCAAGTAGATCTCTTCATCATCCTCCTCAATATCTCCAAGTGACGAGTAGACCATACACCGCAATCTGGTCTTCTTCCATGCAGTCTCTAAATCCCATTCCGCACTAATTTCTGGGGCTTCATTCAATCCATCAAAGTCATCCCCGTCATCCCCTCCCCCAAGGTAAGAGCTTAGCTCCTGATCAGCTCCAGCAACTGCCTCTTTTGCCAACCGGTTTCGAAGTACTTCTGAAACCGCTGGCCGAAGGGCCTTCAGTGAGGTCGATTTTGATGCTGACAGGAATGAGTATAAAAGAAAATCTAGGAACTGGTTGATAAGTTTCAATGATGCTGGTGTAACTGGTATAGTTGCTGTTGCATGGCCAGCGTTGTCCTCGTCGTGTAGAAATCCTTCATGATTGCCTGTGACAATTCCTGTGGCTGCTGAAGCTGCAATATAGGCTGGCTCCGGGGTGACATTTGTCAAAGGATTGGTAAGTGAGTAAACAGAAGAGCCATTGGAGCTTAATGGTTTATCCACAGATCCAATACTTTGACTTCGCACCCGCGTCGAAGTAGACGACTTTTGTAACTGTAAATCTTCTGGTCTTGATGATCGATTCATCTTTGTCGGTTGTTGGTTCACGGGGGTAGCAAAAATGACCGAAAGGAAAGTAATAACGAATTATCCTCAGAAAAAACCAAATAAAAAATAAAACCGAGAGTTCGCTTCCGCTAAAAAAGATTAAAGGAGTAGTACAACAGCAGTGCAGCGACTCGCGTCGGGAAACGACAGGGCGGTTACCAGCCGAAGGGCATTAATGGTGTTGATAATAAATCTGCTGAGAGCTTCAGGAAGGTGCAAACAGTTGTAAGACTAGGGAGAAGGCCCTTTTTGAGAGAATCCGGCGAATCTTACTGCAAAGGCGGCGGGATTGGGCTCTGGCCGCTTACAAGAACCCACTATCAACCACACAGAAATTGGATCCCCGGTAATATCAATGGAACTATGGTCGGTTTATGTATGCAGAGTGGTCTGCGAGGACCGTTTTGAAGGCTGACTTGGGGGAGAAAAGGGTCGCGGCCGTCAATCCGTCAATCCGTCAGTCAATGGAGTAAAGTACGGGTCCGGGAGTGGGGCGTTGGTGCTTTCGAGCTTTGAGGATGGCGTACTGTCAAAGCGTTGTGAGGCAGAGAAACACAACCAAACACTATGTTCGCTGTCAAACGCGCGATGTTGCTTTGCAAGCCACTATTTTAATCAGGAAACAATCGGAGATGTGGTTGTTAATGTGCTAATGATGAAGATGGTTCTGGTTTGGGCTGCCGTGTATTAACTTGTATCTTACGAATTTCGTCTGTATTTTCTCGTTGCTTCTTTAGATTCGTACTCGCAGTAACAGCAGATAGGGTATATCGTGATCGATATGATATTCAGGGGATCTGTGAAGATACTAGGAGTGATAAGTGGTGATAGTCGCTGGAATGTTGGAGTCTATCACACATGTATGTACGTACCTACATGCACAACGAGTGAGAGAAAAGAGATGAATCAAACTTTGCGATAAATTCAAATTTGACAGAAGCAAGTGATACGCTTACATGTAGTTACATAATATGTATTTCCAGCGAGCAAGCTGCTTAACCCACACTCACACACAACACGACCTCCCACATGCCCATCAACCCAGGCAGGTACGAAAGGAAAAGAAGCACGGAAGAAGCTCATATATCTTGATCCCTGCAGAATCATCCCTGACTGGCTTCTATTGGATCACCGAACCCTCAAAATGAAGTCGATTCTAAAATACAACCCATGCTGAAAAGGAGGGTAGGGTAGACTTATGTACCAGGAACCCTGGAAGTGATGCTTCTCGCATTGCAGCACTTCAGCACTCGGCCATCTGCCTCAACTAGCTAGAAGAGATAAAATCCTTCTCTCTGGTCTCATTCGCTTCGGTGCATGGGAATCCCGATTTGGTGGTGTGCTACGAACAAAACAAGTGCCGTACCAGTTTTTGTCTTTGGACATCTTGGATGGACGTCGGTTCTACCTCCACTTTTTTGATGCACCTGCTCATCATCACCTTCCCTCTTTTCTTTTTTTCTTTTCGTTTTTTTCCTGCAGGGAAGGAAAATGCGGTTGCCAGGTACGGCATGTATGTGCGTGCCTAGTACATAGTGTGAAAAAGGAGACATCAAGCAACAATCATTGAACACTACCTACCCAGGAATCAAACGAACCATGATCCAAACTGTTCTGAAGTCTGGGATAACAGAATTGCGGGGGTTATCTTGGCCCACTAATTTCCATCTCACAAAAAGTCATGATAGGCTGTTTTGTTCCTACTTGAGCTTGGCTCTCTACCCTATAACAGACCAAAGAGGATCTCTCGCTAAATTAGTGGTCCAATCACCGACCACCTCATCTGACTTTCTGCGTTGATCATTTCTGCTCGGGGGCCGGCAATCGAAAATCCATGGCGGTGCTTTGACAACAAAAAACGCAGGCCGCCGCTCAGCTCCCCAAGAAATAGTTGTTCCAGAGAATCGGATGCATGGGTCCTTGTTGTTGTTGGTTCCCACTTGTTTTCAGTTGGGTTATTATTCCAATTAGTACTCTATGCATGTGTAACGCTTCACGCAACGCAGCTTTTCTTGCGAATCAGTCGGTATGATACTCAATACCCAACAAGCGGATGAGACCGTGCGAGAGAACTTCACGTCTCTGCTAGATGTGACAGATATCAAATATGAATTGGAACATCATGTTCCGTTTGTCAAGGACGAGGAAACTTTGATACATGAGGCTCGACAGTATGACGCTGTCATCCGGCTAGCTTACTCTCGAGGGTATTCTAAGCGCCTATTGTTATTCAGAAGCGCTCGCCTTATCTTATTAATGCCTACCTACATACATAATTCCACGTTTCCCTTAACTATGCCGAACACCAGTTGGCAGTGTGTACTTTCCCACGATGGATCCCAAATCAGTGATATATTGGCTGTTGGACTATATTATTTTGTGCGGCGAGTTATATCTCCAGTGGGCAGCGACAGCCTGCGAATCTATTCAGATTCAAAGGCCTTTGGCTAGGGCAATAAACTCGGTGCCTCCGTTAATACTACCTCGACCTATAGTCATGTGGACGGCCGTTACACGAGGCTGCTCGTATCTGATCGCCTTCAGTGGGAAATAATGAAACTAACGAGTGCATTCAGATAGTAGTATTGACCTTACGCATCGCACAGGCACTCCTCTCGAAATAGCCGTGTGGAGTGTTTACTCTAAATAGGCCACTCGATGACGATTTTCTTAAGGCTGATAGCCTCGCCACTCCATCTTCGCGCCATATCCGAGACTGTTTAAAGCACCAGCGAATCTAATGGTTACTGTTTTACGATGCGATGGTGGCATCGGTTTCAGGGGATGAATAACCAATTGCAGCTATGAATGTAAACAAGAGCGATATATACTTGTATCTTATCTATTGTAGATCGAAGGCATACATGTAGTCTTAGAGGTGTCAAACTCAACTGGAAGTTAATCCGGGGTCAATTGACCAATGACGGCGGTCTAGGCTCCCTCCTTCGCCCCATTAAAAAAAAATCCATGTTTTGCTTTAAAGGTACGCATATCCTAACGGTTCCGATATTTCGAATGCGGCTGCCTAAAACATAGGTAAGATTTCTATCCAGACAGAATACGTAGTACCAGATCAAGCGTGCACCTCTTTGGAGGATGCCCATTAAGCATTATCTATCGTGCACAGGAATGCTGTTTCTCCAGGCATCGGATCAACCTGTGGCGATATGACCTGGAACCCCAATCAAAGAAACTCTCGCATAGAGAATTCAGGGGATTATATTACCAGTACAGTGTCTTGCGAGAGACAGAAGGCGTCTTTTTCGAACCCATATCCCTGTAGGCGCCGCTAGAAGGCCGGTCTTCTGTCCTTGAATCCTCTGAAACTACCTGCTTAGGTATCCGAACTGCTGGAATTTATAAGATGTCTCGATCTTCTAGGATTTGAGATTTTCTTTTTCAAAAGGAAATGCCGAGCCGGTTCATCTGCATTTAGGTACGCACAGCATATCGGGGTCATAATGAAAATGAAAATCGCCTCTGCCGCCGCCTGAGTACATAGCATGGTATAGCAGAAATGCGAGTAAAGATTTGCGAAGATACTCCGGGAGCGAGCGTTCCTTACCAGGTACACTCTACTATGCTCTACTATACAGCGATTCACAGGCATTTGGCGAATACACTTATTTGGCGAATTTGTATGTAGCAACCAGCCAGCAACCAGTAAAACCTCGAGTTTGACTAAGATATCTTGATTCTTATTGGCCTTAATCCCTGTTCGCCAAATGGGTGTATTCGCCAAATGACTGTGAATCGCTGTACTTGTCCCTCCCTCACCGATTGCCGAGAGATGAAGCCTGCAGCGATTATCCCCAGGCAAATAAGACCCTAGGTAGGTCAATGATAGCCTTTCGTCCAATGTCCAACATCTGACGTAACACTAGCCGAAACCAGCGGGGTACTCCACCGCATGATCCTATCTAGTGCAGCCGCGTAACAATTAGTACGCAAAAGAAACTCTAGTGCGATAGAAATTCTTTAATTATAGAACTTAACGACGCAGGAATTCTATACAGTCACCCACCGCTATAACGAACGTGCATATTGAGCAACTTTCCGCTCAGTATATATAATAGGTTATTCGGCACAGCAGACCAAACTCTTTTCCGAGGAGGAAAAAAAGCCAGCCCAAGTGGTTCGGTACAGCAAATATTCGGTATACAAGCGTTCGCTACAACGGCGGACGACTGTACTCTACTCTAGGTTCTTGGTTTCTGAGTTCCCATGATATGCATGATCTAGCTCAGCTTACAGGCGAGAGCGCGAAGGTCGGTTGTGTTATCGGCTTTTTCCTGGGGTAACCCTAATTCAAGGCATGTTCCTGCCTTTACCTCCCCAACCTAGTCTGTTGAAACCCTAATCCACTACAGTACCGTATTTATGTACTTGCCGGATTTTAAAGAGTAGGGCGGAAGTACTCGGGTGTGCACCAAAGTGATCAGAACTCAACGGAGATTGGTTAAGGATATGTGGGTGCAACAGGCTGGAGCCAATAAGATCTGCCAAGAATTTATATCTTGAATGGGGGAAAAAAGTCATAAGAACTATTGCCAAATCCCCATCAAAAAATCCATAAAATATATAAAATATTTTATTTATTAGCACCTACTCTATATTGTATTTGGACACACATTTGTCTATGTAGAGTTAAATTTCAGCAGATATCAATAAAACTGAGGGCAAAATTTGGTCTCTGGAGTTCCTTGGGGCATATGGTTGATATAAGCCCGGGTGGGCCAACTTGGCACACCAGGCCAACCAGAAGGTTCTGTCCAACCAGAGGCAGTTCTGATCACTTACCCTTACACCCGAGTACAAGGAAGGGTGAGTCGCAACCGTACGTGCTCGCACCTGATACAACACCTCAACACCGAACAAGTATCATAACCATACGTTTTTCTGGAGGGAAATACTAGTATATTGGTAACAATAATTATCAAGCTTAAAAAATTGAATTCATTGCATTGGGCTTCGTCGAGTTGGGCTTCGTCGCGTTGCGCTGCGCCGTTGCGGCGCTGAGCTCGTTGTATTTCCGTCCTACTCTTTAAAATCCGGCTAGTATAAAGGATGCCGACTAACTCCAAGTAGGGGCAGTGGTAGAGTGCATACGCACCTACATACAGTACCGCATTAATTCGTTCAAACGGCCGGTCACACAAGACGTTGAAATTCCCGTATTTGGTTATTTGTCTTGAATACGCCCCCTAATCTTCCCTCATATTAGCTTGAAAAGGCAACTTCGACGTCTTGTGTGACCGGCCGTTCGAACAAACTAATGCGGTACCATAGGTATTAATACAGCGACACCTCGATATAAGAAACGCCAAGGTGGCGGCGGGTTTTGTTTCTTATAGCGAGGTTTCTTATAGCGAGGTTTCTTATAGCGAGGTTTCTTATAGCGAGGTGTAGCTGTACGCGAAACTCTTTGACCTGAGGCTCGGATTGGATATCAAGCCGGGACCTTGGTCGGCTCAATTCAACAGGTATGGTTTGATTTAGTATTCGTTAGGCGGAAAGACGTTCACCAAGATCTGGCATCTTTTATGATACTAAGAACACTACTTTTAGCTCGCCATTTCATAATTATTAGACTTAGGACTTCGGCGCGGAAAATCGATTCAGGAAAATCCGAGCCGGTGTTATTTTACTCTCGCAGGACTAGCTCCAACATTTTAATACTCTAGTTCTCAGGCTTGGTTAATCCGGAGCGTACAGAACATGGGGTAAATTCACCGAGACTTCTGATCCGGGATTCTGTCGCTGTGCACAAGGTCCCGCAAGGTCCGACTCCCAAAAGATTTACCAGAAGGAAGAAAGGGCCGCCGCTCGATGTAATATGGCCATCAATTCGGGCGAAATAATAAAGACGCGTCGACGCCCATACGAACCAGCTCAATTGGGTGTTTGGGGTGCGCAGCTTTTTGAGGGTATCGGGTCTGACCTACTACGAACATGGCATCCCGGGGGATTCGGGGAGTTCTGGCAATTATCAACTCGAAACATGCTGTTTTCACGCCTTACAAATTTGTGGTCGACGTGCAAACCGTATGCTGCTATGTAGATCCAGGGCCCTAAAGTAAGGGGTAAGGGCCTTGGTTCACGATAGCACGTGCTGTTTCTAAGATAACGCGTTGGTTAACTTTTGGCAAATTTGCGTCCCTGCAGGGACCCTTGGACTCTCACTGGTGTGGCGTGAAACAAAAGAGTCCCATAGACTACGATGGGAATCGGTATATGATAAGCATTGAAATGTGCATGCCCATATGCTGCTACGCGGGGCGGTGAGGAACGTGTTCGCTCGTGTATATGTGTATGACGACACATGAGAGAGGTATGCCCACAGTCCACTCTCCGCCATTTTATCATTTATGAAGGCTACTTGCAGCTTCTTGAAATTTCCTTACTGTGCTCTAGACCCTAGAGTATTCAGTAAAAGCTTTGATATCGGAGGATTTTAACAGCATGAACCCCAATGAAGATTGGACAGTTTTGGCGGGTGGCCTTGTGCATTCAAGCAATCTATCTCATGATAATTTTACGTTTATGTTTCCACCATCCTACGGGGGGATTTTTTTTTTTTGTTTAATTCATTAATTGCATATCCTACGGGGGGAGCAGCAATAGAGAATTCGGGAGTGTTGCACTCCGAATCGCACAAGGCGCGCATGCTGACATTATATCACCAGATTTGTGATTCCGAGATTCTGGTGTATCCCAGCATTATAGATTCGGTAGTGCATATAGGTGCTCTTATATTATCATGAGGCTACAGCCATAAGAAAATGGCGTATATACGATAGACCCACGAGTGTAGAGGTACCGATTCCTACTTGGAGCTCATAATCATCAATGAGAAGAAGGGGTCTAGAGCAGACGGGGAAAAAAAAGAATTCATAGCAGTCGCAAGACGTTTCCAAGCGCGTCCGGTCGGGTTTGCGTACCATCAACACGATCTAGCTTGTACTTAGGCTGTTTTTAGTTGATATGTACGTGTGGATAAGCTAAGTTTAACTAAATATTGGGAATAAGATTACCTCTTGCGCATTGATATCGTACGCACTGTTAGCTGTTGGGTTTTTTAATCGGTACTATTTGAATACTGTGTGAACCATATGGACCATAATCATTTACATGTACCTGGGACAGGTAACAAGTACCCGAAAATGCAAGCTCTGATATGGAGTTGCTATTGGTGTAATAACCCGCTTTGTGCTTTTGGTTCTTATGTGAGTTTTTCTGACGTCATTATTACAGCTCACTCGTTCGTGAATCACGATAACTATATGCATGCAGTATAAGCTCGAAGTAAGTACTGTCGTTCACGGGGTATTGGCGGATACTGGGTATGGCGGACAGGGCAAAAAAGAGACAGCCAAGCCAACTTTTACCTGCAATTCGTATGTTCGTTAATCACATGATAACTAAATGCAATATAAGATTCAGGTGTCGATTACTCTATTTGACATATTTTCTTAGGACTCTTTTAATTTCTGCAGGAAAAGCTGGCATCGGTAAGGTTAAAGGAAATCGAATTAGCTCTATTTACGCAATGACCATCTGTTTACACAATGGCCATCTGTTTACATAATGATCATCTATTTATACAATAATCACTTTCTACTTACACAAGGACCATATTGCCTTATTAAAAGCAAGATAGAACTAGTTATTAGAGCATTTACACTCACATCTCGTAGAAATAGGATCACCCTCACCGCAACCGGTACATGAGTCTCCCGAGACTAGCCATAATTCTAGGGGTGAGCAAAAAAGACCCAAAATTATGATATTTTTTTTGGTTACTATTTCCAGTTCTTTGTCTCGAACCCCTACAACTCAAATCCCTACAGTTAGCGTTTTCAATTTTTTTTTTATCTACCTGAATATCTATATTCCGGTTTTAGAGAATTCGTTTACCACAACGGAATGTCGGCCAACTAAGAATATAGTGGGGCAATTGTATCAAGCAGAGGCATTCTCTGAAGCTCTAGACTTTATAATAGTATTCCGGAAGATCTGCTCATGCCTGGCCCCGGCATTACCTTTGGGATGCATTGGAAAGCCCGGTCTATAACCACAATGTCGCTTTGAGCCCGTGGCCTTGGCATTCTGGACGGTGGCGAGTGTCTAGGTGGCGAACACATACAAACAAAAAGTGACATGCATTTTTGCGGGAGGGGCCCTATCTAGCCAAAGTCTGGACAGTTGGACAGACAGTGTTGATTGCCGCGGTTGAAATGATCCTGCATGAAATAGCTAAGAAGCTGAGTATGATAGAGTATTGTCAACACCAATAAACTAACGGTCTACTAAAGATTATTGTACTCACACCGCCTCCTCCGCCAACGACTGCACTGATGATGTTAGTAGGTACACTATCGGGCTTCGCCCCCCTTCGCGGGTCCCCCCGTTAAGAATATAACAAAAACGAACTGAAAATAAAATAAACCCGAAACCATGAGCAACTCCGATTTATGAACCATCTAAAGCACAAAAAGAAAACCACAGGAAACCACTCCGTATGTAATTTCTCTCGAGAACGGCAACCTATACCATATGTTCAGTCAGTCACATATATTCCCATATGCACAATTACCTCCGTAAATCAGAACCCACAGAATAATCTCATCTCTTACCATAACATCAATCACTTGTTAACCCCTCTAACAGGCTTCCCATTACCGGCCGCGGACTTGACAATAGCAACCTCAAACATTGTCACAATCATCACCGAACCGAGAGCGGCGCAACTCATTTGTCATTTTGAGCCACTCCCTGAGAGGCCGTCCAATCCTTGCATGGTCTTGGTTGCTGTGGTGAGGACAAGTGCGTTGGTTGTTTGATTGGCTTTTGTGAGGTTTGTCTCGACATCGTCCATCTTTTTGTTGAGTTTTGTCTCGACATCGCTAATACTGGTTATGACCATCAAGCTCATTCCAAACGAGCAACCCAGCACCACCTAAACTGCCAATAATAGTAGCCAGCGGAGTTGCATGGCGAGAGAAGAAGCCTAGAAAACATGATGGAATTCAGTTAGTGAACGGGTCACTTATCAATGTCTAGAACTCCTGGATGAACAAACCAGAAAAATTTGCCAGTACGGTCGACATTCGTAAAGTGTGCTTTTATGTGTGAGAGCAAACCTGCCCTAGTACAGCGGTAGGTAATAAGTGATGGAACGCCCTGAGAACAGTTATACCTGCAAACACCGTATGTTGGTGGCGTTTTACCCAAAACAGGTACCACTGTGTCTCAGGGCGTTCCATCACTTATTACCTACCGCTGTACAGTCGCTCACCTACTGATAGCGGATCCTATCTAATGGTTCTGTTTGCAGTAACTTGCCCTTGGCGTCCAAAACCTAACTCTTTTATTGGCCTCAAATCCCTGACCACCATTAGACAGGATCCGCCTTCACCCCGTGAGTGACTGTACCATTCTATTATGTACTGGATTAACGATTTTTCGAAGGGGCTTGCAGTCTGATTGGTCGAGAGCAGTGACCCCTAACCCTGACCGACTCCTGCATGGAAACCAGCCCACCCACACTGGCATGCCGAACTCATTAACAGGATAGCATTGGAGGTGGAATTAACTGGAGCTGGAATTCATTGGAGGCGGTATTGGAGTTGGTACCTTATTAAATTGGTACCTTATTATTAACTGAAGGAACTAGATCTCTACGGAGGAGGTGGACACTCACGGGAGCTGACAATGAGTGACTATATACATAAGAGCTGGCAGAGATTCCTGAGTAGGAGCAAGGCCTCGCGGTCGCGAGGTGGCCCACCCCTAGTCAATCAGTACTTGACTTTATTACGGTATTCGAGTAATCACAAGAACTCACCGTCAGATTGAAGAAAGCGAAAACGTTACTGTGAATTGGCTGTAGTTGGGAATACCAGGTGCAACGAAGACTGTGGTTGTATGGTTGGGGCACCTAGAGACGGAAGGGTGCGACATTGGTCCCCAGTGAAGATCATCTTCCTAATTTAGTAATTACTTAGCCTGAAAATGCCAAGACAGCAGATTTATGCCACCCAGGCACCAGTGATGTATGTACCCATCTAAAGCTAATGCCAGTAATTACCAGTAATTATTCCGAAAAACTCCCATGAGAATCTTATTAACTAGCGTATTTTAATTCCTTCACTGGCATCACCTCCCACTTCCCACCGAGGTGAAGTTTCACGCGCTTACCCACATAGTCATACCACAAGTAAACTTCGTGGAGTGTACAGAAATCCCCACCAAGAAGATTAACATTGTCGGTAAAACGAGAGCTCTCAGGTGTTACATGGCTTATCTGACGGTATCCACCAATCGTAACGGAAGCTGACTCCTGAATGCCGAGAACTTTGCAAGCCTGGCGTATTTATTAGCTGCGGCGTTCTCTCATCTAGAACCATGACCACTTATTTGAACTGAGAGATATGTCCACTGCTACCGACAATGAAAAATACCTACCAAGCTTCTCCACGATGATTAACAACCAACGGAACAACTGCCCGGTATCCGAGTTGACGAATGTAGCCACTGGCATATTCCACCACACATTTTGCATCTGCTTCCTCCGCCTTCGAAAGGTAACCTATTCCCAGGTCCTGGGCGATAGTTGTTTCCAGCGTTTCGTGTTTAATGTCCGAAATCAAAACATCATATTGAGACTCGCTTAGCGAGACACAACCAAAGAAATCAACGTGCTGCCAAAAGACTGAACAGCTCGAATTCCATCCTCAGACAGCCACATCCTTCTTCACAATGCCTCCATTGCTCAATGCGACATACATGCAATCAACCAGAGCGGAGTAATCCTTCATCCATAACCCTTTCTCTTGACCCATTCCTTCAAAGAGTACCTCAATCTTCCGTGTCATCTTAAAAGATATATCATCGTATCTGAGCATACGCCAAGTTTCTCCCGTTGTAACGAAGCCGTAAACCTCACCTCCACCATTGTTGTCTCTCATATCTTTCATTGCCAGCAAACACTGTTTCATCGCCTCTCCGAGAGATGATCTCTTTGCCTCTATGACAAGGACAAAGTATTGTTCCATCACCGAAATCATGTCCATCATAACAAATTCCTCCATGCAGCCCGTCTCACAGTCCACGGAAACGATCTCTTTCTCACTCCGTAACCGTATGGTGCGTCCCGTCTTGCGCCTGAAATTGGTGAGTATCGGACTGATGATGGAGTGAACCAAGTCGCTAATATAAACTCGGTAAAAGACCACTCGTTAGAACCAGCAGAAACTCCTTTTATTTGTATCTATCTACTGGAGTAGCCCGAACAAAGCAAACACTAAACCGCAGAACAATTATCAAACCATAAAAAATCGTTCCGTTAAGCAACGATAGGGACTCCGAGATGATCTGCGATTCGAATTCTGAAGACCGCCACAGGGCTTTCGGGTGGCACCGGTTGTAGACCGAGGTTTTGGATCAATGCCTGGCAGTTGGCCTCTGGATGTATTATACGTTAGCGCACTTCTAGAAACAAATAATGAAACATCTCTTTAATGGGGCACGTTACTAGAGTAGCTGTTGAGCTCGAACCTATTCCTGGCAAATGGTACTCCATTAAAACCAGGTGGGTATCTGATCTCGGCCGATTCACTCAATGAGGAATTGAATAAACGTAGTGGTAACCTGTGAGTTGGCCAGAGTCGATAAATGACCTTGAAGTAATGTTTGAGAAAAAGATCTTACAAATTATGATGGTTATTGAGGGTTTCAAGTTGGCCTTCGACAGCTTGAAGACGAACCCCCACCTGTTGAATATCGCCTCGGGCTTGCTGAATATTGGCCAGGATTTGTTGTAGCACCCCGAGGATCTGATTCCCTTGCTGGATTGCTGGAATATTAGGAATTAAGTTGAATTCGTTCGCTACTGCATGCAAGTGCTGAGACGCATTGGCAAAGTTAGGCTGTTGTGCTGCCATTTCGAGATATAACGTGCTCTGTTGTCAATGCTCGTGGTGTTGTTTCTCTGCTCGTGAAAAGAATAAAATATTGTGGAAACCACCGATAGATGCTCGGTGGGGTGTTTAAATCCCCCTGGCGTTGCCAAGTTACCATCTCGTTCGTATCGGGCAGGTGCTGTTGCCAGGTGTGTACTCGTAAATTCATGACGTTTCCGGACACGACTGCTATTGCATACCATACAAAAAAGCGCCAAATCCACCTTTTTGTATGTCATGCAATATTGGTCGTGTTCGGAAACGCGAGTGCTTCCCGCTTTGCAGGACAACGTGGGCGCTATGGGCAGAGCCCCATGGTCAGTGGCACCTGTCCAGGCACCGGTACCTTCGACCCACGTAAATTACTTAGTCGCAAGGGGCTACTTTGTCAATAATCTAAATGGCGGCACATTTCTGTACCGCGCTTACACTCCTTTCACACTCGAACTCATCTCGCGCCTGTTAACTTAATATTCACTTTCGCTCACAAAATAAAATAATATTTTCTTCCTATGTTAGGCTTCGCCCCCCACGGCTCCGCCGCGGGTCCCCCCGCTTAAAAATAACAAAATAATGAACGTAATTCTTATTAAACATTAAAATCTAGCAACACGCAATACCTCAAATAGCCACGCCTAGTCTAGCCGCCAACTCCAACTCAAATCTTTCCTGCGCACATGGCCCTTCCCGAATCTCTCTCATCATATCCGTCCCCGGTGGAAAATCATGCTCGAATACTGGCTCTCCGGCACCTCTCATGTTCGCAAGTACAGACTGGCGGAAGTGCCATCGTAAAAGCGCATCGCACACAGGATGAGGATCCTCCGGATTTCGACACACCGGATCCAGCATTCTGCCATCTATCCCTAACAAATCTTCATCGAACACCACAATCTTGTAGTTATCCTATTTTATCAGTTAGCACCATGCATAGTAAGCCCAGAGATTCAACTCACATCCGGATTCACCGACAAAAGATATTGATCGAAATCTCCATGGATATCCCGACGAAGCATAAACCCATTTTGAAGCGAATTGATCTTCGAGACTCCATTTGTGTCGTCCATGTCGGTAATCCTTCGTCCATGTCGGTAATCCTTCGTCCGAAACCCCATTCAACCCACAGATTCTCTTTCTCGAGTGGAAATATATGGGCTGGTTCAAACATAGCCCAGTTCCCACGATAAGCCCTTCTATTCACCACACCGGATACAACACATCTTCCATCCCTAGCACGTATTCCTTCACGAAAGCCCTCTTCTCGACCCGATACATTAAATGAGTTGATGCGGTGAACCCATGGCTCATTGTTCACTTGGATGGGATCTGTAGTTAACTTAGTCTTGAGCCTATGTCGACACCCACTAAGAGCTTATGTCGACACCCACTAAGAACCTACTATCGCAATAGATATCATACTCTCCAGATTCGACACGGCTGTTCGTCCTTGTTACGATGTGGCCAGAGGTTCTTCCTTGAACTCGTATGGGAGTGTTGGTGACAAGTATGATGCTAAGCATGTCGAGAAAATTCGCTTCCGTGACCGAGCCATTCTGGATAAGCCCGCCTAAAGAGACATCCGGGACAGAAGCGTCGTAAAAATGCACATTGCGCCCGAGAGAACGATCGATAGGCATGGAAACAATTCAGGTGTGGTACTTATATACCCGTTGCAACGCCAAGGTGTGCCTATGGTTACCCGGATATCCAGATCAGGAAGGTGTTCTCATGTCGCTGTTTTAACGGTAAGGAAGATGGCCGATAGATGCTCGCGCGCAAATGCTAAATCACACACGAACTCATATCGCGCCTGTTAACTTAGTCGCCTCGCTCCAAAATATTTCCATATGTAGGGCTCCGCCCCCCGAATGAATATAACAAAATAAGCAAAATCCTTTTATTTGAATCTATGTACCCATCTTAAGCCAACGCCAGTAATTATTCCGAGTCCTGCCCCAGTTTCTAAAAACACCAAACACCGTCAAATGAACAGAGAGAATTAACTAAAGTTCCTCCCGGGCTCTTCATTGATTCTTCTTGTTCTGGTCAGACAACAGCCTTTCCTGATGCTCAACCTTCAACTCTAGCTTAAGCTGAGTTATAGCATTTTGTATCAGTATAGTAAGCCTCGTCTCCATCTCTCCCTGCTTTTTCTCCAACTTTTCCTCCATGTAACGGTCGTAGAAAATGAGTTTCAACATAATCCAGTCGATTTGTTAGTCTTAAGTCATGTAGCAAAATCCACCGATAATGTACCCCAAGACCAAATGTTCCCACAATCCATCTTACCCATGCACGGAGATCTTTGATTCCATCATTGGTCGTTGCCAAACTCTTTTCCAAAGTCTCCTTCAACTCGTCCTTCAACTCGTCCTTCAACTTCTTGAATCCGTCCTCCATCGTGGTACTGAAAGACTTGAAGACAGCTAGAGTATTACTAACTTGAACTACTTAGGTGTATCATTGCTAACATTACCTTCTCCAACTTTGTGACTCGGTTAGCCAAATCATCCGGTTTGGAAATACTCTCGTCGGTCGAATACTTCTATTCAGCCACATAATAAGTACTTAGGTTATCGAACAAAGTTGATATGTGCACCAGCCTGAGTGCGAATATGTTGAACGATGCGAATAGGTTGAGCGAGACCGAAACCGCGGAGATGATGAACAGGCCTCAGATGAAACTCACGAGGACAATGGGCAAGCGTCGAACGGAATCCTCGAGCAATCCGATAAACCGACATCTTGATAAATATCGTGACTTTCACTTGCAATGTAGTGTTGCCCTTCACCCTGTTTATCGACGCTCGAAAGAAAGTCGGTGTGGGTCTATTTAAACGCCGTGCGTTGCCAAGGGATCCTTGTGTAAGCGCTGACGCTGTTTGGGGGCCACGTGGGCAGAGCCTCATGGTCAGAGCGGTACATGCCGCGCTGCAACAGGGGTGTAAGCCAACCAGAGGTAGTAAGTATATGGACGTCAATATGCAGAGAAGACCCCTCAAATACTCGTACTTTCGTGACGTTTGTAAAAGGAACCACTATTGCATACCATACAAATACGCGCCAAGTCCACAATTTAGTATGGTATGCAATAGCGGTTCCTTTTACAAATGTCACGAAAATACGTGCTGCGGTACTCCTCCGCTAATTTTGCTAGCCGTAAGGGGGCTACAGTCGTTCGCCGATACAGCAGATTATTCGGTATAGTAGGCAAGTTTCTATGTGAAATTTAGATTCGGATCACCGAAACCCGTTCGTTATAGCAAGTTTGTAGCTATTTTGGCATTCGTTATATCGGCGAACGATTATACTTTGTCACTTTCGCTGACGGACAGCTGGATAGACAGTAGGGGGAACCATAACCCCCTACTGTCCATATTCCAAACGGCAAGCAATGCTTAATAGTGGGGCACTCGCTACGCTCGTTAGTGCACTCCACCGCTCGCTCCGCTCACACATGTTAGAAGCAAACTCCAATTCAAGTAATAAAGAACACATGTTGGGCTTCGCGGGACCCCCCGTAAAACAATAACAGAATAATTGAAAACCACAAACTGAAATTAACGACAATGCAACCCCAATCGCAAGACAAAGATTAATTTAAAGAATCCTCGCGAAACGCGAACCTCGTAAACCTCGTGAAACACATGAACCTCGTGAACCCACAAAAAATCAACCAGCGAATGCCACCCGAATAAAATGAAAAAGAAGAGGAAAGCACAAACGCCATGCCTCTAAAAGAACAAAACATCCTAATCCCTCTCCGCAATCATAATATCATGAGCCCAATGTGACGACGGAACCTCTTCTTTTTGGCATCCAGTCTGCCGTTCACCGGCAATCCTAGTTCTTGGAGCAGGGATTCTATACGTGCAGCTACCACCCATCATTTAGTTTTTATTCCGATGTTGTATGCTGTAAGCTTCACTTACCATCTAGTGCGTTAATGTCCGCACTTGTGTGAGGAAAACCCTCAATCAGTTCATTGTCGGTACCGTACAGTGGTTCCAGGCGGTGACTCTCATCAGCTACGCGTGAATTGAAGAGACGGGCAAGATGGTTCATCTCCCTGTTTAATCCATGCCCGAGTCAATACTCAACTCGACTCTCTGAAGAAATGGCAAAGGTCTACACACGAGCGTGATAGCTGTTGAAGGATGTTCTGCTCCATTCGTGCCATGTCTTGCCTTATTTGAGCCATGTTCTGGTCCATCTGAGCTATTTGTACCAGAATCTGATTGAGTTGCTCAGCAATATTGACCGCTGCCATGTTTTGTATCTTATCCATTTCGGTGGTTGCGGTGTCCATCTCCGTGGCTGCGGTTCTAAGTCCGTTGGCTGTGTTTGTCATGGAAGCCCTCAGGACGTTGAAGTCGGGTTGAGCCATCTGAAAACAATCCTCAATAAGCAGGTCGACTAAATGAAATACTAAACACTCGTAGTGCCGGAGCGTCGTAGTGTTGCAAACGTAGGCGTGGTGTTGAAGAATCGGCCAAACAATATATAATGAATCAAGGGTGTAACTGAGCGTCGTGCATAAATACTTCCTTGTCGTGCCAAGAATGTGATGTATCAACGATCTATCACAAGAGAGTTACCCTGACGCCGCCCGTTGCGGGGTGCTACTGGCCCCCCATGAAATGAAAATGAACCCATCTCCGACACACACAGGCTTCGATCGCCCCCCCACGGCTCCACCGCGGGTCCCCCCGAATAAAATAACAAAGTAACTCCCGTAAACTACATATTTCCGAAATAAATTCCTATACTGATCGATACTCTGCGCTCGTCAATACTCTCCCGGTACGCAAACCTCTAACCTCAAACTCCGATTCTAGGGCCATATTAAGTAGTATATACAAAACTAAGTATTTGCTCCGCCCAGCGCTCGGATCCACCAGCTCCACAAACAAATCATTCAGAATGGATAACGATCGCAAAACTCCTTTTGCGTCATCCGCTCCCCTTTCCTTTGTAGAAAGTCTGTTAGCCGATTATTTAGTTCTGATATCTTATGTTAGCAGTCTCCCAAATATATATACACATAAGATAGATGGAAAATCTTTTGCTTGCCTTTTAACTCCACTGGTTCCGTCGTCTGCAGTGAATAGTGGTCGCTATGTTCGTGCAACAGGATCAGTTGTTCTGGTAATTCAGTTCCTATTTCCACTCAATCATCAATGATCCACACGCCACTCCATTAGGAAAGCCTCGAAAGTGGCAACCTAGTACAAACCTTCTGGCAAACGGTATACGGTCGTATTCCTCCCTCTGAAATTGCGGATAACTTCCTGTACCGTTGGTCCATTGGGCCGCATGCTCGCTCCGTTTGGTCCCTGGAAGTTTGGGCCCGGCTTAGGATGAACAAGGCCGTCTGAGCCAAAGTGGAGGTCATACGAAGTGCGCCCACTTGCGTTCTGCGTATCGAAATCACGAAGTACCACTTTTGGGGTTGCGCCGACACGGAACAAGTCGACGGGAACGGTCGTATACCGGCCTAGAAGAGGACCACGCGAAATGCTGGAATAAGTTCGCCGGATAGAATTGAATAGTGATAACTGAAGCTGTTGCTGCAATGGAATTGCAGCGGAGAACGCTGCAAAGGAATACATTCCCGACGATGATCAGCTGTTGTAAAGGATTAAGTCTGAATCGACCGCAGAATCCAAACGGACGGCTTAAATATTACTCGTGTCGCCAAGTCTCCAATGAAAGGTTACCCTGACGCCGCCCGTTGCAGAGTCGCTGCACATCGGACGTCCGAACATGTCCTGGTGGGCAGAGCTTCATGGTCAGTGGCACCTGTCCAGGTGGTACCAGTACTTGCCTCCCACTCTAGTTTTGGTGGTCACAAGGGGGCCCTTCAACCCGAAATCTGTCGCGCAATTATTATACACACTGAAGCAAAAACCGCTTCCCGTACAACGCCCTCCAAGTGCCCAAGCAAACGCCATTATAAGTATGAAAGCGGACCACAATCCCAAGCAAACACCTCGGATAGCATGGAAGCGATCACCACCATCGCCTCTCAGCCTCCATCCTACTCTCCATTTTGTGCAGTTCTAGCACAATATCGATTTTCAGTGCGCTCATTTCGCTCCTTAACTCGCCCCTTACCAATTTCACTTCACCCTTGACCATGGACTTCATCTCTTGCTTCATATTTTCGTCCAAGTATGCGAGCTTCACCAGAATCTGACAGATATGTCAATGTAAGAAAACCGCACAAAATTCACTAGAAAAACGTACTGTTCCCACAAATAAGCCAAGGCCCACCTTCATCCAACCATCTATCCTTTTGAATCCATCATCGACTTTTGTAAACAGATGTTGAACGGTCACCGAGAGACAGGCTACATTCTAGCCAACTATCAGAGTGTTGCCGATTAGATATATGTATGCGTGTTCTTAAGTCTAGTATCATCGGTAGTTCTGCCTACAAAACCCTTCTCCGCGCCAGAAGGCTCAGCTCCCTGTCCGTCGTTCTCCTCTTGCGAGCTATCACAAACAGCCTAGTTGGTATACTTAACTCTACACAGTTAACAATCAAAACTGACCTGGTAGTATAGATTCTGTACGGAGCCAACCATTTAAACCCAAACCGATGAGCCCCATCACCCCGAATCGACTACCACTAAACTGGCGATTGATAGGAGCACATCTAGTAGCAACGATTCTCTCAGATCTAACAATGTTGGCGATAGGCATCTTGGGAGGTCGGTCTAGCTCGGTGTTCGTGGGTGTTGTTCGTTGTTCGTCGTTGTTGTAAAGGATTAGACCAGCTTGCCCATCAGCGAGTGTCCACCAAACTTTGGTGGGTGGTAACCGTTGCATCCTAGGGGTAGCGGGCAAAATAGCGGGCAACGCTCGCTGATGGGGGGAATCATACCCCACTACTGACCATAGTTAATCGGCGTGTCGTACAAAGCGACCGCCCGTGACCGCGGCCTCTCGCCGCCCGCGCCTTCCCCGGCGCTGCAACTCTTCCACTCGTTAGTATTCACAGTTCACAGAACATTTAGGCTGCCGCCCCCCCCCCCCCTCCGCTCACAAATAAATCATACTCTGAGAATAAAAGACAATTCAAACTCAATGCGCTGCCAAACGACTGAACAGCTCAAACTCCATCCTTTCCGCAGCCATAGGACCACCGATAGTCTCACCTATCATATCTGATCCGGGCGGGAAATCACACTCAAAGGCAGGCTCGCTAGCTCCCCTCATATTAGCAAACACCGCCTGCCTGAAATGCCGCCGTAAAGGTTGATCAACTGGTCGAGACGGATCTTGAAGCAATTGCTAGTCAAGATGTTTGCCGGCGATGCCATGGCCATCGCGCCTGAAGCAGACAATTTTGTAATTATCCTAGAACAAGTAGTCAATGACACTACATGAAAAAGACACATGAAAATAAAGTATCCTCACATCTGAAAAAGCGTAGTTATCCCAGAGCTGATGGATCCTCCGGTAGCCGTGATCCAGTCGCCGTAGTTGTGACGAATCCAGTGATCTTCGAAAGATGTGTGCAACCTCCGGACTAACCAAGGCTCATTATTCACAACAAACGAACCTTCGGTGACAATGTAGTAATTTCCAGGCCGAAGTGCCTGCTCATCTCTCTGAACATCCGTACCATCTTCGCGCCGCAGAAAGTAAACATCGTTGAAAAATAGAAACACCTCTACCATCGAATAGAAGTTAGCATTCGTCACACCATTCGTGAGAATCAGCCCTCCGAGCTCCTTCCTATCGGGATCGTTGGCATCGTTGGCATCAAAAACACAGACATCACGTCCGGCTGAGCGATTCGTAGCCAGCATGAGCTAGTATATTATAGTAGTAAATAAAATAGAAGACTAGGTTAGATCTATAGAAGCTACCAATCAAGTCTCCTGGCCTTAAATATTACTCGTGTCGCCAAGCCCCCAAGTGTTGCATCCTGACGCCGCCCCTTGTGGGGTTCGCTTCTTTAAAGCACAAAACTAAGAAAGGTTCCGGGTGGGTCCTCCTGATGTTACGCACTAAACTAAAGTAGCATTCTACTTAAAATTAAAAATCTAGAAAGTACTATCGTTGTTGGGCACATTAGGTGTCACGGATTAGGCAGCGTTCACGTGACGACACAGACAATGCTTTTGTAAGGTGTCCACAGCAGGACTACCTCATAGTTAGATTTGTAACTTACTCTTCTTCTCTCATCCATCATCATTCATTTTGTCGTCGTCGATAGCGCAAATGAAATTCTCCCTCTGTCTATAGAACTAAGAAATTATTTATTTCATCGTTCGGATCGTCGTGAATCTAAACACAAAAGAGAGTGAACACAATAGCCGGCCAACATCGTTCACGGGGTATTGGCGGACACTGGGTGTTGACGAATTGCAGGCAAGACTTGGCTTGGCTGTCTCTTTTTTGGTTTGTTCGTCAACACCCCGTGAACGACGGTACATGTATTGTTCGCCATGCATGGGAAGTCATTCGCATCCAGATTGAAAAAATCTATTTCCTAAACGCCTCCCAAATTCTCAGGTCACCCATTATCTATAGGGTGGTCCATAGGTAGAATACTAATATAAATCCTAATTAATTAGTTATGTAAGCTGTGATGGGGTTTGGGGGGAGGGGGAGGGGGGGTAGCAAGGCATACATTATTAGACAGTGTACCTACTCGCGCGGCCGAGTTTCAACTTAATCACATGACCTATGGGTAACGCAAAAAACCTGTTAAATAGCATCACGTGAGTAAGTCGAAACTCGGCCGCGCGAGTACAGCGATAGGAATGATCTATGGAAAAAACAGCTATATGGTGCACAGATATTTCGCCATACAATTTCACCCCCCCCCCCCTGTTTTTCCATAGATCATTCCGGTCGCTGTATGTACTTCGTACATGTACTGTACTGGACGTCACTCGTAAAAAAAATAATTAACTGCCGCACCCGGGCGGGCTCGGAATATATTGCCCAGCTCCGTAGCGAAGCATGTAGGTACGGCACTTTAAACAAAACAGAATGCGAAAAAAAGGTTCGAGCTTGCCCTGCATACATGTATGTTCTTACCCCGTTTTTTTTTCCCTAGAGTACCGGCGGGATGCGCTACGTACCGAAATTTGAATTATTGGCCGCTGGCCGGCCTCTTAAGGCGATCATTAAGCGGGGGAATTAAAAGCATAGACGCAAACTATAATTACGCCTCTCGCCGATCGCGACTGAAGAAGACATGCAGGAGGCAACACACACACCCCGGTCCTGGAATAATATCCCCGGGAAACGAGGTAGCTAGGTAGGCGCGAGGTTTGATCGACATCAACTTTGTTATGTATGGTGCAAGAGGGAGTAGAGGGCGACCCCGTCAACCCTGTACACACCGCTTCAGTCAATTCCTTCGTTGGCTACGGGAAGCAAGCGTTGAGGAGCCTCACCTCTAACTCGACTCTATGGCTGTAAGGGCTACAATACTGAACTGGTGTGAACAGGGATAGCTAATTAATTAGGTTACTCAAGGACTAGCTATAGATGAAACGCTTAGTTAAGCTTAATCGTAAACGTAATCTAAACATTTAAAGTATTGACCAGGATATATTCTAGATTGGGAATAAATATATAATATATTGAATATATTGTTAACGTTGGGTTTTTACCTAGCTTTACCCCGCGGTTTCAGAATTTGCTCTTGGACATTACTTGGTAGGCTCTAAAGCTTTAGGCTTGCTTGGGTCTAGCACTTTAGGGGCCGTTGCGCACGACCATGCATTTGTTACCAGATACTCAGTCGGCCAAGGTAGTTCGGATCAATCAAGGCTGACATTGAGACAAGATAGCTCAGGCAGGGTTCATCGTTCATCGTTCATCCCATATATATATGCATACCTGAAATCAAGCTCTCCGCGCGGCCTAGCTACATACATGTAGCCAATGACCACGGCCGGCCAACCGCCGCCATCATGGCACTGCATCCAATAGTCTCTAGCTGCGCGCCGGAGAATTTTCTTTATCATGCATAGCTGCCGACCACGTATTAAATATAATACTATCTACATGCCAAGGCTTCCCCCCGGAGAATTAACCTAAAAGTTTCTCTCCTGCATAGCGTGCATAGTATGATCCGCTTGCCCGGGCGGGGCCCCAGGGGCTATATCAAAAAGCCTATTATACGCTATATATATATATATATTATGTTTTTCTATTGTGTAGAGTAGGTATATGTGCGCGCGGCGGACTTCCTGATGAGGTGCCATGCAAGTTTTGCATTTGCAGAGCCTACCCTGCACGTGCGGGCTGGATGGATGATACGTTGAGCTATATAGTGCTTACTGGCTATTGTCAAATTAACGTATATTATATACAAGGCATTATTATTCTAAGGGGAATCTCACAGGTCCCTGCAGGCGGTTTCAATAGATCTTCCGTGGTATATGTATAGTAGTGAGGATGATCATACGTAAGTTTTTTTGCTTTCGTCCCTTAATTATAAGATTACAGATAAGGCTGCAGATAGCTTTTCGACCCAACCCAACCCAAACCAACACACGCACCCGCACCCGCACTGGGGCCAGCCAGCTGGACCGATTGGCTGGTACCTACTATATCTATAACCGCATATCTGAAGAAGAAGCAGCACTTCTTACGAGGCAACCCGGTGCCCCCCCTCCCATCTCTCTCTCTCTCCCCGCCTCTGTGTTTCAAATATGCAAGTATGTGCACACAAAGAAAACAAAAAAACCACAGGGCTCTGGCGGCAGATGTTATATTAGCCAGCCACCAGTGGGTGTCGAAAGGAAGTTTCTCGACATGGACATGGACATGATATATATGGCGGGGCAGCTAGCAGGGTGATCCTTACTGCGCTGACACAACCCACAACCCACAACCCACAACCCACAACCCGCATGGGTCAGGGAGGTTGCATGTCAGTAATGCAGGCGTCGTGCCCGGGGGGGGGGGGCGTGGGGCGCAGGGCGTGGGGCGATCGAGATGAGGTAGATCTACGGCCGGCCGTTAGTACTACTGCAGCCGCGGGACGGTTGGGGGAAGTTGAGATGAAAGCGACCTGGCTTTTCGGGGGCTGCATGTCGGAATGGCGAGTCGCCGATTTTTCACATGTATACGGTACTCTATACTGCGCGCTGATTACCGTGGGCACCGCCGAATCCCGGAACGCAGACTCGACTCCCGCCCGTGCGCTGGGGACGACGGGGAGAGGCTGCGCGGGCAAAGCTATAGATATGTGTGTGGTTCTTATGGATGATCCGGGGGTCTCAATTCGCCGTTCCTGTGCGCTGTGTGCAGTTTGTCGTATACGAGGGAGGGAGGGAGGACACACGGCGGGCCGGTAGCTCAAAAAAAAAATACCCGCAATAGAACCCCCTACTAGCTCGCTGATCGATCAATCACCCCAGCTCAATTGTCGGCGCTGATAACTCGAACGAGTGATAATTCATGACGGGAATTAGAGTCACTTATTTTCATGCCTATGAGAAATTCGTAAATGGGCTCTCCGCCCGGTGGAGAGAGTTATAGATTCAACCGGTAGAGGAGTCTTTGCGGTTCTTACCCGCTGTTCCGGCTGGCGGCGGCTCGGTTCTTGAGACGGCGTGCGCACTCTCCTCCCCCTTCCACATCCTCCCTCCGCAAGCCCGCAAGCCCGCAAGCCCGTAAACTAGGGCCATAGAAGGCAACCTTAAGTCTCAACTAACTACAGCAGAAGCGGCATCTGAACCGGTCATTACCGATTATGGTCGCGCGAAGGGCGGCGCCTCCGGGCCCGGATCGACTCTACCTCATCACCCGGCCTGCCGCCGCCGCAGGTGTCTGAAAACCAGCCCACAAGTCTGGCGGGGCAGCGGCATTCCCGACGGTGTTTTTACAGCGGGCGTGGCCGGCTGGTTCGATATACTGGGCCATATATATAGGGAGCTGGACTGTGTCGGCCCTGGGGCTGGGATGATATCGTGCGGACAGTTTGGCTGTTTTTTGACTGTTATAACGGGGGTTCTGAGAGGCGGAGAACTGGTCAGTGCCGTCGCTGGGACCGGTCTTCGCAATCGGCCGTGCGGGCGTCAGTACTGGCGGGATTGGCTTGGCTGTGCTGGGGAAGCTGCCTTTGGCCCCTGGTAGGGGTTGATAGCTTGGGAGATGAGCTAACCAGAGAGGATCCACAGAGTTAAGTGTTAGGGTTTGTGGATATCCTTTTGGCTGGTCATGATATCACTGATATCTAGACTCTTGAGGCGCGGGGGGAGAGGGGGGGGGGGGATATTTTGCCATCAGAAATATTGACGTATAAGGGAGCTTGCATCCCGGTCGCTTTTATGGCTATATAGATACCTGTCAAAGATTATCACAAGTATCTGTCCGTTTTGTTTGCTATGTGATTGGCACAAATCGAGGATCATCGACGTCTTGAGAAATATATTTTTCGAAAGACCGACCACGAGACAAGTCTGGAGTATTTGAGGCACATTCCCAGAAAGTCATTTTTTTTTTGGCAATGAAATGACCAGGGTTAGGGTTGTGATTCATGGATTATCAATCGGTAGAGTGATTGTTTCAAATACGCACTTTTTTTTTTTTGTTTAATATTTCAAAATACGCACATTGAATATGCAAGGGTTTTTGGGTGATCTAATACCTGACTTCTGAGTCTATTGAGACTATCTAGGTCTTTAGGTGAATGTTGAGGTAAAGGAAGGGGGGTTAAATTATATGGAATATCCCGACGCAAGACTTAATTACGAGATCGAGAAATCTGGCTAGCAAGATTAAATTATTATAAAATACTAATGATCTCCGTATTTCTAATTATACCTTACCCTTATGATCGAGGTCCGTGGGGCTAGGAGAGAACTTTTGTCGGTTGGGTCTTTTGTACCTGTCATGTGAATGCGGGTCTGAGAAAACCTGACTTGTGGGGCCCAAACATAACAAGCCCAAACTACCCAACCAATCCGCCCAAAATCTTCTCCTACTGATAGAGCCTGTTATAAGGGGGTGTATATTATGTTTTTTTTTTTTAGAAGTTTCTTGAGCTGGTAGGGGGCCCCCGTATCAGGTTGGTTTGAAACTTACTGTCTTAAGATACTAGATATATAAATACCAGGCGAATACTCTTAAATCTCTCAACCTGTCAGCGCCATGGGGATTTTGGCTCTTGATATATAGTCTACCTACCCTATTTCCACTTGTTTCCCATATCTGGTGGTTGTGCAGAGGTTGGTGTTTGTTGGATTTCGTTTTTTTTTGCTGGTTGTTGCGTTCTGGCCTTCGAGTCGCCGACCGGCCTAGAAGTCAAGTTTTCTTAGACTTGGGTTCTTGTTAGACTGGTTGTCAATGATCGAAGAACAGGATGTTTCTTCCCTCCCCCCACGTGTGGTGGGCGTACAGGTATTTTAAATTTCATAGGGTGAGCGGCTGTAATAGCGAACGTGTGTAGTAGTAGAAGCAGGGTATCCTGGATCGAAGAATATTTTTTAATAGACTTGATATCTTTCACTGGTGGTTTAATTCCTCTTGTCGCCGGGTGGAATACCCTTTTTCTTTTTTCTTTCCCTTTTCTTTCCCTTTTCTTTCCCTTTTCTTTTTCTTTTTATTTTTTATTCTTTTTCTTGAGCACGACACCCCTTCGGTTCTGAAGAAACCAAGGACAGCGAAACTGTTGAATTATCAGTCATTAGCTCAGTCAGTACATATAGTGAGCGCGGGGGGGGGGAGCTTTATTGTAAAAGGGGGCTCACATGAGCGTACTACAGTCACCTCTCCTGTACCTTAGCGGAAATACAACGTCAAGAACCTCTTACAAAACCACCATTACATCTGGTCGTTATCAACACCGACATTAAACACTCTGGTAATAGCAAAACCCCCCCGGGGAGCACATCATGGGATGCATGAACTCCGAGCCACAGGCCACACACGATGCCACAACCGCCCTCACAACCAACACCCTCTCATCATACGAAGCCCACCGCCGCCAACAGGCCAAAGCCCTCCTCGACCGGATCACCACCACCCTCAGCCCCCACATCACCCAATTCCTCGCCTCCCATGGCCCCAACTGCACTCCCGGCAGTGAAGCCTCCTTCGTCATCCATGCCCTTAACTACGCCCGCAGTCAATGGTCCATAGCAGCACACGGGCCTTTGCCGCTCGCGGCGGTCATGTGTGTGTGGTCGATGAAGGGGGAGGGCTTCTTTCATTACTATAAGGATAAGCTGGGGATGAGGGGGCCGCTTGCCTATAGGTGTACGATGTGTCATGAGATGAAGCCGGGCGGGCTGTGTAGTGCGTTGGAGCATGTGGGGATGGTTCATCCGGGTGCTGGGGAAAGGGGGGGTGAGGTGGGAGCAGCAGGCGTGGCCGGTGGTATTGCCGGTTAGGGGGCTTGGGGAGCAGTGGGAGGAGGGGGAGGAGGGGGAGGAGGAGGTGAGGAGTGGTGGAATAGGTGGCAGGCGGAAGAGGAGTGGGTGGGATACACCTGATTATGGGGACAAGAGTCACGATAATAGGTTCGTGGAGAACGGGAGGGAAGGGCCTGAAGTTTGGGAAGCGGTAGTCAAGACCGAGCCTGAAGAGCCTGAAGATCAGGAGGTCAATAGGGATTTTGATCAGGATGTCTATGATCTTTTCGCGGACGCTTGGGAATAGGATCAGATGGGTTTGAGCTTTGTGCTGCTTCACATGATATAACGTAATGTGTCTGTGATGTAAGGACCTGTGCGTGGGTCATACATATTCTCACAGAGAATACTAGCCAATAGAGCCCAATTATACCCTCCTCCAATTTATTGTCGTTTGAATTCCTGTCTCATTCGATTCTGTGTGGCGGTTTGGCTTGAGCGGGTCGCGTTCAAGTACCACATAGTACCATCTAGATTTAAATCTTTTTACTATTCTTTCGAGCTATTGTCTTATGACACTTTCTTCTTATCGATAAGTAATTTCGGATGCTTCGTATCATTAGAAGGGGTGTCCATTGTCCGAGTGATATTGTATGATCCAAATTCGTCGCAACACATGATTCGAAATTAAGTCAAAGCGAGAAACGAAACTAGAATGCTTCCTTGATCACACGGACTAGATTCACTATGATACCAGCTCTTGGGATCCTATGACAAGTAAAGGGCGAAAAAGATTCCTTACTAGCTGATGCTTAATCCCGACGGCCCCCCATGACTCCTTCATAAACGTACAATCAAAACTTCTGGGGTACTCTGTGCCATTCTTAATTCCGATAATTGTACTTGTGAAATTCGTGATATAGTGATTCATAGTAACGTTTGGAGAAGGAAGGTGGAATATAAAGAGTCCATATTTTGTAGCTTCTGCCTTGTAGGAGTTTGAACGTGTGTCTTTCAACGCTTTCGAGGATACTCGCATGATCCACTCTCACTCTGACCGAGTGATCAGGCTACCCCTTAATAAATAAACTGCAGGCATAATCCAATTAGATGTATCATCGAAGGAGACGAACGTGCTGGATCCAACAGCTGATCAGAAGTATCGATAGAAGTATACAGCACGTGTCTTAAGCCTTTGAAGACTCAACAGCCTCCCTCCCAAATTGGTGGTTACATGCATACTAAATTATCCGACCTGTTGGCATTGAATGAAACAAATGCTCGTGTATACGTCATGGTGAATGTTTCTCGGGAAGAAGAAGCCATGTGGTGTCATGTAGCAATGTATGTACATGTGCTCTTTCCCCCCTCTCCCTCCCTTAGATTGCGGGTATATACATATACAGATAGTCATATGGAATCCCGCATGCACTCGTAGTTACTTTATATCTAACCACAGCGCCAGACTGAATCAATTGCGGGGAAGGCGTGGAGGTATATGCACCTTCTCATCGTCACAATCGAATAGCCCTCGATCAGCCAGCTTTAGCCGCTGATGAACTCCACTGTCCTTTGCATGATGAATTTCATCATAGACCGCATGCATGGTGGAGTATTAACGGCGCTTGTGTGCAAGTAATCTCGGGTGAGCGGTGGTCCTTTAATTGCTAACTAGTTATAGAAGATCGGAACGATCGAAAGTGCCAGTCTTTATAAGTAGATATACTCTCATTGTATCTCAGATGATTGATCAGTTACTTGATTACGAAACATACAATTGGCCAGTATATACGAGATACTTCCCCCATGACTCCACGATAACATAACCCCCTCCTTCAGCTGCGTGACATCCGTTTTGATATCACAATTAAACACGTCAGATCTTGTTTTGGCCGATTTGGACAGAAATCGAGAGCAGTTACCGTTGGTAGGTTGAGGAGATGCAGGGTTAAATAAATAAGGGACCAGGATAAGCGGGTGGTTAATGCTGAATCTGGATCGTAAACTCGATCGCAAGTATATGCAGTTAGATAAGAAGTCGCTGTGGAGATGGTGTCGATGGTGGTAGTGGTGTGCATGCTGATAAAGGTAAACCCGACGTTGGAGCTCGCACCCAGAAGAGGGGAATGTGGGGTACGGTTGATGTTCAAGCCTCATAGTGGCCCGTTTACTACCTAGTTGGGGATGTTTAAAATACATCCGTGCGGGCTGCCACCTGCAGGCTGCTCCGCTCTGACAGGTTTTGTTCTGCCATCCGCTCCTCCATTTCGGGAGATTCCGGAAGCTTCCATCGACGGTACCCTAGCAACGGTATCTCCCATGATAAGTAGAGCAAGATCCGATAGGCGAAAAGCAATCTTGCATTGGAAAATAACCGAGACCTTATTTATAACGACTGCCGCTAACATTGTCACTTCTCACAGTTCAGGTGACTTAAATTGGGAAATGATAAATATTTGGCACGATAATTGAATCAATAAAGTAAGAGAGATGGTGACAAAAATCTAATAAGAATCTAACAGCATGATTCATTTATCATGCACCCAAGACCTTGGGCATATTGAGACCGTCTAATCGAATATTGAATCGACGAAACAGGAAAGGTATAATCGTTGCTACCTTTGCCCAAGTTGTAAAGAAAAAGGAAAACAGAAAAAGGAACCTAGTAGTAAAAGAAACCCCGAACCATTCCACCCATCCCACCAACGTAAAAAGAAGACAAAAAGAATTTAACACCCTTACTCGAGACCACCACAGATGGTCTCGATCATGATACCAGTGATCTGGTAGGGGCAGGCGTTGGAAGCAGGGCGACGATCCTCGAAGTATCCGAAACCCTCCTTGGCACATGACCTGGGGATACGGATTGAAGAACCACGATCGGCAACACCGTATGAGAAGTTGTCAATTGAGCCGGTCTCGTGTCTGCCAGTAAGACGGAGAGTGTTGTCGTCACCGTAGACGGCGATGTGCTCCTTGTGACGCTTGGCGAGCTTGTGGATGGCCTCCTCGATGTGCTTCATTCCTCCCTCGTTCCTCATCGCCTCAGTAGAGACGTTGGTGTGGAGACCAGAGCCGTTCCAGTCACCACTATACAATATTAGACACGTTTTATGGCATATAGATGAACTTGGGACACTTACGGGATGGGCTTAGGGTGGAAAGAGATCTTTACACCGAACTCCTCAGCAACACGCTGAAGGAGGTAACGGGACATCCACAGGTGGTCACCCACTAATCCAAAGTTAGTAAAGCTTCTTGATAATAAGAGTAATTTTAATATACTGACTTTCAATGCCTTCACAAGGTCCAACCTGGAACTCCCACTGGGATGGGAGAACCTCTGCGTTGATACCAGATATCTTGATTCCGGCGTACAAGCAGGCACGGTAGTGGGCCTCAACAATGTCACGGCAGTAAACCTTTCCAGTACCGACACCACAGTAGTAAGGACCCTGAGGACCGGGGAAACCACCCTTGGGCCATCCGTAGGGTTGACCGTACTCGTCAAAGAGGGTGTACTCCTGTTCAAGACCAAACCAAGGCTTCTGGTCCTTGTGGGCCTCCATGAGCTTGGCGCACTCGTGGCGGTAGTTGAACTTGTTAGGGGCACCATCGGCGTTCCAGCACTCAGCCAAGACGAGAAGGTTGTCGCCACCGCGGAATGGATCGGGGAAGGTGGCCACGGGGCGGAGGTAGACATCAGAGTCCTCGCCAGGAGCCTGGTTGGTGGAAGATCCGTCGAAGTTCCATTCTGGAAGGTCCTCAATAGACTCTGGCTTTTTGCTGAGAGTCTTTTAAAATTAGAAAAAATTCTTGTAAGCGATATGGACAAAACTGAGGGGTTGGAGGTTGCGCAAGTGAAATTGATGAATTGAGATGTCGTGTGCCGCGGGGGTGGGTAACGCTATCGCGAAAATGATTTGAGGAGGAAGGATCACAAACCTTGGTCTTGCTCCTCACACCATTGGATCCATCGATCCAGATGTACTCGGCTTGTACGCTGCCCTTCTGGTCAAGGTTAAGGTACTTGAGAAGCTGTAGATAAAAAGTTTAGTTGAATGTTTAACTGATAAGATTTGTTTTTGGATAGGGAATTACGGACGTTGGCAGTGTTAGAGATGGTTGTTGAGTCCGTCTGTTGAAAAAGATTGTTAGTCGGTTGATAAAAAGGCTTCGGCAAAAAGGAAGGGCGCTGACCATCTTGAGAATGTGTTGTGGGTATCTAAGAACGAAAAGAAGAAAGATAGAGAAGAAGAGATGTAGTGAGGTTGGAAGCTATGAGCTTGGAGTGGATGATGAAGTAGAAGAAGAAGGAGCGGGGGAGGGGAGTATATAAGGCAAAGGAGGAAGAGTGTGACTGATGATAAAATGGAGAAAGGTGGTGGTGTAGTTTGGTGGGCAGGGAACCGAGATGCCGTGGAAGTTTACGCCCACACTGAAGCAGGGGCACGGTTTGTTGGTTGCGTGTGCGGGAAAAAAAAGCAACTTTCTTTTTTTGAAGGCCCCTCGTGCAGGCTAACTGTGAGTGGGGGATAGAATCACCACACACTGCGATAAGATTGAAAGACACAGGGTTCTTGAGGCTTGCTGAAAAGCCTGCATGAAGCATCTCTGATACACATTTATCCGAATGCAGTACATACCTAAAAGAAGAGTACATTATTGGGTATAACAATAGTTGAATTATTCAGAAGCCATACTACAGTTCTTGTCTTTCTAACACAGCGCACCCACGGCAGTTCGAACACCTAGCAGATACGCATACTACATGTATGCTTTCCTGCCCACTTCACTACCATCATCCTCGCCCTTGAACCTTCGAATATGTGGCCCTGTCCTGATGTTGTCCCACGTGAGTTATTATTTTTCCCCTGCAACACTTCACATGAAAGTAATCGCCAGATGGTGGTCAAAATTTCTATTCTACTGGATCCCTATCGATCAATCCAACAGATTCGTATTCAACCCAGAAGAAAAAGGAAAAGCTTACGTTTCATGAAGAACAAATCGTGAGCGAAAAACTTTGGTTTTCCATGTCATAAACTTGACGTCCTTGCAACCAGGTTCAAGATTTTAAGATCTAGCCGAATAAGGATCTTGCCTCGAGCCTTCGTGGCGGGCGTGGAGGTGGCACCCTCTTTTCATCAATTCGTCCAGACCTCCCATCTCACTTTTGCAAAACCCCTCTCTCTGCAGCCCCGCCATGCAGGGAGTGTTTGGCACAGTCAGGCCCGATAGCGAGACGAGGTGTCCCCCATTCTGCCAGAAGGTCGTCTTATCAGTTGCAACCTCTTCGACGTCTGTGTAACCGATAAGGCATCTGTAAGTTCTCATCTAGCAAAGCCGATAAATAACATAAAATTCAAACGTAAAAAATGTTTTGCAGTTGTCAAAGAGGCCTTTAAAGACTCAACAGCTCACCCAGACTCTCCAAAAATACCTAGTGGGGGGAGATATTTCTGGACAAAACATTTGACAAGGGCCTTTGTGCCTGACTTTCTCAAGTCTCGTGGCCAGCCTCACAGCTTCCCCGGGCCCTTCCAGAAGCTCCAAATTCCTGATGAGAGTTTTGCCGGAGAGACCACCCTTCTATGATAGCTACCACCGTTCTCCGTTACCCCTGAACGAGACCCATTTGTTGGGGGTCGAATAGCCAATAGAAACGAATCTATTACGGCATCACTTCTGGGCAGTCCGGGAGCTTGTACCTGCGCTGCAGCCATTCGGCAAAGAACATAGACGTTCGGTTTCTTTACCGGGTAAAGTATTTTGAAAGGTAGATTTACGAATTCCAAAAACTAATACTCATGGAGGCAAAGGAATTTACATATCAAGTAGCTTCACTAACCGTTATTGTTTGGTAGTTCATGATATCAAGACAAAAAAAGCAGAGAGGCTGGAATGCTGACAACCGACCACCGACCAACACGCATAATCAAACAGGAAGCCAATCTTCTCCTTAATCGTGCAGTCAGCCATTTCGGATTTCGGGGGATCTCTCCGCTACGACCTCGAGCTCAGCTCCTGACGATAGGTATCTTTACTTAGAACCACACACGAGGGTTTTTGCCAGCACTTCGCCGGCTTGTGCTGTACACAGAAATAGATCGATTATCCGGCCCGTGTCTCGTCTACACATGCTGAAGCAAGAAGCATTTATTTGCATTGTTCTTTGACGTACGATGGGTTTACACGTTGGTTGGCGGTGCAAAGCGTCTATAGCCGGACGCGAATATGACGTAAAGTCTCTAAACCTGAGACGTGGCCCTAAATCTATCGAACTTCGAGAACAAAGCACAAAGAACACAAATAGTGCCCTTTACAATGTGTAGTTCTGTGAGACGAGTTTTCAAACGTTGTTTCCCATGATCCAACGTTTGAAAGCTGCGCCTCGTACCTGCATGTGGGCCAAGAAAGGCGGGGATCTGATAAGAAAGCTGATAAGGAGCCGCGCCTGACAGCTGAGGCAGTGAAACATCAACATTTGTTTTTAGATCGTTTGTAGCATGATGATAGGTCCTATTCATGATATGGACTCGGGGGCATCGGGTCGGGATGGTGTGGCGCATCTCTTTGGGGTGGTAATGATTATTCAAAACAAATCTACCTACCCCGGGTGTTGTCTTTTGAACCACAGACTCGGACGATGGTTGCATAAACCGTATCTATTGGACGATTAACATACGTACACGCGCTTGCAGCTCCTGCCTGGTGCCTACACAGCTCCCTCGCGCTTATGTATTCGATCTGAAGCTTATGTTGAGTTAGTTACTAATGGCTTTTTGTTTAGTCCAGAGGCACCCCAAATAAACGTACGGTCAATGTTATTGAAAATCTGGTTCACACGCCTCAGTACCTCTACGGATGTCTTGCATGTGAAACTATCGGTACCATAATAGCAAGTACATGTTTTTTTGGTAGAGTACTGCTGTACCGTAGGTACACATAACTTGGGGTAGTGGATGATCATCGTTGCACAAGACTTTCCAAATAATCCGGCCGCTCCCGATCACGATTCGGCTCCCCCACGCTGCAACTCTCCACATAACGAACCAGTCAGCCGGGAAACCTGGTGGCTACGTTCGCAACCAGCCCTATGCTATGCAATCTACTTTTGTTTTGCAAAATCAGTTTACATACACACCTTCAACTAATTTCGATTGTTTTGATCGATTAGGTACCTAGTCCAGGGTATGTCCTGCAGTGGTGTGAAAATTTATCTCCACGTTTTCTCCCCAAAGCTTGCGGGGAATACTTTGTGTCAGCGGCTGTAGCCTTTCATCATGGCAGAACGATTCAATCAGGTATATTGCTTTTGGTTTCCTTGGAATCTTTGTTTTTTCTTGGCGATCTTACGTACTCCGGGTTGTATTCCCCGAAAACTCAAAAAAAATACTAATTTAAACTACGAGATCCTTTCATGTGGTTCGATCTTAATCGTTGATCATGAAGTCGGCATGATATTGTTTTTTTGTTGAGAAAGCCAACTACTTGTCATATGTTTCGCATTACTTTTGTTTATACGTGATGAAGGAGCTCTCCGATTCGATCTGAAGGTTGCGGCAGCCAGCTAGCTACATAGCTACGGCTGGTGAAATGGACAAAGCAAAAACAAAAATACTTTACGCCACCAGCCGGCGGTGCAGTTTGCGTGTTTCCACCATATTGTTCAGGAACCGGACGTTCGTCCTTCCAATAGGAAAGCTACCATTCAGGACGGTTCAGGGTTAGGTTAGCCTGGATGGGGGTTCGTGTGGGGATGCAAGGGTCCAGCTTTGTCACATCGGAGTTGTCAACTACTAACCACTGTTTATCATCATGAGTTACTTTCGCTTTGGAAACGGTATTCATTCCGTGAGCAATGTCTTACTGACATTCTACATGTCTTTTTCGTGTGCCGGGCGGGAATGGGGTAACATCGGAACTCTTCTTTCTCTCGGAGATGAGATATGTTTGATATGTTTAGCAATGAATTACAAGCGATATTATAATACCTCTTGCACTATTGGCTTTTTCGTTTTCGCCGTTCAGATGTCCGGGCGTCGGGGGAAGGCACTAATAAGACGTGTAGCCACCGCCCCTGGGATCGTTCAGCCCCCGAGGGGAACCATATCTTGGACTCAAATGACTGACACTTCCAAACTTAGGTCTCGGGGGTGCGCTATCGTTCCCGTAGACTCCTTCCCCAGCAGCCCCAGAAGGCGCGCCCGCCAGCGTGATGGCCTTCGGAGTGGCTTTTCTTTAGACTTGGTAGGCTTGGGAGCCCTCAGCTTTGAAGTATTTTAAAGATAATTTTCGCTTTTGGAATACCTAGGGGGGCATATGACCGCAGCTAGCCAACCTACCTCAACCTACGAGTGACCTGATGTGCTTCCATGCGCTTTGCTTTGGTTTGTTTGAGCTGTGACGTTGAAATAACGTGTGGAGTAATGTACCCGCAGCCCGGCCGAGCTTCCGGGTGTCCGGGGTGGTGGTCGGTCTTAGGTGTGATATCATCGAAATGTGAATTCTTGGTTTGCCCCGGGGTATGGCGTCAAAAAGGAGCTGGTCTCTTGTTTTTTTATATATATGGATTTCTTCCTCGGCCTCTGTTAGTCGGGTTCGGTCGGCGACTGGGCTGGCGTAGGAGGTAATGATGCGCTGGTCTGGGAAGTTGGATTGCGCAATATGTTGGGCATTGCATGCGCGTGCGCTAGAACTAGACTCTTGAGGTCTCAGGTTCTCTGGAGTGGTTCTATGGCCAAACCATAGACAGCAGATACAGACTCTGCTCTACGGAATTAGTTCAAAACCTGTGCTATATTCCATCGACCCCCTTCATACATGTAAATACCTACCTGATTCACGAAAGAGAAATTTAAGTTAATCACCATGAGTCGACCGGCAAATCAAAACTCAAAAACCAGCCTCCGTTCCAAAATAGATAGAGTTAGACACTAGAGTTTAGTTTAGTTTGTGTGGCTTGGGATATGCAATGTCACTGACACCTTGCACTAAACTAACAAAAAACCTTCCCTGGCGAATTTTTTTCCCTTCAAAATAGATTGTGAGCTAACGGTTGCGGCTGCTATGGCCAAGGACAGGATAGGTGCAATGCTTCTTTCGGTCAATTCATCCTCAGACTATGGAGCTTTGCTTCGGGTGAAGTGGGTCACGAGGTATGGTATCATGTAGAGAACGTAGATAGCCAGATAGCTATGTGTACGGTCTTCAAATCAGTAGTTCTAGATCTCTCACCGCATCTGGGGAAGGGCTATCTAATTCTTACTTCTACATACCTACTCTGGAATTCGGGTTACAAATTTTGATCTTGATCTCTATTTGATTTGCCGGCCACCAGCCCGTACCGCCACGGGAGTTCATTTTTCCCTCTCTCTCCTCTCTCTTTCGCGAATTGCCAGTGCCAAAAGCCCCAAAAGGTTCAACTCAGAAAGTGCAAAACCGATCCTTGCTACATACTAGCTGCTGCTGCTGCTGCAAGCCACACACACCCCTAACCCCGATGCGCAATTGCCAACCTCCAAAAGTGGCACCCCCCTGGCCGCGCACTGATGGTAACGTCCGTAGCGCATCCGCCTGGTGGATCGATCCCTGCGGTCCGCCTAGGGGTCAGATCACCGCCTACCAGTGCACTGCGAACAGATCGCCGCACGGATCTCCGCTCGCTGGTGCGGGTATTGACGGTGAAACGGGCGGGAGCTGGTGGTGTCGCTTTGGGAGTGGCGGTGTAGGGGTCTTGGGTGGTAACAGTGGTAATGATAGTTTGGGCGGTTGTGTGAGGTGGGTCTCCATGAATAGACAGGTGCTAGAACACGTTGTCAGCTAATGTACCGATAGAAGGACAAATAAGCAACCACCTTCAATTATACGAGCTGGCCAAGCTGGTCGAGAGATTAATGGAATATGTGTAGACCTTCCAAAATACTTGTGCAGTATATATACTGTGTCCGTCCATCACATTAATTAATTGACAGTAAGTACAAGTAGCTATATATATAAATTTTCCTCCTCCATATGTATTATGATACAAAAGTGCGTCACGTACTTATGCCTACGCCCGGAGGCTGCGCTTATACGTGTGGTGTATTAAGTAGCTACATGTCGGCGGATTGTTTGTGCTGAGCGGGAGTACATATGTATGATCTTGTCGACTAATATCAAACTTATAGATATACATATGCGTATTCATATGTGGTCGACAGCCTACCACGAGTGCGTGGTCTATAGCGATAGTATCGTACCCATTATTGAGCTCTGTCCGGAAGATCAGGGTTGGGCTAATTGTGGGGAAACCCGAAACCCTCAAAAACCTTTTACATCTACAAAAATGTCAGCCACAAACATGACCCTTCGAGCTTGCCCAGATTGACCACCACGCCGAGATTCCTTTTTCTGATGTACTGAATGCCATCAGTGATCTGCCCCTACCCGCCCCCGAGGCACCACGAGCCCTGATCCCGCGAGGGTAAAGGCCATGTGCAGGGACCTCCGGAGACGCTCCTACGAGTACTCCGTTCATATTGTGGAAGATATTTTTAAGCTAGAGATATTTGGCATACGGGGATATCTGTGACCCCGGTAACGAGTCGGCCTTCTAAAAGAATCAGTTATACTCCGAAATATATATATCAGATCGATAAATTCTAAAACCCTCCTCAAAGAGCCTTTTTTAAAAAAAAACCAACACATTGCCCCCCACACTCACAAAAATGTCTGCTACAAATATGACCCCTCTCGATCTCGCCCAGATTGACCACGCCGAGATTATTTTTTCGGCCGCGCTCAGCGCCATCCCCGCCTCACCCATCCCCGCTCCCTAGTCATACACCGCGAGCCCTGATCCCGAGAAGGCAAAAGACTTGTACAGGGACCTCCGGAGAACCTCCGGGAGTACTCCGTACGTACTGTGAAAAATATTTTCAAGCCACAGATACTCGACTTCCTGTCTGTATACGGGGACACCTACGACCTCGGTAACGAGCCGGGCTTCGTTATCGGGCATTGGACTATTTGCGGTGTCTATAACCAGTCGACTCACACCAGGTATTAATGCTGGGTACGGCTGTCCTCTGCGTCAAGAGGTACTTTAAGAGCTGGTGGGTGAAGGACATCATGGTCCGGTGCGGGGTGTGCCTTCATGACAGGGAGCCAGAACGATAGAGGCTGTAATGAAGCATCTTGGTAGGCATACCTAGGTGAGGAGAAGTGGGAGTTGTATACGTAGAGATGGCCGCTGCAGTTACCCATCAAGGGCGTGGGGTAGCATGGAATACAGTCACTTCTGGATACAAGGATACGGTTGGGTCCGAAAGTCTGTGTTGAATATATTCGATCTTATAAGGCGAGTATCACTATAGCAAGTAAGGAGATGCTGGTACAAAGGTATTTCGGGACTACCGATTGCTATCATTATAACGAGAGTATCATTATATGAAGTATCACTATAACAAGAGTCGACTGTAGGAGGTAGGAGGTGTGCCGGGTGGATATTCTTCTACTCGGTAGCCATCGAGGTGGTAGTGAGTATACCATATCGCAAGTTATAAGATTACATGTACAATCACCTGCTACTAGATGGATTCTTGCACTGTTTAGAAACAAGTTGTATCTGAATCTGCTCAATATTATATTCAATATTAGTATTTAGCATATATATGTATATTAGACGAGAGTAGATTACGCCGTGCATAAATAATATAAATTACATATATACATATATATATATACGTGCACGTCTAAATCAACCTAAAACCTTAATAAATGAAAAAAGAAAGTAACAGATAGAATGTAGCATTACAATCTGTGATATATATGGTATACTCGCTGCTGCCAGCGCAGATAGTTCGATATCTACATGTATATACAAGGTAGGGGGATGCCCACCCGGCACACGCATAAACAGGCAAAATCTCCCAACGACGCCCTATTCACTGGCGCTTTCAAACAAACAGCTTAGCGCTGGAAGTTTTCTATGACCTCTCCACCCAGACGCTCCTCACCTCCTTAATTGGTAGTCGGAGTGGCCACTTCTGCATGTACCATTCCCACCTCTCTTGACCATCTGGTCCGTGCTCCCTCCCAACATGCTTAAGCACGCGTTCTATTGCTTCTGGCTCCCTCTCAGGACATAGTGCGCACTGAACCAGTGTTTCTTTATCCCACCGGCTCTGAAGAAGCCTCCTCACACAGAGGACAGCAGAACCCAGCATTAAAATATGAGGGGAATTTGAGGGCCACATTTCCCGTACATAGTTGAGCGCCCCGATAACGAAAATCGGTTCATTCCTACGGTCAACGATACCCCCACATGAGGACAGGAGGTCGCATATTTGTGGCGTGAACACCTCCTCCACGATATGCGTAGAGTACTCCTTTGAGAGGCTCCAGAGGTTTCTACGCATTTCCAGGGCTCGAGCGACCTCTTCGGGTGTACGTTGTGAGGATGAGATGGAGTCGGAAGCGGTGGAGGCATTGCGCTGGTCAGGTGAGGGGGTGACCGCGGGGAGAGGGCCGTTCATGGCATCGAGTACAGCCTGCATGAGAATATCCCTGTGGTAGGCGATGGCGCTGGCGGCCTGGATGCGGGTCATGATACCCATTTTGTGTGGTAGAGAGGAAAAGATATGTATGTTTTAAAAAGTGTTTGAGGGTTTTGGAAGTTGAATATATCGAGAGTGATATATTCTACAGCTTTTTGGAGGGGGGATTCGAAGATATCTAGGTTTTTTGGACGAATATCTGACTTTTTTGGAACAAATCTGATTTTTCTGGAAAGGTGATATCTGATATTTAATTCGGAATATGATTTTTTTCTTCGACTCAACGACGGGCAGGAGCCGTATTTATTGCTGCAGGAAGGCCCCATTACTAAGCTGCTGGAGAGACTGGTCGCTGGTAGTTTGACTACCGAATTCTAGCTGGGTGCTGGTCATTGAGCCTGTCATTGTCCTGTTGTGCTGGTCATTGTGCTGTTGTGCTGGTAAAAAAAAAATTCATAATTGTCCGCTGGTAATTGTGGTTCTAGCAACTGTGCTGACGAGATTGGCCGCGCTTTCGACGCTGCTGCTGGTCATTGACCCCGCGTGTGATTCGACTATCGACGCTGCCGACACCACCGATGCTGTAATTGGTTATATATTACCCACTGTGGTCTGGCTCCGTCGACGCATCGCTAGCCATTACCGACTGCTGTTTCTGGTAATTATTCCTGGCAAGACCTGCTGTCGACGCTGCCGTTGTGATAATTTTCTCGCCGTCGCACGCTGGTCATCGTCCATCTCTCGTACCGCAGTTGAAAAAAAAAATTTGACTTTTTTTTTTCAGGTTGTGCGTTCCGGGGAGTCGCGATTGATGAGCTGAGGGAATTAAGGGTAGAAGTGACGACCCCAGGGCAAGAGTGACGGGCTAAGGGGCACATATATATATAGAAAAACTAATATATGCCGTCATTCGTCGTCGTCGTTTGAACCCTCCCCGGCCCGGACCGCACGCACACCTTGTAAATGTATGCGCCCTGATTACATGCACCGATCGTAAGAGACGTCACCCAGCGGTGACGGGTGTGTATTCTAGCTGTTCCCCCCGCTGTCCAGGAACACCGCGCCTGGCGCCTGACGTTGGGGGAACCGGACTGTATTGGGGTTGGTTTGGTTTGGTTTGGTTTGGTGGATATATTTGGTTGGGGTATTTATAGATTGTTGTAGCGGCGAGTGATAGTTCGAGTGATGTAACGAGTGATAGTTGGTGATGCGGGTGTTGCAGGGGGTTCGGTGTTTTGATTGGCCGAGCAAGGGTTGCCGTCGGCCCGGAAGGGATTGTCGGAGTGAGCAGTGAGGCCTGGATGATGGATGAATAGATATAGTCAGTGAGTACTGGAACAAGATTAATACGTTTGTCAGTAGTATACTGTAGCGAGTAGTGAGGCCTGGATGGATCGTGAGTGGGCAATGGTCAACGATCGAGTATCCTACCCAATCAATGCAGAAGACCAATGCTGTACTGTCCTTCGGGGGTACAATACAATACAATACAATACAAGCATACAGCAGTGCAGTATGGGAGCTCGAGAGAGAAAAGCGCGCGCTATATAAAGATACGAGAGCACGCAGCAAGAAGGACAGAGCGCGCGCACTTTCACGAAGAAAAAACAGGAAAGTAATTTAAGTTGATCTTTAATTCTTTTGATTTCGTACTCTTATCCTACATTAATGCTATCAATGCAAGAAGAGAGAACGAAAGAAAGAAAGAAAGAAAGAAAGAAAGAAAATAGTTTAAACCTAGTCGCACTGTTAGTGAAATGAAGCTGAAAACACATGAACAATAAAGAAAAACAGTAGTCGGTGGGTTCGGTAGATCGATGGTCCTGACCTAGCGTGCACTGCTCAGGTACAGTGCAGTAAAACGGTAGGTAGTAAGTGATGGAACGCCCCGAGGTACAGATATACCTGCAAACACCGTATGTTGGTGGCGTTTTACCCAAAACAGGTATAACTGTATCTCAGAGCGTTCCATCGCCTACTACCTATCGCTGTACAGGGTGGTATAGTATCCCCTGCATGAGCGGCCATGTCAGTCCCAATCAAAATTAATAGTAACCGAACCAGGCAGGTTATTTACCGTTCAGTCCCTCCCTGAGCACACAGGTAATTAGGTAGAGCACCTTCCTTGGCCCTCTAGCGTTTCCCCCACACACGCCAGAAAGCCCCCCAGAGACGGGTAGAGAATGAACGGTAACTGCGTTTAGTAGAGCGTACCCACCACATCTGGTCCGGTTGTTTCGATTGGGACTGACATGACCCGCCCAAGGGTGATAGTGTACTCCACGAGGCCGCTCGAGGAAGTGACAGGGCCTCGTGCACACGGGGTAGTATATATATGTATACAGCTTCCAGCAAAGCTATTGTGAAAGCACCCGATAGTCCTAAATATTGGTTTTTTGCTGCGGCGAGCACAGGCCAACATTAAACCCACTCCTTTCAACCCAAACAGCGGTACGTTTTTCAAACAAAACTCTCTCACTCACTCACTGAGTGAATCGAATCATGGAGCTCGGGCGGATCCTGTCTGGGTTTGAGGCCGAGTTAGCTTTGGGAGTTTAATTCGAAGCCAAGCTGGCCAACACAACCATAGGACAGGACCCACCGAGCGAGCGAGCGTACACAAAGCACAGCGTATGGTAACGTTCCTCATTTCTCTTCTCGTATACCTCTGTCTATTGGGCCATCCATCTACATAGTTTGAGATGGAAGAAACAAAGACTGACTGACCGACCGATCGGTTAATAATTCATTAGTTGATGAAACACTAGAGATAGATAAATCTCGATTTCAGATCGATAGCCGAATGGTTGGTTTTTGATTGATCGCGCACCAGTAAGTGGGAGTGCTATTAGGTTTTATAATGCACCCTCAATTATATATAGAGTGACGCGCGTCTGCCGTCACTGCCCTAGTTTCTTTTTTTTCCTCCTAAAACGCACACAAAACGGCGCTGCTCGGGAAGTTTTAGGCATGGCGAGACGGTCGTTACCACAGAGACGTTCCATTCTCAGAATTGGCTTTGGTAAATATGTTTGCATTTGTGTGGCTGGAAATGTTTGAAACAAACTAGGGTATAACCCAGCTCTGAGGGGGACACAGTTGTGGGTAGGAATGATAATGTGCATAATTCTAATGTCAGCGTTGGTAATCGCAGCGCGGGATCAACGAGCCACCAGCTTTAATGGGGGGTGCTACCAGCACGTACGGGGCTACGGGGCGTGGTTAGTAAAGGTAGGGCCGTAATACCAGTGCCAAGAAAGGAGAGATTTCTCGGTTTTTTCTTTTCTTTTCGGGCCGATGATCATGTTGCGAATTATGATTTAAAGCGGGTTATATACCATAACGCATCATTAAAACTGCAACTGGGTACGCATGGTGGTGATAGGTAGGTTGTGTAAATGACAGTACTCCGATCTATATGTTAACATGATGTTTATGTTTGATATGCATATATCAGTCTTATGTACGACACCGCAGACTATCCCCTCAGCGGTCAGGCGTTAATTAATTATTATCTGCATGTCAGGTCTAATTAGGTTAACTTCACATCTGATAAGGTATTAGTGTGATGATATCCCTCATTTCACAAGTATCTTCCGTCACACTTACTTTTTCTGGCTAAGTTGACAGATGTCGATCAGGAATGCACTAATTGGCGTTGAGCCGACGTTAGTGTACACCTAGCTGTAGTTCGAGTCGAGTGCTACTCTATGATCGTACCATGCGCAGTACATCTACGGATCATAGAAGCAGCTGCGTCACCTTAGATAGACCCTTTCCCGTCATGTTTGACGTTCGCAGTTTGAAGAACGTAAATAAAGAGGGAGATAGTTTACAATACCATTCAAAGCCGAGGGGATCATTTTTTGGGGGGGTGTTGTAGTGTTGCAAAATTTCATGTAACCAAATCATTGACATACTTGGCACTGGCATAGCAACCAAAAAAAAAAAACCATGCCTTTCGTGCCAAGAAACCTCCGAGGTTAAAAACACCTTTCACTTTTTTCCTTTTCATTCGCAGCAACGGTAATAATAACTTCACGCTGCAAATTTTTAACGGGTTAGAGTAAAGCTGGGCAAATGTTCTGATTGGCCCGTTTCAACCACCAAGGCGTTTGTTGATGTCAGTGCGCTCATTACATGTACATTAGACTTTAGTGACATATGTAGGTACGTACATGCAGTTTGGACTTCTAGCAGAACATCATGTGAAACCACCATCCAGCGGCCCATTACTGCATGTATACTTGCCGAATCATGATCATGTGATTCCGTAAATATCTACATGTATTGACATGTGGTGTTTGCGCAATATCTACAGAAAAAGGACCCTTAAATACTAGAATAGGCAGTAACAGAAGTAGCGGGGAGTGATTAGGGTTGCAGGCGCGTGGGCGGGTGATAGTTTGTGACCACAACCCTTAGTTAAGTAGTTGAGTTGTACTGCACCCTAGGCCATCTACACCACAGCTGACGGTTCTATGAATCATGCGATCACCGTATTGGCATGGAGCCTTAAGTATCTAGCGCGTAGCCTTCAAAACAGCCAAAAATGACCCGCAGGATAGTTCAGCGCTGCGCATGTTTGATCATTGATTTTGACTTGGCGGCAGTATGTACTTCATTATACTGACTTGACGTTGCTTTATAGAGACTTTCTAGATAGAGCCTAATTTGATACTGATAGTAGTTAATCATGGATTATGACTCGGTTAGAAAGTAGATCAAGTATTATCCCAATCGATAACAGAGACATTCGGACCGGTTGTTACCATGACAACTAAATTAACGTTGTTGTTGCAATTAACTTGAAGTAATGATCAAATTGCATCTAAAGTATATAATGGACAGGTTTCCACTCTTAATTCCTGTCACCGTGAGCGTCCACATACTCTTCTCTCCCCACACTTCACCCTCGATCCTCATCACCACGTACGCTCCCCGTGATAGATCAGCTCCCATCCGTTTTCCCGTTCTAACGTATTTCCACCAGTAATATAATTCGATCGATTATTATATATAGGCGCCCGAATTAATTCACTATCGTCATCTCCACCTCCACCCCCACCACCTTCATCATTATCATCCCCAGAACCAACGCAGTAGGTCTCATCCAGCTGCGGCGTGCTTTGTGAGTTATAACCACCACTAACATCAGCACCAGCAGCAGCGATCATGGCCGCGGCATTATCAGCAACAGAGTTCATAGAGCTGGCACTAGCAGGAGCGGTGGTGGTAGGATCCGCAGGGGTGGTGGCAATGGCATCAATTGTGCTGGTGTACGTGATGGAAGCAGCTATGGATGGGTACTTTGAGAAGAACATATACCGTATACTGAGATAAATTTCATGAGAAAAATTACGTTGTGTGTAATCGACCAGTAGCTGTAGATTCTAAGGGACTGAATATGTAAAAAATGTTGGAAGGCCGGGCTGTATGTGCTGAGCTGTGTGTATAGTACTGGGATAGAAGTTTTGGTGATATACCCTTTTTTACAGCCAAAGTAGCCATGTTTAGCTCTACCCGAAGTAACCACCCAACCTCGTCCAAAGATTTCAGAGTTTCAAGGACAGTTGGAAATTATCTCAAGACGGAGCCCAGAGCATTCTAGAGTTTTAAGTCCATTCTAGTTCAGGTATATATGATGTAATTTTTAAAGTCATGATTTGAGTGTTAACTTTCTGATTTTGTATACAAATTTTGTGTTGCAACGGCAACCAAAACTTCTGCACCCCGACTATACATACTGTCCCGGATATCAACATGACTTGAGCTTGGGATGATGGTAGATGCGTATTGATAATCTAGTAGGAGCTGTTATGTAATTATTGTTGCGATAGAAATGTTATGTAATTATAAGCACCAATGCACGCGCAATTGTCACGGTAGTACCTTTTCCAGCTATGCAATACTGGCCAATAGAATTATTGCGAAAGTGGGCCTCCGTGTCGACCCGATAGTCCTATTAGCCCTTAGAGGAATTTTTTGTAGTTAGCACGTACGGACTAAGAAACCCCCCCTCCTTTAGTTCTGACTTGCGCAATAATTCTACCAGACACTGGATCGGTGTCATCTTCATAATATACAATTCAAACCGCCCCGCGGTCTTCCTAGCTCGATCCGTATACATACAGGCGGAGTGATGTGGATGACGACCTCCGCCGTCATGTCAACGGCCGAACCGCGCGCGGGGTGCTGGTTGTGCGGCATTAATTAATTTTCGAGCTATTGAATGAGAGAAAAATGCTATTGGCAGCTAGGAAAAAGAAGGATTCGATGATGTTCGTTATTAGAAATCATTATAACAAAAGATTTTGCAGTCACCACCCCTGGGTTGAACCTGCCTCCCTCCAGTGCTCGTGCTCTGTAGGCAATTAATTAATTTGGGATGTTCAATCATTACCCCACGTTGCTGACTGCCGCCCAACCAGCGATCACGGGCAAGGATCAGTTGAGCCTCACGCGCCCAATGGAACCTCGACTCTCTGATCTGCTACAACACCAATTGAATATAGCACACCCACCTCTCCCCCAGGAAAGGAACACCCCCCCCCCACGATACTCACAATACACCCACATCCACACACACAATGACGACCCCCAAGATCCCCGGCATGACGCCAAACACATTCCCCTTCTCCCCCGCGCTTCTCGGCCAGTCGCCGGCCGCGCACCAGCTCATCAGCAAGCACCGCTCGCCCGCGCCCCTCCAGCCCGGCTTCAGCACTCCCGAGGCCATCGCCAGCATGGGCATTGGCCTGACGCCCAGCGCCTCCGGCTCGGCGGGCAATCTGGGCATCCCGCAGATCAGCATGGCCGGCATGAACATGCCGCCGGACGAGAGCAAGAAGCGCGAGCTGGCCGAGATACTGCGCCTGCTGGCCCTGCGGCCTGGGAGGATCTCGGAGGAGGGGTGGAGAGGCTGGCGAAACGAATGGGGTAGATATACCTCTATACACCCCCCTCTCTCTCCCCATTGGAGATATGATGGGAGCTGTGATATGCTGATACTGTCTTGATTTCAAGATTGGACTGCTACAAAGACACTACGATACCCGGCGTGACCACACTGTCCCTCGCAGCAAAGATCTTCCTCCTCGATATCGACTTCCGCGACTCTCAGATCCCGCGCGTGACTCTCTCCTTCGCCCACCCCCCGGGCCCCTCACAGGAGTTCGCCCACCTCGCCGACGCAATCCTGCACAAGAACCTCAGCCCGAACCCGAAGGAGCACCCCCCGCTGATACCGCCCTCGCTCTCCGCCTTCGCCGACAACCTCAACCGCCTCGCAAAGATTGACTGCCTCAGCGCCCTGCCACACCTCAACTGCTTCACGGCAATAACAGGCCTCTACACCTCCCTCTCGCGCATCTTCGCCCACGAATCCACAACCCTCGAAGGCGGCGCCGCCGCCGCAACCTGCAAGGGCACCGGCCGCCCACGCATGCACGCGCGCTCCAAAGTCGGCCTCAGCATCGACTACTGGCAAGAGCACCGCTTCACCACCCCCACCCCCACCACCTCCACCTCAGAAGAAGACGAAGACACCCCCAAAACCTACCGCGTCCTCATCGAAGTTGAAGAGCTCCCCACCGACTTCACACACCTCAACCCCATCACCCCCGTACGCACATCCACCGAGTGGGTCTCGGACGAAATCAAGAAGCCCAGCGACTCCACCGACAACCTCTTTGGCGACTCGCCCGACTCGGACATCACCGACTGGCTCGACCCGCCGCTCGAAGAGCTCCTCGAGACGCCCGTCCCCGCGCGCTTCGTCGCCGTGCTCGACCCCCCCGTGCCCATACCGTTCGTCGACGAGCTCCACCTCTTCAACGCGCTCATGCTCGCGCCGCCGCAGGGCGTCAACGTCGACACCCTCGAGGCGCTCCTCTTCCCCTCCGCCGCGCGCGCAGCTCAGAACTCCTCCTCCTCCTCCTCCTCCTCCTCCTCGCCGCTGCAGGCCACAAGAACCGTGTTTGGCCCCTCCTCCTCCTCCGCCGCCGCCGCAGCAGAAGAGGCAGCCGTGCATAGGTACCGCCTTTACACGGGATATAAACCCGTCTATGCACGCTTTATAAGTGAGGTGCCGTTCTCGCACCCCAAGGAGCTCGTCGGCGTGTTCCAGATACTGCGCCAGTTTGTGTTTGTGGGCACGCTGCTGCGCAGCTGCTTTGACCCGCTTGCGCCTGCGCCTGCTGCTGCCGCGGTTGACGCGGACGAGAACGATGATGAGGACGAGGACGACTTGGACGCGTTTATGGGCGATGCGAAGCCTGCGGCGGAGAGGGAGGTGGCGCTGACGGTGGATTTGTCGCTGGGGAGTGGGGGTGCGGGGGCGGGTGGGCAGCAGGGTGGTGGTGGTGGTGGCGCGTTTAGTTTGGGTGTGATTTTCCCCGTGGAGGAGCGTGGGCTGGTGAGTTTTGGGGTGGAGGTGGGGAGGAATGCGGAGGTGAGGGTTGTGGGGGTGGGGGATGTGGATGTGGCGGGGGTGGAGAGGGCGGTTGTTGCGGTGGAGGATTTGGGGGTTGTGGTGGAGTGGGTGAGGAGGGGGGGAGGTAGTGGAGTGGGAGAAGGGGGGGAGTGGGAGTGGGAGTGGGAGTTTTTGCTTTGGGTGGTTTGGAGTAGGTAGTTTGGCTTGGATAGTCTGGATTGGATAGTTTAGCTGGCGTTATAGCTTAATGAAAAATAATGTTTGTGAGCAATGCAAGTAATGAGTTAGCAGCAAATTGTTCATGAGTGTGGTCAAATGTGTGAGAGTGATATATCGTGATAGAAGCCAGTATGTAGTTCTACATCATAGCATCTCGACCCATGGCCACTCAAGTACAAAAGTCCAGAAACAAACAACTACAGCCACCAAACCAAATACCACCACGAAACACACCCCATCCCATGCTTAAAAAACTCCAAACCATCATGATCATACACCACCTACCCACATCTCTACCAACTTCACCCCACCAGTAGGCGGACTCGCCCCCGGTCCGGGGTTTCCTCCCCTTCTGGCCATAGAAACAGCTATAAGCTAGCTAGCCACCCAAGCCTACAACAAGCACGAAACCCAAAACCCACCCCCAATCACACCTACACCTATCCCCAGCACCCCACCAGCACCCCCACACCGCCACTCCTACCCCAAACCCCAACCCACGCTCACCAATCACCCGGCCAACCGAGTGCGCAACGCGAGTGAGATGCTGTGACGCCGAGTGACACTCTGTGACGCCCGCCACCACACCACTAACCCAGCTAGCCTAGTCCCTGGGGGGGGGGGGGGCCGGGGGTGAATAGTAATCACACCCCAACACCCACAGCCGGTAAATGGTAGAAAGTGGATGGTGGATGGCACGTAGATTGGTAGATAGTAAATACTAAATACCCCCGGATACTGCTGCCTAAGTACATATGTACCGACATCCATGGTTCGATAGAGGGCGGGGTAAGCTAGCTATATTACCGGCGCGGCAACAAGAAGCGAAGGTACATGGTAAAGGATGCCTGACCCGCGGTGTAGAGGCACTGGGATGTACAAGGTTCCCGGGCTGGGTTGGGATGTGGGGGCGGGACTGGAGGGATGGGTGTGGGTTCCAGGTCATGGGCTCGCTCGACGGGGGGCTGTACATATGTAAGGCGCGTTTTAAGTATTGGGGCCCTGTATGTATATGTGAATAGTAAGCATAGAGATACATGTATGCATTGTATTGCCAGATGGGCAGAACAGCGTAACCTAATATTTGAAATATAATATCGCGATCGGCGGATCAAGAGGTGAACAATTGTATTTAAATGTATTTTATTCTATTCAATTCTCAGTACTGTACAACTATAACTCTAACGATAACAATAACTCTAACGATAACAATAACGATAACGATAACGATAACTCTAGCAACAATAACTCTAGTAGTAATAACAATAACTCTAACAATAACAATAACAATAACTTTTGAAAAAATCCTCATAATCTCGACGTCATCGTCACCATGTCGATATATACGTTTCTGGAGCATCGTCTCCGCATCCCCTAGCGTCATCGGCGCGGGCACCCCTCCCCCCCCCCCCCCCCCGGGCCTCCGCCAAAAAAGTACTCACACTCAAAAAAGAGCATGTACTTACAGTGGGGTACTCATACTCAAAAAGAGCGTACCCCAAAAGAGTATTTTGTTATAGAGGTGTACTCAAACCCCCAAAAAGCATGTTACAAAGAAAGACTCATACTCAAAAAGAGCATGTGGTTGCAGAGAAATACCCAAAAAAACGTATATAATGACCACCCCCTCGAAAAAAGAACTCCATCCCGACTCAATCAGCGCTTGGAGTGCTTGAGCAAAAATACCTAACTTCCACCCCTTACTCGGATAACTTCAGCCAAAACTCGGCCCACCGCGGGGGTGGGGTGGAATGATAGGTTGCAATATACTCGAAAAAAGAAGAGAAAGAAAGGTAATGATATCATCTCTCAGATCTATACCACACAGACAAGAGTCAGCCACACAGACAAGACAAGATAAGAGTCAGCTTAAACTAGCTGATCAGCAAACTCCATTTCAACACCCCCATACATGCAAAAGCCCTGTCTGTGAGCACAACCAACAAGAAGAAGAAAACCGCCAGACCATAGACCTACCACATATCTATCTCCCACTCCCCACCAAGATCCTCAGGGCAACTCTTCGGTCCCCTAGGTCTCTCAATGAGGCATGGATCAAAATCCGACACAGGCTGCGCCCTCGCAACCATATCATCCTCATGGTTGATCAGGGCCCACTTATCCGGAGAATCGTTCGCCAGCGCCTCAAGGATAGCCATAATCTTCTTACAGCTCTCCTTCTCCCTCTTCGACAGTAGAATATCCTCCAGGGTATAGTCCAGCACAGTCTTTGAGAAGAGGTTGACCACATGGCAATCGGCACCCATACGCAGGAGATACTTAGTCACCTGCAGGAACCCTCCGCGCACCGCAAAGTGCAGGGCCGTGTCGCCGCCGAACGTGGTCTGGCGGCCGAGGTCCAGCTCGTACTCGGCGAGCTTGACGATGGCCTTTCCATTGCCGTTCTCGGCGGCGATCATGAGCGGCGTGTAGCCGCTCGAGTTGACTGCGTTGAAGTCGGCGCCGGCCTCGATGATCAGTTCGACGATGTCCTCATCGGCACTTCTCGCAGCAATGTGCAGTGCCGTGGAGAGGCAGTTGGCGCGGATGTGGGGGCTGTTGCCCCATGGGTGGCCGAGAAGCAGGCGGATGGTTTCAATGGCAGGATTAATGCACGCCAGGTGCAGGGCCGTGAATCCGGAGCGGTCTTGGACGTAGTCCACCTCGATGTCATCGTTGTGCATGTAGTCTAGCAGATAGTTGAGCATGTCAAGGTGGCCGTGGAAGGCAGCGTAGTGGAGGGCGGTACGGTTGGCGCCGCGGGGGAACGTGTTGATCTCCATGACGGCTGCGGCCTTTTCCTCGATGAGGAATTTGACGGCAGGGTAGTTACCAACGCGGGCGATCCAGAGGAAGAAGCTGGGGTAATTGGCACGGGTCTGGTTGTAGACGGGAATCATGTCTGGGAACTCGGAGAGGATGTAGATTGCGGCGGGGACCTCTTTGACATCCTTCAAGACGAGGGCTTGAGGCGTGGTCCCCATGCTCGTGCCTGAGCTAGCACTATTCCATACATATGAGATTGGGGACACTGATGGTTGAGGTGGGGAGACCGGCGGGGAGGAGCCTGGGGAGTCGGACAGCGTCATGGATTTTGGCGGCGATGGCATTGAGTCGTCCGAGTCCGGTCCCCATTCTGGGGCCGAGCCCGAGCCCGAGCCTAAGTCCTCAGAGATTCTGGCTCTTTTCGAAGATAGCAATGATCCCGAGCCCGAGCCCGAGCCCGTGGTGATTCTGGATCTTTTCGACGATGATGTTGAATCTGATCCCGATCCCGAGCCCTCAAGTGCTGGCGGGGAATTTGTGGTGCAATTTGGTGAGAACGGAGACTGATTCATGGAGGTATCATCAGACGCTTCTCTCCCAAGAGCGAGTCCCCGGATGGGTGAAGTAGCTGAAGTCATGGTGAATGTGTTGTTTTGTGGTTGTCTGTTGACTAGAGATGGGAGAAGGTAGAGAGGGAAGGATGGTGAAATAATTGAACAGATGGGTGGGGGGATGGTGAATAAATAGAAAAATTGGGGGTTGGAAAGGGGGGGAGGCAGATGAGGCCGAGAGAGCTAACGGCAGCTTAGAAGCAAAATCGCTCGTTGATGACATGCATCTTTGGCCACCGGCCCCGCACATGTATACAGCCACCCAAGTAGTTATTTCGCAGCTTCTCCGGGTGGAAATTACTGGCTGCTATTCTACATGTTCACGTATATACGTATACGGCCATCAAATTCACCGGAACCATCAAACGTCTTGTGCAAAAGAGGCGATTGATGCTAGCTGGGGCATAGCAAACAACACATCTAGAGCCCATACATCTATTCATCAAAGAATCCCACCGACATGCTCCGCAGCTAAGAGGCCGGCTAGAATTCTATATTCCGACGAACGACATGAAGATGATTCACGAAGCAGTACAGTGAGGTAACGTAACCATGCGTATAGACATTGCAGATACTCTTTAAAAGACGTCCTCCTTCCAGCTACAGCCTGCACAATTATCTCCCCATAGAGCAGTTCATCTTGGACCAACCCATCGCCGCCGAAGTTCTCAAAGGGCATCTAGTAGATGGGAATTCGCCGGCACAGAGATACCTGACACCCTCCCATGGCCATTCACCTATCCGGAAACAATCTAGATGCACGACACCCTCCCATGGCCATTTCACCTATCCGGAAACCATCTAGATCTATAGAGCCATCCGGACCAGGAGGAAGCATACACACACACACACGTCCAGTCCTCGAACTCGATCCTAAACGGAATTTGATGCCACCCAACAGCAGAAACTACTTGAACTAGCTTGCGCCCCGGAACAATATCTCCCCCCAATACAGCCCCCGCACAGCTTAGTACAGTGATGGTTGTATCGGGCGCGCGGCCGGAGAATTCCCCACCCGTGCCCTCCCGTCGTCAATATCACGAACTTAACGCCCCAACACCTCTGTCTTCATCGAGGTTAACTAAATTTGATATATATATCAAAAAATCAACAAGTGAGGAGTGCTAGTGTGAGTGTGCTCGGGACGGCACCGGGGTAAGCAAGTGCCAAGGCCGAGTGACTAACTATGAATGACGACATTGTCTCCGGCATTAACATCTTTCTGCTAGGCGACTCCGAAAAATTTAATTTTCCTGACAGGGTGCCGAGTCCAATTTCCTCACCTGACCACAAGACTCACTTGCGATTGCACCTCAAGCACCCTGAGATACAAAAAGTTAATTGAGCTTATTGAGTTTTTTTTTTTTTTATCAAAAGGGCCTTATAGAGGGTGAGCGGAAATACCTGATTAGTCGCACACTACTGAGCTCCTTAGTAGGCGCTTTACCGAAATAAGTCACTGATATCTAACCTTAATTCGATCGTTGGTTCGAAATATTCGCCACCGCCGATTCGACAACATCTGTAAAGGAGAACTTCCATCCCACCCATCGCCCCCCAACCAAACAAGATGCCTAATGCGCAATGTGTTACAACTACCAGTGGCGATCGAGACCGAATAGGCCGTCTGCGGGGATGTGGGAAAGAACTGACGATGTTCTCTAGCTTCATGATCATATGAAGTACGAGGAGGTACTAGCAATGCCGACAATTCTGTGGACCCTGCGGCTTATTACCCTGATGTCTAGATACCAAATACTGAAGTCTCCACGCGCAAAAGGGGTCGCGCGTAACTATGGAATTATCGGTATCGCTAGTATTGCATGAGAGTTATCCCTTAAACCGTCAGGCTGAATTGCAACGAGACACTTAAACCCTTTATGGTAATCGTGATATAGGCAGCGCTGGATCTTGCAACCTGTCACGCATGATGAAGACTACAACTTCAAGTCTTTAGGCGTTGATCCTATCATGTTTCCGAAAAGGGTTTAAGTGTCTCCCATTGTAATTCGGCCTGACGGTTTAAGGGATACGTACCGTTCATTTTCGAATAATCCACTATCCCGTACGCGTATTTGTATGTGGTAAGTGCAGACCAAGGCGAATCGACGTACAGTGGTCTCTGCATCAACGACGAAACCGGCTCGATGGCGAATAGGCCAATCGAAGATAACAAAGGCCAACAGAAGCGCGCCGATCCCTTTGCTCTGGCTGGCCATCAGCCCAAAGAGTAGTCATTCGTCATCGAGCCGGGTTCACCGTTGACCCAGAAACGACTATACCAAACTTCACCAATTCGTGCAGATACAGTACAGTGCTTTTTCTCCGAGATCAATATTTGACGAAGCGGGAATAGTGGATTTTTCGAGAATTAACGGTATATACAGCGACAGGTAATAAGTGATGGAACGCCCTGAGAGTACAAACACCAAATATTGGTGGTGTTTTATCAAAATAGGTATCGCTGTGTTCCATCACTTATTACCTACCGCTATACATATACAGTCACACCTCATTGTGTCGTTAGCGTATTCTGGGAGCCAAACCCCTACGATATAGCAAATATACGAGACAGCAAATAGTTTTTGGTGGAGAAGGGCAGTACCTGCCCCGCAAATTCGTACGAGACAGCAAGAGATCCGAGATATCGAATTAAGAGATAGCGAGGTGCGACTGTATCATCATCGGGAATATGTGTATGTGGTGAGCTATTGCGGGTTATCACACTTTTGCTACAATAACCAAATTTTGCAAGCTCATGTTCATCCGAAGCCTAATAGAGGCATAAGGAATCAGACAAATAATTAAATTCTCCTTGCTTTGTTTCTCCGGTGGAGAAAAAATGCGGCGTTGTTTTTTCTTTTTTTTCCATACAAAATCTTAGCTAGCTACAAGTACACGCTACTATACTCACCTTGCCAACATTAAATTACTAATATTTTTCACTTTTAGTTTAAGAGCATTTCCCTAATCCTACATCCCAAGTTTTCCTCATAAGCGGTAAGTCAATTCTGGCATTGCGAGCACAAGCGTCGCGATCGCGTGATAACTCGCAATGTCATCGAGGAGCCCCAAAAGCTCTCTAGATCCAGGGGCGGGTGACGAACTTTGGGCAGGGCCCTCTCACCCTTCCTCCAAGGGTCCGGGCTTGCCCGCGGCGGGTAAGGTTTTAACTTGTCGAAATTCAAGTTATTTCTATCATTGACCATATCCTAGTCGAGTTAAACAATTGCCAAGAACTCTCTTCCTCCGAGGGTCCTAGTCCGGGAGATCTCTCGGGGTACTACTACATGCAGAAGGACGATCGTTTTCGACGACCATACTACCATTCCCACCACCACTACCACCTCCACCACCGCCTCCGCCTCCGCCGCCGCCCCCCCCCCCCCCCTCTCTCTGCAACGGGATATTGAATTCGCACAGCACTTTCTTTACTTTTGGGAATCGATACTACTACATCAGCCAGCCTTGCGGAAGGATGGGCCGGGCTAACGAAGGGCTCTAGCCCTAGAAGCGTGGTATTGCGGTATCGTGGTCATCAACTGGAATAGGTACGCAGGGAGCTATCCATCATCAACGCCACAGGCCCAAAAATACCCAAGTAGGTAATCAATCAATCGGGTTTAGTCCAGTTAGTACCAAGACCACTATTTTTCTATTTTCAAAGTTTTGCGAGGGGCGGCCTTGAAACCGCCAAGGACTGGTGGAACCTTGGGGGATAATGTGCTCGGAGATGCTTGGTACCTGGACGTCGCGGAAATCCCCCGCCCCCCCCCCAAACCAAACCAAACCAAACCAAAGATCAAAGTGAATATTCCCACCAAAATCAAGCAAAAAATGCTAACTTCATAATCGCCCATAGAAGTCACCCCACACACAGTGTCACAGTGTGGTTTTAACTCCATATATAACTGATCAGAGGCAGAGCTTGTACCTTCTTTCTCTCCGCATTTTCGCATTTTCTTGGCCCCCCAGCACCCCGACACCGATCACAACTTGGGGGACATGCTGAATAAATTCAAAGTACTTGAATTAACACCGTTCTTTTGATACCTTATTCCACGTTTATTCCTCTGGCAAACGTTGTCCATCTAGTGGTGGTGGTGGTGATTGACCAACCCCCCCCCCCCCTCCAATACCACTGGTACGACCCCACATCGCATCATATTCAAAAATCCACCCACCCACACCGATACTCACCAGACTGGTTGTATTAAACATCCTTAGCCTCGCAAGCTAGCCAGTCCCCGGTACTGCCCCACGGCCAGATACATGTAGATCGTGCTCGGAGCAATTAAAGCATCGCAGCGCTTTAGACTACTCTACATGCAGGTACGTTAGCTTCATGTACCTACACCCCGATTTTCCCCCCACTCTCTCTATCTATATATATACAGAACAAAAGATAACTATGTCAGGGTCTAGATCTACAGCGATACTTCACGATGTTCTTCTACATCTAGCTAGCCAGGACCACCACCACCACCACCACCACCATCATCGTCACAACAATACCCGCCCACGGATTGCATTTGCGGGTGGCCTCGATGCTCAAGGTGAGTTTGGTTGACACATCGATCAACTTGCGCTGCCCTCACAACTTCCAATCTCCGGAAGCAACACCTCACGATACCCCTCATAACAGATTCACCCCGTCATCGCGTTCATCATCGATTTCGGCTCATGAGCGAATTGGACTAGACTGAGCTAGAGAACTATATGTCCGGGGGACAACCTGCACCGTCCAGCGACGACTGGAGACGTCATGCTTCCGCTGAGGTTGCTGGGCACGAGAATCGAGTTCGAGCCTGAGAGAGCATTCATTACTAACGATCTTGGAGAACATGAACTACCACCCCCTCATTATCGTTATCGGACCTAACAGATATTCCGCACACCGACCCACTCTATTTTTAGGCACACCCCACAAAAACTCCATCTCTCAAACAACCCAAACACGAACATCACCCCCACGATTCGAGCTCGCGCCAGCTCGTGTCCATCACAGAATTCTCGCACAAGCACTCTCATCTTCTTCTCGAGCTCTATTGTATATGCATATAAAACTCCCGCTGTAATTATCCTAGTACTTACTCCGCCATGAACAGAAAATAATCACCTTTGTCCCACACAGCACAGATGTTATCCTGATACATCCTAATGATCTAACGCCATCGCAGCATTATCCAAACATACAGATTATCCGCTGATTATGAGCACAGCTAAGCTAGCTAGCGAGCCGTTCACAGAGTACCTACACAGAGCAGTCCAAGAAGCAGGTAGCCCCATGAATAGAAATAGCTCAACCGGTAGATAGTCGTAGTTAGCACTTACTGACAGAAGCCATACCCGCCCTAATATCACGGGTCTACTCTTTTATATGTAAATAGCTTTGGTGCAAATACTTTACTTGGAAGTATATAGTTTCATGGATCCACTGGCGCTGCTTTTAATTTTCTCGGTGTACAATATATCTAGTGCTAGAATTTGTGTACGGGTAGATATGTAGCAATTTGAACAATTGAATGCCTACGGTATAGTGTGTAGACACTGTGGACTATATCCACATCATGCAATGCAATCCACTGAGTGATACCAAATGATTCACCACCAACACACGAGGAACACACACCCATCTCATCCCCAGTCTCCAGAAAACCATTTTTAAAAACCGCAAATGAAAGGGAAAAAAAAAAGAATCTAGAAATACACAACAAAGTCTCATTGACGTAAGGTTAAAGCTACAGACAGGCATTACTTCCCGAAGACCGCGAAAGAAAAAAAAATATAGCCGCGAAAGAGAAAAAAACACACACAGAAACCCCTTCACCCCTTCATCCCTTCACCCTACCCCTACTTCTGCTGCCCCCCATATCCGGGCGGGGGCGCAAACCCACCCGGCGCCGGCGGCGGACTCAACACGCCCCCTGGCGGCGGCACCATCATACCCGGCATCAACGGCGGCATGCCGCCCATCATCGGCGGCGGGATCATTCCCCCCATCGCGACATCGCCACCCGGGGGCGGCGGCATCCCGCCCGGAAACTGCGGTGGCGGCGGGAATCCTGCCGGGGGGAAGGGCGGCATCCCTGGTCGTGGCGGTGGCGGGAGCCCGCCGGGCTGGCCGGGAATGGGGAAGCCGAAGGGCGGCGGGAAGGCTTGGCCGGGGCGCGCTGTAGGGGTGTTAGTTTAGTTGGTTTAGTAGAGATGGGGGAGGGGAGGGGGGAGCGTACGTGGGAAGCCGAAAGGTGGTGGCGGGAAGCCGGCTTGGCCGGGCATTCCTGGCATTCCTGGCATGCCGGGCATGCCGGGCATGCCGGGCATACCGGGCATACCGGGCATTCCGGGGAGGCCAGGCATGCCGTTGGGCAGGCCGGGCATGGACTGGCCCTCGGCGGCGTAGGAGGAGGTGATGGAGTCGATTACGGACTGGGCTTTCTCATGGCCGATTTCTGTGGGGGTTTGTTAGCTGGGTGGAGCTGGGGGGTGGGGTGTAGGTAGGTGGGTGGGAGAGGGAGAGGGAGAGAGCGCACGTTGGTAGTACTCGACGACATTGCGGAGGTGGTTTCGGCCGCTGTTGTGGGCCTTGCGCACGCTGATGGAGTCGTGGGTGAGGTAGACATCGCAGTAGTCGCCTGTGAGGGAGGGGGAGTGTTAGTTAGCTGCGACCGGGCGGGTGTAGGTGAGTGAGCAGCAGCAGCAGCAGCAGCAGGAGGAATACGTACAGAAGACTGTGATGGCGCGAGAGAGAGAGACTTGTTAGTTAATTGCTTCAAGACGAGACTGTGAGGGATGAGAGGAAAGGAGAGGAGAGGAAAGGAGAGGAGAGGAAAGGAGAGGAGAGGAGAGGGATGAATAGACTGGTGGATGGAAGTGTGTGCGTGTGTGCAAACTCACATTTGGGCATTGTTGCGTCTTGTTGTTTTTCCGTTGAGCAAAGCTGCGGCTCTGAAGAAGAACTTGGAATGAAGCTTTGTTGTTGTTCGCGATTGACTGATGGACGAGGATGGCGTGGGTGCTTCTTATCTCTTGGCACGGAGCAGGGGAGCGATCTGATAACAGCTGCTGTGGTGCATGGATTGTCACTCGGGGTGCTGGCTGTGCATCAACCCTTCTCGACCTTTGGCTCTTCTTGTTCCTTCGGGTCTCTCTATCCCCCCGTCTCCCTCCCTCCCTCCCTCCCTCCCTCCCTCCCTCCCTCTCCCCAGAACCACAACTCCACCTACTCCCACCAGTCTCCAGGCTATCCCGAGGGCCCGAAAGACATATGCTTCGTTCTGGTTTCTGGGATTGGAGACTTGTGACTACGGCGCAGTGCACGATGCAGTGTTCCCGTAGAATCTGTAGCCTGCTCAGCTTGCTATAGCGTCATGAACTCCACGCGGGGGGGGGGGGGGGGGGGGCGGAGTAGCCATGAGGGTTTGTCTTTAATCAACTCCCACCGCCACCGTAGCTTAGATTAGCTTAAAAATAAGTACAATTCTATATACACAATTCTTCTACGGCCATAACGCACTGGGAGGTGCACCTAGCTACACCAAGCCAGACACCTTTCATCATGATCCTTGACTACATACGAGAGACGCCCCAATCTCCAGTGCCCCACAGACTAAGAAATCCTCCGCTCCCCGTCCTCTCGGGCTTCCTCCCATCCCGCAAGGGCACACCGAAGCCGAGTGACACTCCATGACGCCAATCCCCCGCAGCCAGCCAGCCAGCCCGCCAGCCACAGACGCATAGTCGATCGCCGCCACATGTCTCTCTGTCCGTTTTGTGGCGCGTTGGTGGGGGGCCCGAGTAATTGTGTAGTAAGGGGTTACATGCAGTTAGGAGGTTATGTGCAATGTGGAGAAAAGAAAGGGGGGGGGGGGGTGGGGTGGGGAGACAGGCGGTGGTTAAAGTGACGTGGACTTGTGTGGGAAGGTGGGTGTGAATATAGGTGTTTCTCATTTCGTGGTGGATATCTTGGACCTAGATAGAGGCGGGGAGGTGAAGAGTGGTTTTCATGAGCTTTATTAGGTATTTGAATGAGAGTTTGTTCTGTCCGCCCGTGACTGTCTGTGGTGTCTGGTGTGTCTGTCCGTTAATGATACGTAATTCATTTCAATATCTCATCCTACACCAACACATGTAGAGTTCTCAGGCAACCCACCTATCACCCATTCATGAATAGATCCGGCTGGTCGATAACGATAGTCCTGATATACTGATATACGTCGAGTGAGATGTTATGACCTCTGTGATTTCTGCGATTCGAAAATGTCGTAATCCTCTCAGCCATATCTATCCACCGATCTGGTCCATAAATCACCCAATACACGCACAGCCCCAATAACAACACAACATATGAAGAGAGATTTTTTTCAATTAGAAATAATCAGAAGAGTGGAGTCATAGCTAAGTCGCGAAAATAAATGCATAAAAAAAAAAAAAACACATTAAAGTCATACTGTGCGTGAAAAGCCACATGCTGATACGCGTCCACGAAGATCCAAGGAATGCTGGCGATATAAAAGCAAGCGATACACAGAGCAATTTGCAAATATATACGATGCTGATGCTGATGATGCGAGTAGAGAAGCATAACGATGATGATGATGGATGTAGGTAAGGCAGTAAGTAGGGATCTCCTTGAATACATGCATGTTATTCCACAACAACAACGAATGGACGGCAAGCAAGCTAGGAAAGCAGACAGAGAAAACCCATCCAGAAGATCATAATACAAGAATAGTAAAACGAAATCGAAAGAAAGAGAAAGAGGAAGAGAGAAAAAGATGAATAAAAACTCCAAGAGATACTTATGTAATTCAAAAGGAAAAGCAGATGAAAAATGAGAAAATTAAACTGAAGCAAAAAAATAATATAGGGTTTTCGTTGCTCTCCGTTTTTCTTTACTCGTTTTTTGATCGTAGCTTCCCTCCCTCCCTCCCTGCTCAACAAACCAATGCCACCGCTTTTACTTCACCAGCCTAGCAACCAGTGCTGTGTCCATTAGTAACAAAAGTAAAACACTTTTACTTTACCCATGCCTGTTTGTACTTTTATTACTCTTTAACCCTCGAACCCTTTCCAATATCTATCTCATACCGCCCATCCCTTGAAGTTTGTTGGCCAATTGAGGGTACTTCTCTTGCACCTAAAACTCAAAAGATTTCACGAATCAGTACTTGATAGAGAGAATTTGCAGGGGATTTAAGAGTCGGAAAATAGTGATATAAACTCAGTAATCAACAGAGTATTAACATGTAGCCCGAAGGCCTTCAAGTCATGTGGGTGTGATTAAAATCATCATAGTGTGTGCCGTACGAACAAGGGATGAAATGTATAAATGTATGATATCATAGGGCAAGTGCTTACCTCAAGCTGTGTTCTGGTAGCCTCGGCATACGACAAGGCGTTGACAATCTCTCCCTCAGTTCGCGAAAGCTGAGCAGCCTTCTCAAAGTACTTGAGCGCCTCTTGTACCCTACCCTGCTGCAGAAGCAGCTGGGCCATTGTCGCCACGGCGATATCACAGTCCGGATCAACTAAACCCGCCAGTCAGCTAGGTGCCAGAAGTGACAATCACCTAATAATCTAGAAACGTACTAATAAGGGCCCTTTCGCAGAGCTTTTCAGCCTCGCCGAAATCCTGCTTCCACTGGAACAGTGCCAGAGCTTTGTTAATCAATGGCAAAACGTTCATCGCCATTGGCTTTGCCGTCCTCTCCATCTCGACCGCTGTGTCAAACTTCTCAATCGCCTCCTGGAACTTTTGCTGGTCAAGCAAAAGCTCTCCGTAGTAATTGTACACATCTGGGGTCTTGTCAAAGTTCTTTATGCACCTTCGGAATGTCGCCATTGAGGACGCAATCGAGCCCATCTTGTACTGCGTAACACCGAGCTGGATGTGCGAGAAGATGAAATCCCGGTCAAGGTCGATTGACTTCTGGTAGTCCTTGGCGGCCTCGCCGAATTCGCCGAGAATGAAGTGCAGCTGCGCCCTGTGGTAGTAGATATCTGGGTCTTCCGAGTTTTTCTCGAGAGCAGTGGTGAAGTCCATCGAAGCGCCCTCGCGATCACCTGTAATATCCGTTAACCTCCATGTTTATCCCACCATTGTTGGGTATGCAAAATATTCACCAAGTTCCAAAAGCATGCTAGCCCGCTTAATGTAGCTCTGGGTCATTGTGTTGTCCAATTGGATACTCTTGCTCACATCCTCCAGCGCCTCCATGGGGTCTCCCCGCAAGTATTTGAAAGTGCCCCTCCAGTTCAACGCATATGCCTCAAAGTTTGTACCGAGCTGCATGGCCTTTTCAAACTCCTCACTAGCCTCCTCATACCCGTCGACGGACTTCCTCTCTACCGCCTGGAGTCCGGCCCTCAAATGGTAATCTCCAGTCTCTTCTTGAAGCGAGGCAGTGTCCTCAAGACCCGCTGGTCGGTTCTTCTGCCTGAAACTTTGCAAGTAGTTGGAAACGAAGGTGCACGAAGGTAGCTTCTTGGGTCTGGCCGCCAACATCGCCTTTCCTTTTGCCTCAGCAACCTTCTTGAGTAATCTCTCAACGCTCTGTGCGGCACCCTCGTTCCTGAATCCATCGATGATACAGCTGGCCGTGAAGTCCAACAAGGCCGCACTGTAGTTCTCAAGCTGCTCATAAGCGTGAGCTCGGCGGTTGAGAGCCTTGACGTATTCTGGGTCAAGCGCAATGGCTGCACTCGTGTCATCCACAACCTTTTGCCATTGTGACAGAGAGTTGTAACAAGCAGATCTGTTGGAGTAGAAAATTGGGTCTGGTCTGCAGAGAATGGCTTTACTATACAGTTCGATAGCTAGATCAAACTCTTTGTTACCATAAGCCTTATTACCGGCAGCCTTGAGTTTGCTGGCATAATCTTTTTTTTGCTAATAAAACCCAATGTTAAAACAAACCGCACCATAAACAAATACCAAAAATGTACAGGAGCATGTACCTCGGGCGTCAAAGTTTGCACAATCTCCTCATTCACCTCGGGATAAGCTTCCTCTTGTTCTGAGGGTTGAGATAGGTTTTCTGAAACATATATATAATCAGCATATTGAGCGGCCCACAATACGTCATACGACGCCTACAGATGTTGGATCTGGTAAGAGGGAAAAAAAATCTCTTCCAACATAAATAATACCCAATTGGGATTCTCACCATCTGCAACTTTCTTCTCCTTCGATGAAGCCTTGTCCTTGATGTCCTTTCGTCGGTCCTTCTTGGCCTTCCCGGCCTTTCCGGATTCTCGCGACTGTTGCGAGATGTAGTAAATACCACCGGCCCCGGCAACTACCACTACAGCGCCGATAGTGTAAACAACAGCCTTATTTTCCGAGGCGAAAGTTGTTAGGCGAGTCCACAACGATATATCCGGTGGAGTGATACCGACGGACCTAACCGGACTTGAAGGAATAGGAGGGGCTGACATTATGGACGGAGTGAAACGATGGAGGGGTTAATTGGGAGGGGGTGGTGGGGGGGTGGTGGGAGGAGGGGAAGTTGATGGTACTACGGCAGCAGAAGAGAATTATGACGGCCAGTGGCAAGATTGGATAGGTATCTATGTGGCAACGATGGTGATTTTGTATTTATTGAATGCTGGATGGCTTAATGGGTGAATGGATGGAACAACGGAGGGCGGGGGGTGGTGGTCCTGAAGGGCGAAGAAACAGACGATAGTACCCGACTCTGTGTGGATGATGAATGGTACGTGATGAATGGTACGTGATGAATGGTACGTGCACCTGTTGTTTCGCAGTCTATGATGCGTTGCTGCCCTCCCTCCTTCCTGGTCTTTTTTTTTTCTCTCCGCAACGCACACAAAACTCCACGAATCTCTCTCCTCCCCCCGCCCCAACATTTCTGGCGCCCCCCCCTCCCTCAGGCAGGTGGTGTATATAGGCATGTATTATTGCCCCACACTATGGAGGTTCCTGGTATCTATCTCTAATCCTATTTACACTGCTTCCGCCCCTGCTTTCGCGAGGTGCTCGCTTCATCTCTTCCCTCTTTCCTCCATATGTGCGTACATGCTTCTTGGAGACCTTACTTCTCTATGTTTCCTTGGTGTTCCGTGCGTGCAGCACGCTGATAGGTTATCACCAGACCCCCCCTCTGTTTCCGCAATCGGCCAACCCTTGTCACAAATCGATCTAACCTCCCATACGGTACCTATGCAGGACCCAGCCAAGATTCAAATAATTTCTCCCTCCCCCACGTGAACCCTGAGAATCGCTCACGGGAGACTTTATATAGAGACGGGCGCCAGGCTGAAGCCTGAAGGGGGTCGGCTGAACCACCGTTCGATCATAAGATGGCCGCCTGACTCCATAAGTCCGATTACCGACCGTTCAGGGGATATCAAATATGATGATCCGCCTCGATCCCCAGTGCATGGACAGGATCCATTTTTCTGGATATTCTCAAAATACTTAAGGAGGAGGAAAAATAGAAAAAAATATCTCCGGGGTGTCCGCGTGGATACGGAGATATTATCCGCCGTGACTAATAATAAAAAAAACATATAGACGCTGTTCGAGGTCTTCAAAGTCTTTGGCAGGAAGCCGTTTTGGCGTTTGCTCGCAAGACAAATGTCAATGATCGCACGACCACTTATTCTGGATCAACCCTACATCACAGTTTATGTTTAGGACAAGCCTCCAAGGAGCACGGGGTAAAAAAAGCTTATGGATAATATATCGCTAATCACCCATGAGGAGGGAGGGAGGGAGGTTAAATTAAATACCGGCTACATAACCGTAGACATCAAAGACACTGTAGATAGTAGTAAATTTAGCTATGTAGCCACTCCACTTTAATTTCAAGAAACCTCAAATCCCGTGTTTTCGTGAACCTGGTAAACGCGTGTCTATAGTACCAGCAGGTACAGTAATACAACCTAGAACCTTCCCCCCGGGCAAGGCGTCATCCCACCTTCACATACCTCTACCTCCACCACCACCACTACCACATCCCACCACCCACACCCCACCATCCACACCCCAAATGATACCCATCACCACCTTCCCCGCATCAAAACTCACCGAGCACATCAACACCGACGTGCGGACCGGGCGCCGCCGCAAGCAGCCATTCGACCTCTCGAAGTGCGAGCTGCTCGAGATGGTGCAGTGGGACTGCCGGGTCGAGGATGAGAAAAACAAGTGCTGGCCCATCGAGCGGCTATTTCGGAGGTAAGCTTTTTTTTTTCTAAACCCCCCCCCCCCCCCTTCTCCCACACCTGAGAGGGTTGTGGTTAATGAATGAGTGGTAGGTGCAAGAACCCAGCGACGGGAAAGAATGTCATGGTTGAGGTTACGGCGGTAGAGACGCCGCCGTGGAAATCGCAGGTTGATGCTGAGGTTGATGCTGAGGCTGCTGCTGCTGGTGCCGCTGTTTGATAGGCATGAGGGGGGCCCCGGGGGGGGGGGGGGGGGGTTAATGGTATTTGATAGTAGTCGATTTTTTTTGAGGTGTCACCTCTGGCTGCTGGAAGTGTAGGTCTGCTTTCTGGTAGATATCGATAACTGCTCGTTCCAGCCGCATCCTTGTAAGATATCCAGGGTTAGGTTTTTTGGTAAACATCGAGTTGGATCTGGTGATCCTAATATATACACCCCAGCCTATGACATACGAAGTCAATCCTTGAAGCCTGTAATCAGATAGCTTAACATTTTTAGCCCGGTAATTGCTGTCTTTACTAGTCAATCTACGCTTATAAACGTAGACTATTTCCCTAGCCCCCCCATTCGGACAGTTAACGTATTTAGAAAAGAGAAGATCAACGTTTTAAGTGACTTCTGTATACGTGCCTATTCTCCACCAATCCTCATTGACTGTCCAAGTGATGGGGTGTCTGAGTAGCTAGGGAAGCCGTCTATGCGCACGTATTTCCTAACTAGCAGAACTGCCTAGATACTACTACTACTACTCTAAAATCGAGTAGGTAGATACCATTATTTAAGTGCATATACGGACTTAAATCAAAGTATTGTGGGTTGTCAAAAATAATGGGACGCAACAGGCTTCATTGCAACGTAATAATCTCTCAACCATGACCGACCACAAAGAGACCACAAACAGGATAAGTGATAATAAGAACTACTGGAGACCCAAAATGTATTTTCGTTAGTATTGTCGTTCGTTGGTGTGGGGTTGGGTTGTCGTTGCTGTATTCGTTGCCCCGTTGCGTCCCATTATTTTTGACAACCCGCAATAAATACATAGCGGTAGAAAGAGGGCACTAATTGGCTCAAGTCACGGGGACCTTCATACTAACCATTTTCCTTTAATCTTCCTCCCACCACTAGCTAGGGGCTTATCCACCCGGTACAGAAACAGAAACAGTACTGTTCCATACCTTCCCAGGCCCTACTCGAGAGACTCCAATAATGCCAGCTTCTATAACACCGACTACCAATATCCAAACCGCGGCCCCCACACCCCCCCCCCCCCTCCAAACAACAAGAGAGGAATGACCAAAAGAATGATAGCAAGCTTAAGCTCATATATGTAGATACTTTCAAATCCCATTCATACCCATGTCACAGCCTTCGCTCTCTGCACAGGCCCGTCCCGAAAGCCCGTATACACTCCTACTCGATCCCAGATCTAGATATAACATACTACGACCTTACACCCCTAGCCTAGCTCACTTAACCCCCCAACATGCACAGAACACTACAATAAGTACAAAGCACGCCCCATGCCAATCATTGACCCCAGGACCCAGGCTAGGGCGGTTGCAAACTACATGTAGCTATCTATGCTAAACACACCATTATAAAAACCAATGAACCCGACCTCCACTGATCGTGATCAGCCGTACGTACATACATACGTTCGAGGCCGGCCCATATATCGATCCCAACCCCACGCATTCCTAGTCTCAGTGTATCTCTGATGTATACATTGGGAAGTAGTGATATATTTTACATATACTCCCTTTATACTTATGTATATACCGTCGATCCACCGTCGATCCCCTGTGGTGCTGAAGCTAGATCTATAGAGAGAACTAAAAGTATATCAGCTCTGTCTAGCCGGCTATACAATTACAATATAGCTCAAGCCAGCCCAGCCTACACCCAAAACAAAAACCACCCGCCCCCGCTCTACCCTACGCCCCATGCACTCCTGCAAAAGAATGATCCCCACCTTATAATTTATAATTACCTGGAATTCATGTATCCGCGATCATTGACGCCCCCACCACCACCACCACCACCACACAATTAAATTGATATCCAAAGAGACAGCATTAGCTATGGAGTAGTACTTGTACGCGGGCCGCGGGGTCAGGTTCACCGCACCAGTTCGAATTCCCGTTCGGTTGAGTTGGTAAATAGCTAGCTGTGATTCACCCGCTCTGCAGTGGGCCTGGATGGTACATAGATTGCAAAGTGTTTTGTGGTGTTGATAGTGGGTTTAGTAGCTAGTATGTGGATAGAGTGGAAATGATCACAACGCCTGAAAAGGCGAAAGAGTGTTATCGCATCCCTTAATTGTGTAGTATCTAGACGCCCTTGTCGTGGAACGTAGCTATGTGTAGGTACATGTATGTAGTTGGCTAACTAACTGACTAGCTAGCTAGCTAGCTAGTGAATGAATGAGGAAGAAAGAAAGAAAGAGAGGGGAGCCTTATTGGAATGGATATTTAATTAGGCACAGGAAGAATAATAGGATAGGTTCCCACGCCAGACGCGAGATCAAAGCAAGTACGCACAAAAAGAAGCAACAAAGCAAAACGCCAGCTCAATTAATTACTATCTAAAAAAAAAAAACCAGAACCCACACCCACCCTCCCCAACCCCACAAACCCCCCAGAACCCCACTACCCCCTCCTCCCCCTCCTCCCCTTCCTCCAAAACCTCCTCTCCGCATTCACCACCCCCTCCACCCCCCCTCCCCCGCCTCCCCACCCCCCTTCACCCCCTCCCACGCCCTCCTCCACGCCTCATCCCTCTCCCACCGTCTCCCACCCGCCGCCGCCGCCCCCCCCTCCTCCACCACGCCCCCAACCCCCGCCCCCACGGCCAGCAGCTTCCGCAGCGCATTCTCCGCCAGCCGCGCCTCCTCCGTCGCGCGCTCGCGGATCTGCCGCGGCGACACGGGCCGCGACGTGTACACCGGCGTCGACAGGTACGTGTGGCGGCTCGGGTACGGCGGGAGATGGTCGTCGCGCGGCGAGCCGGCGAGGGCGGGGCCGAGAAGCTGGGTGAGGTCGGGCGGCGGCGGCGGGGGGGGGAGGGCGCGCGCGGGTGTAGGGTGGTGGGGGTGGTGGGGGTGGTGGGGGGGGGGAGGCGGTGGAGCTCGTGTTCGAGGGTGGAGAGGGGGAGGTGGTGTGCGCTGAGCATGTCTTGGAAGTCGAAGACGGTGGGGCGCGTGCGGCGGCCGGCGCGCGTGAAGAGTTGGAGTGTGTGCAGCATTTGGAGGAGGTCTGTAGTCCCGTCCGGTCCAGTCCAGTCAGCACAACTACTAACACCAAACACCAAACCAAACACCACACAACCCAAAAGCAGAACAGAATACTCGCAAACGAGACAGGTATAGGAGAGGGGAACAGACAGTCTTCAGCCAGCTGCCGCATGCGCTCCTGCGCTTGCAGGGTGGCGCCGTCAAAGCCGACAGCCTTCATGATCATGGCCGTGCTGCGGTTGAGCAGGTCGGCGACAAGGTGTTCTGGGAGCACGGCCGCGGCGTCGTCGTAGGCGGGGGGCGGGGGCATCGTTGTGCGGCGGCGTTTGGGGGGGCGGGCGAGCGCGCTGGAGTCGATGGTAAGCTGTGGGGGGCCGGAGGGTTTGCTGCCATTGTTGGCTGTGTGGGTGGGTGTGTGGTGAGGGAGTGTTGTTATTGGGGGGGGATTGAAGGAGGGATTGAGGAGTGAGTGAGGAGTGAGGCGTGAGGGATTGAAGAGAGCTGTATACTAGGAATTACGGGGGTGGGTGATCGTGAGAGTTGAGTGTTGGTGTTGAGTGCTGAGTTGTGATATCTGCTGTGTTGAGTTCTACGCATCTCCGACTTTCCAGGTCACAGCATCATCCCTTGACCCACCGCTGACTAACCTCTCCTCTACCTGTGACCCATCCACCTGTGACCCACAGCCACAGCCACAGACAGCCACAGACAGCCACAGACAGCCACTAGACCCGCCCACACACCGCCAAGCATCGCCAGATTCCCCCGTCCGGCCCACCCAACCCAACCCAAAAACCTAACCTCACCTCACCTGATTCCGAAATCTCTTCCCCCCATTCACCCACTCACCCGTCCTCACTCACTCACTCACCCACTCCGCAGCAACACCGCACGGTAAGACATTTCATCTCCGCCTGCTCTCTCTATAACTCCGCCATTCTAACATTGTCGACGACGCCAGGATAAAATACCCCACATCTCCACTCACTTCAACCAACCACAACACTACAGCAAAAATGGCCATCGCCCCAATCGTCGGGAGACTTAGGAAGGGTCTGGTTCTTGACCTGTCTGTGGCTCTTGGTATCGGTACCTGTATGTGCACCCAATCCCAATCTCCTCTGACCTTGCCTTGCCTTTCCCTTCCCTTCCCTCTACCTCCCCGACCGCTGCTGCTGCTGCTGCGGCTATACTACTACTACATGGACGAGTGCTGACGGGTGCGGCGGGTATAGCAATGGGATACCTCTTCTGGTACGGTAAGTAGCATCACCACTCACCACCCCACCACCCCCACTACTCCGCCCGACAACACCGGCAAACCAAAACCAAACTCACGCCGCATGTAACCACAGGATACCACATCCCGGCCATCCGCCAGCGCGATGCGTAAGTTCCCTCCCTCTACCACTGCTGTGGTGCTGGACATGGGGCTGATATGGTACTGGCGCTGGGTACAGGTTCTACGCAAAGATTGAGCAGCAGCGCATTGCCAATTCGCAGTCCTAGACGGGGCGGCCGCTCTTGAAGGACTAGAATGGGGGAGGTAGGAAGCTGATGGGAATTAGAACGGGGGGGGGAAGCTACGGCTTTGTGGTTGTAGGTAGTGGAGTGCGTTTGTAGAAATGATAGTGCTGGTTTTTCCTTTTTTGAGCAATTTTGGTTAGAGCCGAGGTTATGGGGTGATGATGGTGGGGATGGCGGGTTTGCGATTGTGAATTGTGAATTGCGAATTGGCTGGGGATTGCGAAATTGTATACCTCGTTCGGTCGAGCATAGATATTATCATCTCGTAGAGATACTCAATCCATGGTTCAAGTTCAAGTTCTATCTAGCCTCATCCATAATCACACCATCATCTATCACTCGATCGACCAGCCCCACACTCCACTCACAAGGCAGCACTCGCACCCGTCGTGAAAGTGAAACCTACCCGAACCAGCCCCCTCCTCCATTACTAACTTACATGTACCCACCACCTATTACTCGCCCCATCTATCACTCGTCCCATCACTCGATCAGACTCACCCATCCACATCCACATCCACATGCACAACCCATCACTCATCTCGCCCCCCCCCCCCCCCTCACTCCACTCCGCCCATAATCACAGAACAGCACTCACCATCACAAAACCCAAGTACAGTACCCAACCCCAAGTAAACACCCGCACATTACACTACAATCAATTGGCGGACACGACATCTGTTGGTATGTGCACACCATACACACATGTAGATGCACGCAGCTAGGTATGCAGGTATGTAGGTAGAGTAAGCTTATAGCGGGCAGCCCCAATAGGAAGGCGTGCTATAGATGAGCATGAGCATGAGCATGAGCATCATGACTCTACCCTAGATCTGGGGTGTTTGTGTTTGTGGGGGAGCTGGAGCTGGAGGTAAGCTGGCCGGCTAGGCCATGTAGAGTAATATAAAGACAGTAAAGTATGTATGTAGGTGTGTAGATATTCCATGTGTGCTGAGTACTGCACACAGGTGCGTGAAGATAAGTAGAGTAGAGATAGAGTACAGGTAGAGTAGGGTAGGTGGCAGCTATGGATTAATTATTATTGGTAGCGCGCGCTATTGTAGGTACAGTACAGTGCATGTATAAGAGTTGGTTTTTTGCTTCGCGGCGACTCTGGGCCGGTTTGTCGGTGTGGAGATAGAGCACCATAAGCAGCCTAGAGCAGCACAGTGGGTTCTGTTTGTGCACTTGCAACCACATAACTGGCTATATGTGCATACTTGTATATACATGTACCTACTCTGCCTTTGCTCTGTAAACTTGTCGTGTATTGCCAGTGGACGATCGAGTCGATTCCACAGCTCTCGAGCACCTAGGGAGGCTAGCTGGGCTTTATTCGAGTTGAGTTGCTCGAGATGCATACCTAATTCGACGGGTTAGAAGCTAGGGGGCTAGGTATTTGGCCCAATTGGAACCCAGGATCCCCTTTTTTGCCCTATGAGGCCGGCATTGAGCATTCATATCTATCTATTGGAAAGCCCTAGTATAGCAGAGGTGGTTTTACAACCAAAACGGACGAGCCTAGTTATAGTAATAAAAAAAAAGCCGACTCGACTCGATCGGACTCGGCGGTGTTGATCCAGATCCAGGATTGGGATTGGGATTGGGATTGGGATTGGGATTGGAATTGAGATTCCAAATACTGGCATACGTGCGTCCATGTATGTAGCTGGCCGCTGTAGAGTGCGTTGTTTGCCCAAGATCTATCTGGCATTGAAGGCATTGAAGGCATTAATTGACGTACAACGCACATAACGTCCGCTGCGCTATCAATTAGAGTCCATTCATGTGTACTCTAGCAGCCAGGCCATCCTAGCAGCCGTAATTCCACCGGCACCAGTAGAACTGAAGAGAGCCCTCAGTCAGTTGACTTCAACCACTAATTTGTAGATAGATACTGCCTTGGACATGCACCTTGCCAGACGTAAAGTAGATACAATAGATATGCTAGCTAGCCACAATTAACCTCGCTATATATAGACTCTCGTGAAAACCTCCCTCGGTCTCGAATCCCTCCAGAACACTCATGCCCGCCCCCAGACAGAGTTGATCCCACCGCCAAGCCCCATGCGCCAAGCCCCACCACGACGTCACTGCCCCCAAATCAAACCAAACCTCACTCTCACTCTCACTCTCTCACTCTCACCATCCAATCCAATCCTAACAATTCCTCCAACCGCCCGCAATGTTTGCCCGCACGCTCCTCCGCTGCGCAACGAGGCGGCCGCAATGCCTTCCCGCGCTGCGACGCCCGCCGCCCATACTCGCCTCTGCTAATGCCGCCGCAGCGGTCCCACGACGATACCTCTACGAGAACACCCGCCAGTCCATCCGCGACGAAGTGCCCAAAGGCCGCTGGGGCAAGAACCAAACCATGGCCGTAATCGCCTTCCTCCTGTACCCCCCCCCCCCACTATCAATGCCAGTAGTAGCAGAGAGCCCAACCCACTAACCCCCACCCCCCCCCCCCCACAGCGCCAGCAGCGGCATCGCAATCGCCCTCTACAGCTACACCACCTACCTCAGGTTCGTCTCCTCCACCCTGCACAACTACCCCCCCTCCGTCGCCAAAGAGCTCCGCCGCGCCCTCTACTACAACCTCTACGACCAGCCGCAACCGGCCATAAAACACTTCCGGCGCGCGCTCGAACAGTGCGCGCTCCACAACCTCTCCCCGCTCTCCGACGAGGTCACGGGCATAAAACTCGAGCTCGCCGCGCTCCTCGAGAAGCACGGGCTGCCCGACAAGGCCGCCACCGTCCTCGAGCACGTCCTCGACGAGGTCGCCGCCGGCGCAAAGGACCTGCCCCGTGGGACGGAGCGCACAAGACTGCTGAGGCGGGCTGTGGGCGTGGGGTTGAAGCTTGGTGAGCTGTATATGAACCAGGGGCAGAGCGCGAGGGCCGAGGAGCCGCTGGTGTGGGCTGTGCAGACGATGCTGCGGGAGCGGCAGCACCGGCAGCGGGTGGTGGAGGGGGAGCGGGGTGGTGAGGGGGCAGAGCGGGTGGAGGGGGAGGAGGAGGGGGAGGGGGAGTGGTTGAGTGATGAGGAGTCCAGCATGGCGCTGGAGAGCCTCGCTGCGTGTTATCTAGAGCGGGAGCAGCACTTCTTGGCCACGCCGCTACTACTACAGGCGCTGGAGTTGGCGCCGAGGGGCGATTGTCACGCCGTTATCATCAGTATGCCCCCCTCCCCATCCTCCCCTCCCCCCCACTAACACCCCATAGTGAACAACCTCTCCCTCTCCCTCGCGCAGCAACCCCTCCCCCCGCACGCACCCATAACCCGCCACCAGCTCATCGCCGACTCGGCCACAAAATGGGCCGAAAAGGCCCTCTCCCTCTCCAACAGCATCGCCCCGCCGCAGCGCACGCGCGAGTGCGACGAGGGCTGCGTCGCCGCGACCTACAACCTCGGTGAGTTCGCCGAGATGCTAGGTGACCGCGAGGGGGCGCGGCGGAGGTATGCCGAGGCGGCGAGCCTGGCGAGGGGGTTGGATATGCGTGAGGGGGTGAGGAGGGCGGAGGGGGCGTTGGTGAGGGTTGGTGGTGAAGGGGGGAAGTAGTGGGTGGAGGGTGGGGGGATGGGGAATGTAGATATATGGGTGTAGATGTAGGTTAATTGTAGTTGGCTCTAGCATTCCGGGGCCGGCTGCTTGCTACTAAGAACTAGAGGCTGGCTAGCTAGCTAGCGGCGCACTAACTACATTAGTGCACCAATAATAAGCGGAAATGATTGATGTGCATGTTTTTCTCTCCTGCACCACAACCACAACCACAACCACCATCCATCACTCCGCCACCATCCATCATCCATCACTCAATAAACCAATAGATATAGCTAGACCCTTCATTTCAACCATAACTCAATCAACCAGGGTAGAGAATAGCATATGCCCCATTCTACATTCACATCATCAGACAACACACACACACACACACACACACACATACAAATGCAACCTTTCAAAAAAAAAATACGTAACTACTACATACCAGTAACCAGTAACCAAAATAAAACCAAGATGAAAAAACGAGCGAGCGATACATGATCCAAAAAACAGGGTCATCAAAAAGCAATGAGAGTTGAAAAAGAATTACCACACCACCCGCCCACTTATCCACCTACCCACCGCACTTTTTAACCCCCTTCCCCCCCTCCCCTTCAACCTCAACCCCGAACCAAACCAAACTTCCAAACCGAAGACTACTACCACTAGACACATGCCAAACCATCATCATGATCCTCTGTAGCCCAAAAAGAAGTAAAATAAATAGAGTGTAACGAGAGTCAAGAAATATAAATACATCCGAAGATCAAAAAAAATAAATATAAAAATAAAAATAAAACGCCTTCTTCCAGCCGCGGCGCATGCTTTGTATCGGTATCGGCATCAGTATCGGTATATATCGGTGAGTAGAGTCGATGAGGAGTCGATGAGGAGTCGATGAGGAGGTGTTAAGGGGTGGTTGATATGTAAAAAATGAATAGCCTCCTCTCCAACCCTCCGACCCATTCCACTAAAATTCCCACCCCACTGACCCATACTTCGTCCCATCTTTACCCACCATCAAAAAAAGGTCTGCACTTACAGCGAGGAAAAATGCAAACATAAACGATATAAATGACATGCCCCCCCATCCCCCTTTTCTTCAACCCCACTATAACGCCGGTCCCCTCGGCGTCTCATCACTCCCTCTATGGTAGATGGGCAACCTGGGCACATAATCCCTCCCCCTCCCCACATCCTCTTCCTCCCCTAACGGTGGGGTCGGACTCCTCAAGCTCACACCATCCTCATCCACCTCAACCTGCTGCTTCGCGGGCGGTACGCTCGCAGGCGGCGGGTACGAACCCATAAGCGAATGCTGCGACTCCTGATGCGGCTGTTGCAGCTGTGGCGGCGGTGGTGCTGCTGTCGGCGGGTCGTACGAAGTGATTGGTATCTGCGGCGTCGTCGACTGCGGGGAGTTCTCGCCGCGGTTCTTCTCAAGGGAGGAGAATGCGTCGCGGGGCGTAGATTTGTTTTTACGGCGGCGGATGAAGAACACGGCGGCAACGATAAGCAGGAGACCGAGGATTCCGCCGACAACGCCGCCGGCTATGGCGCCGGCGTTGGACTTGCCGCCGCCGCGGGAGGATGTGGCACTGGTAGCACCGCTGGAGGCGGTGGAGTCGTCGCTGGCCTGGGTTGCGGAGGTGAAGGCGCCGCCGGTGGTGCCTGAAGGACTGCTGGTAGCTATATGACGGACACCTGTCGCAGTATCCGACACGCCTCGTGTCGCCGTAACAATGGCTGTAACCTCACTGTTCAAATTCAGAACCGTTGTAACATCATACAATGGCATCCCATTTGCGAGTGTTATTGTTGTGACTGATTGGTCTTCTGGGTTTGTAAGAGTTTTTGTTTGCATGGCGGCCGTTGTCTTCCCATCTGTGGTTAAGTCTGTGGAAACTATTGATTTCTGGTTTACGCAAGATGCATCGGTAGCGGCTGCCACCACACCATTGGTCCTACAGAACGTCTGGCATACAGGGTCTGGCAAGTATACTGCCCTACATTCCAAACCGTAATCTGTTGGGACAGGAGTAGGTGTTGAACTAGAAGCCTGAGCAGCAACGCCGACGATAGTACCCGCCGAGATCCAGAGGACGCCGCATAAAGTGGCTGAAAATATTGATACCGGTCGCATTTTTTTTCTTTTCTCCTGTTAATTATTTATTCCGGCTCGCTAGCCAGGCCGTATAGTTCGACAAAGACAATGCTCACTCGCTATCCCCTCGTTGGCGGTATCAGGGGGGGGGCGGTGGGATGGTAAAAGGTATCGTCGAGAAATACGCTGTGGTAGTGGAGGAAGGGTAGAAAGGGAGAAAAGGGAGGAGGGAGGAGGAAAAGAGCAACAAGATCAGAGATGGGTGGTTGCGGTGGTCATACACACACCAAATCCACTGTCGTACATGTACCGTATGTAGGCAGGCAGGCAAGCAGGCGGTGGACTGATACAGCGGCGTTGGAACGATAACCAATAGTTATTCCAGCCACAATGACAGCAAAGGCACCTAACTGGATGCACAAATGTGTCAAAAAAGCAACAAAGGCGCGAAGGAGGAAGGGTAAAAGGAAGGGAGGGGGGGGAGAGAGAGAGAGACAAAAGGTGTCATCGGCCATGTTCATACCTACTCCAGGTTATTAGGTCTCCCTCTATCCTGCTATTCTCCACTGTGGCATATCGACGATCAGAGGAAGAAGTTGCGGTACCGGTGAAGAAGCACACTGGACGGGAACCCATATTGCTATTGAGTAAGGCTTATAATTTCGAATTGAGTTGGTCTGTGAATTATGTGGGTAGTGGGTTCGTAAATAGAAACCACGAGGTAGGGGGAGGGGGTTATGCATTGTCTGGCGAAAGGGATGTAAGCACTACAGTTTTTTATTACTCGCAAATTACAGCTATGGTGGTACAGTTACATACATGTACCTTTGGGTACCCACTGTCTCCTCATCCCCACTTCTCAACCAGCACTCTCTTGAATGTATGTATGTAGTAATATCACCCACAATGCAAGCCACTGCCACTCAACATCACGATTAACTATTACCACTGCTCAGTCAGTACATATCAGCTGTGTACCTAGGCATGTATCCAAGAGTGAAGAAATCCAGCGGCGCTGGCGAGAGACGTTCCAACATCCATTCATCCACCCATGCCAGTGCAGCCGTCGATGTCGCACAGAGAATATAGGTGTGGGCTGTGGATGTTACAGTTGGGAATGAAATAGCCGGGGGATTAGTGGGTACAAAGGTGTCGAGACAGACGTTTGAGAGGCTTAGCAAACCCCAAACACGGCTAGCTTCGCCCGCCTAGAAATCAGCTCAGCCGCACGATAAATACAATACGGGCAACAACTCCTGCTAATCCCAAAAATGTGCCCCTACTTAACCCTGTCGTTCTGCGCAGAAATACTCCACTGTAAGTAGAGAAAAACATATATGTGAGTGGAGATACACCTACCTACTATATGTACGGGCATAGAGTCTTTTTTCTTGTCCGCTGATCAGGATTATCCGGGGAGGATGTAGAAGACGGGGTGTGGGTCACCGGGAAGACTTTATCTATCTGTTCCTGCCTGGAGGGATGCGACAATGTGGAAACACTGAATGAACAGAAGTGTTCCGTTCCTTTCTTTTTCTCTTATTTTCTGCCGCCTGTACGTTTGTTCTCGCGCTCTTCTACTCTAGGAGCACAAGATTAGTTATGATAGGTAGCCAACCGCGCCGCAGAGGTAAGTGACAACTCCTGTGCCCCCGGAAGGAAGCCGGATACATTTGTAGCAAGTAAAGCAACAGCGACCTGGGTTGAGAGGAGGGAATGGATGTGTAAGAAGTAATCCATGATAATTTCTTTCTTATCTGTGGACTCTACATTACATTGCAATTCTACCGTGGTACTAGGGCAGAGCAGTACGAGGGAAGATCACTTATCCGGTTTATTTTTAATTACTTTCATGTAGTAATCAGGGCCCTACGAGCAAATAAGAATAAGATGTGGCGGTTGCCTCGATCCCTTTGCTCTGCACTTTCTTGCCGTACCGTATCGGTACCATAACTGCAATAAATGACATTTAGCCTAGGCCAAGTAAGTGCACGAATCCGTGAAATTGCTTGTATATCAACGACTTGATCTCCCCCTCTCCTTTTCACATTTCCCATGTTCTTACTACGGCAGACCTCGGCAGCGCAAATAAAGTTTCACGAATGATTCTAGTGTGATGAACCCGACATGAAACGTGAGTCAAGGTTTAAAGACACAGTTATGCACATATAACGATTTCAGCTTGGTTGGGGGGCAATAGCAAACCACATCCTACTATGGTTTCCTCTTCCGACCGTCCCTACCTAGGGTAGATTATTTCCTTTTCTGGTTCGGACGTGATCCCTGCAAAACAGGGCTAGATTCAGTGGCACCCGAGTGAGATTATGTGCAAACATTAATTTAGGGTTAGGGGTGCTGTAATCAGCGGGATCGATCGTTGTGATAAGATAAGATAAAGAAGGGTTGGCCCTGAAGTCCAGACAGTCACAGCCCACCACCAATCTCCTACACACACGGCCCAATCCTGCTTAGTTCGTAGTGTCTTGGCACGAGCGACGCCCACACAACACCCAGCAGAGACATTTCGATTCCCCCGTCAGTAAACGAATTTCTCACGTCCACCCACGAAACCACCACGAAGTTAACGACCCTATTCAACTTCTTCTCCGGTCAATTTTATAAGTCATCATGAGTGGTGTGTGTTTTTTCACCCCCCGTTAAGATGCTGAGGATGGAAATGGGAAACAGGTGGAACGAAATACTGACGTCGATTGGTGGGGTATGATAGCTGAACAGATGGTTTTGCGCGGGACCCTTGAAGGTAGGATGAACACGCTGTTCCGGTGGAAGAAATGAGGAGGGAATTAAGCTCCAGAAATGCTGGCTGCTCCTTGGGAAATCTTCTGGAATTGGAGATGCTAATTTGGATATTGAATATCAGGGCACAGCGGCTGGGTCACTGTAAGAAGAGACACCCTCTCAATGCTATAATGTGGGGGTGGATATTGACTGAGATGGAACGAAATAGTCCCTCGCCACTTCCCTCGAGAACCCCAACATGCTCTTGTCCGCTTCGCGTGACAAGACTCTGATCATCTGGGACCTGTAAGAAATATCCGCTTCTCGCTCGTTTTCACTGCAGCTGGAGGATGCCTTTCTCAGAAAGTTATCTGATGAATTTTTGCAGCACCCGTGACGAGGGAAGCTTTGGTGTCCCCAAGAGGAGTCTCAAGGGTCACTCCCACATCGTCTCCGACTGTGTATGTTCACCTCCGACTATTGAGGAGAAAGAAATTGGAGGACTTCCCCGCTAACAGAGAGCTACAGGTGATCTCTTCCGACGGTGCCTACGCTCTTTCCGCCTCTTGGGACAAGACCCTCCGTCTGTGGGAACTCTCCACCGGTCAGACCACCCGCCGCTTCGTCGGACACACTGGTGACGTCCTTTCCGTCTCTTTCTCCGCCGACAACCGTCAGATCGTCTCCGGATCCAGGGATCGCTCAATCAAGCTCTGGAACACCCTCGGTGACTGCAAGTTCACCATCACCGACAAGGGTCACACCGAGTGGGTTTCTTGCGTCAGGTTCTCCCCGAACCCCCAGAACCCTGTGATTGTTTCTGCTGGTTGGGACAAGTTGGTCAAGGTTTGTACCTTTTTTCTTTGCCCCCTCAAACGCCAGGACCCATGCACCCCAAATTGCGCCGAAAAGAGACGGAGATATCAAAGGATGCTATGCAACTTTATAGTATTTGCTACTTCAGAGACCCATCTAGTCTATGAGACAACCAATCACCAACGCACTGATGATACACTTCCTCTCTCTCATTTTTATACCCACTATCAACACCAATTCTTCTGAGAGTTCTGCATGCTAACATGTATCCCTCTTCAAGGTCTGGGAACTCGCTTCCTGCCGCATCCAGACCGACCACATCGGTCACACCGGTTACATCAACACCGTCACCATCTCCCCCGACGGCTCTCTCTGTGCTTCCGGTGGAAAGGATGGAACCACCATGCTCTGGGATCTCAACGAGTCCAAGCACCTCTACTCCCTCAACGCCGGCGACGAGATCCACGCTCTTGTCTTCTCCCCCAACCGCTACTGGCTGTGCGCTGCCACCGCTAGCTCCATCATTGTCTTCGACCTCGAGAAGAAGTCCAAGGTCGACGAGCTCAAGCCCGAGTTCGTTACCGCTGGCTCAAAGAGCCGCGACCCGGAGTGTGTTTCATTGGCTTGGAGCGCGGATGGACAGACCCTGTTTGCTGGTTACACAGACAACATCATCAGGGCTTGGGGCGTCATGAGCAGGGCTTAGATGGGAAGTTGAATGAAAAAAGTAACTTGAAAATAATAAAACAATGGTTCCTTCTTTTTTTTTTGTGAATCAAATTCAGAAATTTAAAACACAAAAAAAACATTCAAAAATCGGGCTCTTCTAGGTTTCTTTTCTCTTTATCCTTCCTCTATGTCTGGCTTGTTTGTTTTTCCTTTAACTCTTCAATATTTGGCGGCGGTGGGGATATAGGCGTGTGTGCATACCTGTTTTTGTAAATGTACAATGATAGGAGTGAATAAAAAGCTTTTGATACCTCCCTGGCAATATTGTTGTCCAAGTAATGGCGAAGATTTACACGTTAGAATTGGTTCATAGAATCTCACTCGCACATAATTTGCCCAGTACTATAAATAGGATATCGTAAAAATGCACCAGCTTAAATAGCTTCGAAGGCAACGATAGAGAGGAGAGCCGCTGGTGATGACGTCAATAGAAATCATGAGTTTGTGAACGGGAGCCATCAGAACAGGGTTTCCGTTTAAACAGGAGGGAACAACTGATCTGATTCGACCAGCATAGCAATTCTAAACATTCGCTATGCATGCCATAGCTCTAGCACGTGGACCCGTATTACAAAGGCTTGCAGTACTAAGCTGACTCGTATTTGTTCAACCAATGCAGCATTATTATTATCAATAAAGTCCTCCAACAAGTTATATAGTACTAAGACGCGGCCACGCTATATCTAATATTAATAGTAGTCTACAAGCTTTAAGTTACGCCCTAAAACGCCCATCCCGGAATCTAAAGTCAAAGAAAAAATAAGAAAGAAAAGAAAAAAAACTACTTATTACAAAACCACAAGCTCTATGTCCTTGGTATATTTCTAAAAAAACACAATCTCTATCAGTCCAACCACGGCAGTTTTCCCGGATAAAGCCTCGTCGTTATTCCGGTACCTTCGTCGAGCCCGCACCATCTAAACAGCCCCACAAGCTCTGGGCAGCTAATTGAATATGCATTATACCTCCTCATCGGATTTCTGCCCCTTCTCTTCTCACGCAACTCGTCGTCCTCGACGCATGCATACAGGTCAACCCCCCAAGCAGCCCTAGTTGACTCCTCGTGTTCCAAAATCGAGGCCTTGTTAGTGTTGGTTTCGTCCGCCCAGTCTGGATCAATCCCAACGAAAGTAAACGCCTCTTCTGGGAACTGTATAGCTTCCCGGTGGAACCTCTGGAATCTTTCGCGCTTGAATTCATGGGATATGACGATTATGGTTTTGGGGTAGGTCCCTGTTACTTCGTGGAAGCGGCTGATTGAAAAGAGCACGTTCTGATACGAGTCCATTGCGCTTTCCTCGGTGGTGGTTCGTGCAAGGAGGTCCGCTGGTATGAGGTCGCGGGCTGCAGCTAAATTCTAGGTGGACATTAGTCTAGAGCTTCTGATTACTGTAATAATTATAGAGAGCTTACAAAATAGCTGCTACCCTCACTTCTGGGGCCTGTTGAAGCTTTGGTTTCGCCGCTGGGGAGATAACCAGTTAGCAGGAGCTCACAGGGAACAACCATTCCACGATAAAACATACCCCGAGAAAACAAGCAGAGTCTCCGGATTCTGCAACGCAATTGAAACTCCGGCCTCGATATGCTTAATAAATGTTCTAGTCTCGCCCTTCTGGAAATCATTGATAGCCCTACGTTGCCCCACACCCATTAGCACATCCCAACACCCAAAAAGGGGGGATCAACCCACCACTCGCTCTCATCCTCTCCAGCAGCTTTCCCGCCCAACCACACCGCATGACAAGTCACAATAACCAAACTTGTCAACCCGCTCTTCACTTCACCCAGATCCCACGCGATTGGCTCGTCATCGTCGTCCGTCGCATCCCCACCAAGCAGCCAGAAAAGGAGCACAAACAGCAGAGTAACTGCGACAACCAGGAGCTTCCGCGAAAAGCGTGTGCTGTATCGGCGTTTTCGGGAGTAGGTACCGTTGCTCTCGGGCAGGCGTATCGATACGACCATTATTAGCTGTTTTTACTGGTAGTGAGTGACTTTCTGTGCTGCTTGTCCGGCTTTCTTTTTCGGTCCTTTTTTTTTCTTTCCCCCACCACGCGGCGCTGGGCGATGTTTCGTGACTTTGAGGGAGGGAGGAGTGAACCCCTGGGCCTGTGTTTGGTTGTTGGAAAAAAAAGGTTGAGGCTCCGGCTGTGTAGATCTTAAGCTGTTTTAAGGCTAGTAGGGGCTTGGAGGAATAGGAAGTAGCCGAGTTGCGAATTGGCATGGGTTCCGATTCCATTGACTGACTGGGAAGGTGAGGTGTTTGGAAAGGGAAATAATACTGCGGGGATCGCGTGACATGAAATATTCTTTCTATCATAAGGCTAGTCTCTTGAGTTCTTTGTCAAGTTTCACAGTTTGGTAATAATTACATGGTTTCGATTCGATCTCTTCCGATGGATCACGATATATCACTCGGTGATAAACCGCTCTGTGAGTGTGTTCAATGTTGCTTCCTATAGTAGCAAATCGTATAATACAGCTTAATTATAGTATTATGGCGTCTTGAGTAAGTGCTCATCACAAGTGTGAATATCACATGGTTATGCCCAAGAAGGCCGGCCATATCACAACATGAGAAAAGAAGGGCGGAAATGATCAAATCATAAAACAACAAAAAGGACCGCGGCCGACACTTGGGAGACCCTACTAGGAATACAAACCCAAACCATGAACACAGTTGCGAATAAATGAATCAGCCACCGAGCGTAACGTTGGCCGCCTCAACTGGGCCATGGCGACTGATAGTGTACTATTAGGCCTTTTTTTAACTTGATGACCGGGTGTACTTTCTTTTGAAAGGGACAAGTCGCTTTTACTAGATTATGGACAACGATTATATGATTCGTAATTAAGAACGTGCCTAGGTTGCCGATTTCAGTACTGTAAGTCCGTTATGAATATTTTGTAAGGCGTGCTTATACGTGTCTGTATTGCACTGATAAAACCAACTTATGCACGTACGTATATGATGCATTTACAATATCACATATGAAAGTGAGATGCAGATCTAGAGAGGTGCCACGATTCTATATAATATATGATTTTTGAATTTGAACCTGACTTAATACGTCAAATCCCGTTCACACTGCTGCTTCAACACATGTAAAAATAGGAAGCCATAAGCTTCTTGTATGACGTATATATACATTAAGCCAGTACCACCTTTATTCCTAACCATCCACTCACAACATTAGCTCAAAACCCACGAGCAGTGGAAGGTTATTCCTGAGAACTCAAGGCTTCAAGCGTGTGGATAGCTGTATTGATTTTGGATACTCTGGGGCTTCGGTCTTGGGTAACGTATTGAAACGGAACTTGTTGGAAGTCCTATGTTTCGGACCATGACTATGGGCTAAACGTTTCTGTGTAAATACCGCTGAATCGTAATGTGGGATTTTGCCAACAGGGTAGGAAGGGGCGAAAGTATTATATATACAGAGATTATGCAGCCTTATATATCGCGTTTGGGAGGGCTCAACAGCACCTGAAGGATTTACAGTACAAGGGATGCCTAGGAGGGGAGAAGACCTAGGCCTGTACTATAGAGTATTATCTCATTTGCATACTATAATTTGCAATATCGTGTAAGTGATCAAAAATCCTTTGTATTACGGGCTAATAATAGGGAATATCTATTGATATCACAGCCGTCTTTTATTATATTATAGTATAGATGCTACACCGACCCATTATATATATATCAATACTCTAATATAAATTTTGGTTTCCGTTACTCACTCTACCATCACTGACCACTCGCTCTCCAAGGACACGAGCACGAAAACGCTCGAAAACTTTTGATAATACTATTAATTCGCTCTAGCACTCTCGGTGTATATCTCCAAGGAACCTCCTCGGCTGACTACCCATTTGGGCAGCTCGACAATCACGAGTGATATCTCATGATCCCATGACCCCGTGCAACAACCCCACACCACCAACCTCGGAAAAGCAAACCACTGCGTCCTCATCCCACCATGCGTGCTGCAGTCCAGTTCATTTAAAGTTAAGATCCCAAGCCCAGCCCAATGCCCATCAACCACGCGATCGAACCGCTTATCCCCATCCAGACTAGCCAAGTCCTGCAATGTGCAGGGGATTTAAAAAAAAAAGACCTTTGAGTTTAGTGACTGCTGTCGATGGAAATGACTTGAACGTTCCAGAAGGCCCACGACGTTTTTTCCTACAATTTTCTGTATGTAGGTAGAATTGAATTCTGCCTGATCATCGGGGAGCAGTTGATGCACCTCATCATCTCTTCCTCCTTAGCAAGGGGAGAAAAGGAACGATGGATAATGTTGAAAGAAAAATTCGTACATGTCGTCGCCTGCAACCAATATCGGACACCCCCGCAATCGATAGGATAAAACGGAATCAACAGAAAAATTCCTTCTTCTCAAATACCAACAAAAACACCGTGGATGAAGACATATATATGCCACGTAGATTAGCTACTATGAAAACCGAAAGGAAATAACGCCAGCGTAGTAAACACCCCTCCAACTTCCTTCTAAGTCCCCTAGAACAAACAAAAAACAAACAAAAAACAAACAGGAAGGTTATTAAAGAGTAACAATAATCCCCAAGTCCGAGAATAGTGATGAAAGCAACGGAAAAAATACTCTGCCCAACTCACAAACAAGTTACTTTCCTTTTCTCTACCTCCCCAAATCTATAATAATGACCCATCGACTCCCAGCCCCCAACAAATATGACATGCAACACAAAAAACAAGAAAGAAAAAGGAAAGAAAAGGAAAGAACAAATAGACAATGATCCGGTTCGTTTCTTCGCGGCCTGCCGCCACGCTGAAATCGAATATACATACATCCTCCAATATCAATTCAAGTGGACCTATTGTTTCGTGTATTTCGTATAATTATCTGGCTTTGTGTCCACGATCTCGTATCTATTCCCGTAGCCTCAAACTATACACTCAATAGACTACTAGTGCCGTCTCCTCTTGTTTTCGAATTGCATCTTTTCCACTCCAGGGAAATCAAAGAACTCCGACATGGTTCCAATCCTTCTCTTGTTCCCAGCACGTTGTTGCGGATGCCTCCCAGTAGATGTAGGGCTACCAAGACGGAATGGCGGAGGGTTGGTGGTATTAGAGCCGGCCCGGTTCTGGAAGATAGTTGGATTGTGGGCTGACAGTGTTGGAGAAGTGGGTGGCGAATAAAGTTCTGTGTCCGGAAGTTCCTCAAAACTGTTATTGTCGAAGCGTGGTTGTGGAGGCACGTGTCGTGGTAGGTCCATATCGGCACGGAAGCTAAACACCGGGGTTTGTTGGAGTACATCGCTCGACTGTGGCTTTACAGGCGTGGGAGGCGAATTGTTTGCCGAATGTTGTGGAGCCGATGGGCTATTTTGCTGCTGAGGATGCGGAGAGACAGACTCGATATTATTGTCGATGGTAGGAAGTTCTTCACTGTCGACACTTTCTTCCCGGTCCTCGCGTCTGGACTTGGGCTTACTAGTGCCACCGGCTTTCCTCCGCCTCGATAGTGCCCACTGCCGCATCGTTTCTAATGAGCTTTTGTCGCACCTTCCCTCAACCTTCTCCAGGAACAGTAGCAGGTCATCGATGCAATCCTGGTAGCCCTCTACCCTCCCTTCACGGCGGGAGCGCTCCGCCTCATTTGCAGCAGTCTTGTAGAGGGTCGTAACCGAGAGGGCTGTTTGTTTGAATGCAGCTAGTAGCAAGGTTGAAGAAAGCTGATCCGTGTCTTCGTTGGAGGGGTTGCTGCGGGGGAGAGTTGAAGAGAGGGATGTTAAATCCATTTAGACGAAGGTTATTCTGGTAGGTGAAGGGGTGCTTATATGACAAACACAATTCTCCAAAATCGTAGTCGAGACTGTATGAAGTGTGTATCGACACACTCTATAGGTGATAATGGTATTAACAGTGTGCAGCGATGGTGTGATGTAGTGAAGAAGATGAGAATGAGAGGGGTGTGGGGTTATGATGAGAAAGGTGGGTGGAAATTGGGACTAAGATGGTGTCAAACGAAGGGAGGAGTAGACTAGTGCCCCGATGAGATTAGGTGGCAGAAAACGAGAGTCGTGGTGAAGTCTACTGGTGGTTTAAATCAAATGGACGAGTTATAGGCAGGAAAGTAATAGCCAAAGAACACAAATAGAAGGAGGTGAACCTTGTGACACCAAATGACACCAAACCAAACCACGACTAAGGATGATCAACCGGAAATCAGAGGTTGAACAGACAGACAGAGGCCAGAGGGCGAATGCAGTCGATGGTGTGTCAGTCAGGTCCACAGGTCCAGTGACGCCTGCAGGCCGATACAGTAGGCTAAGCCAGTAGGGTAATCCTGGATGGCCGATGATTGACCTTCCTTTGGTAGGGATCCACAGTCCCGAGAAGCCCAGAGAGACCTCGAGAGGCCGAGAAACCTGAGTGATACTAGATGAAGGAGCAGGAAAACGGCGGTTAGAAGATTCTCGGCGACGGAGTCGATGTCATTATCAAATTCTGTAACGCCACCTTCAGGAGCAAGGATGAGTAAGCAAGCAGTCTTCAGACTGGCTTGGCGGGGGTGGGTTTCGCGTGGGAAATAATCTTCGGCGACGCGCTTGGATTCTGTAGAAGGCATGTAGTAGGTATAGTGCCTGTACAGCGGGTTTCCTTTGCCTGCCTTCTCTTCCCTCGCCATACCTCCTCTCAACACCAACCTGCCAATTATTCCCTTGCGAGCCCACCTATCAACCTTCGCACAATCCAATTTTTATAAACTCCAATAGATATCACCCAGGAGAGGAAAGCGCGCGAGAAGAAGACATGGTCAAGAATAGAGAGAGCAGAGCCTCACTCCCCGACTCGGAGATGGCGGACGAAAGTAATGCACCAGCTACTACTAATACCACAACTGACGGTTCAGAACACGAGGCAAACGATGACGGTGATGTTTCTATGGATGTATGTGCTCTGTTACCCCAAATCCTTTTGCTCAGTGCTTTTGAAGCATCTATGCTATGTATTTATGCTATATCGATAGCTTACAAGCGCGACTATAATTTCAGGACGCGGATAACGTATGCAGCAACTCTTGCGGAAATGGGATGGTGGTGATTAACTAACATTGTGATAGCAGGAAAATGAAAACGAAGACGAGGATGGTGATGACGAGGAGGTGGATGAGGAAAACGACGACGGGGATGATGAGTCCGTGGCACCAGCAGATGGCCGACGGCGCAGATCGTTCGCGGTATCTAAGCAAAAGAAGGCTTTCGGTAAGAAGAATGAAAATTTGAATCAGAGAAAGGTACGTTTCAACTCTTTGTGAATTGTGGCATTTACTCGTCCCATTCCTACGCGCGTAAAGTGGATGTCCGAACAACGTGCAGTTCTGACTTTTTTGGCTTAGGAAAACGACTCAACCAAGAGGATTCGCTACCTCCTTGGTCTGACAGGTAATCATCGCCCTTAACACCCGTCTCGCAAAACACATCGTGGCTGACAGTTCCTCAACGCAGATCTCTTCCGCCACTTTATGGGCAACAACCCCGACTACCTCCGTATCCAAGCTGAAGAGGAGGAAAAGAAAAAGAACTCAAAGGGCAAGAAAGCGTCAGCTGCGGAAAACAGGCGCCGGCGTACCGAGCAGGAAGAGGATGAAGAGCTTCTCCAGGACGAGGAAGGCGAAGGAGAGGCTGCAACCCTATTCACAGAGTCACCACCTTTCGTCAAGGGCGGCACTATGAGAGATTACCAGATTGCCGGTCTGAACTGGCTGATTTCTTTACACGAGAATGGAATTTCTGGTATTCTGGCCGACGAGATGGGTCTCGGAAAGACATTACAAACAATTTCGGTATGCTCCACTTTCCGGATCTTTTCCGCAGAAGCTAATATTCGGACAGTTCCTTGGATATCTGCGTCATGTTGCTGGCGTGAATGGGCCTCATTTGGTCACTGTTCCAAAATCCACACTCGATAACTGGAAGCGAGAGTTTGACCACTGGACCCCCGGTGTCAACGTCTTAGTACTACAGGGAACCAAGGAGGAGCGTGCAAAGCTTATCCACGAGCGCGTTCTAACACAGGATTTTGATGTTATGATCACAAGTTATGAGATGATTCTGCGAGAGAAGACACACTTGAAAAAGTTCGCTTGGGAGTACATTATTGTCGACGAAGCCCACCGTATCAAGAACGAGGAGTCCGCCCTAGCGCAGATTATCCGTATCTTTAACTCCAGAAACCGTCTTCTTATTACCGGAACACCACTCCAGAACAACCTCCACGAGCTATGGGCGCTGCTTAATTTCTTGCTTCCTGATGTATTTGGTGACTCCAGCGCATTCGACCAGTGGTTCGAAACACAGGGTGGAGATCAAGATATGGTTGTTCAACAGCTACACAAAGTCCTTAGACCATTCTTGCTACGTCGTGTCAAGAGCGATGTCGAGAAGAGCTTGCTGCCAAAGAAGGGTATGTTTACCCAATTATTCACCACAACTGTGACATGCTGACAACTTACAGAGGTCAATGTTTACATTGGCATGTCTGAAATGCAAGTTAAATGGTACCAGAAGATTCTTGAGAAGGACATTGACGCCGTTAATGGTGCCGGCGGTAAGCGTGAATCTAAAACTCGTCTTCTGAATATTGTCATGCAACTTCGTAAATGCTGTAACCACCCGTACCTTTTCGAAGGTGCTGAGCCCGGTCCCCCATACACCACCGATGAACACATCATCGATAATTCCGGAAAGATGGTCATGCTTGACAAGCTCCTTAAGCGTATGAAGGCACAGGGTTCCAGGATCCTCATCTTCTCTCAGATGTCACGTCAACTTGATATCCTTGAAGATTATTGTGTTTTCAGAGAATACAACTACTGCCGCATCGATGGTTCCACTGCCCACGAGGACCGTATTGCTGCGATTGACGACTACAACAAGCCTGGTAGCGACAAATTCATCTTCTTACTCACCACCAGAGCCGGTGGTTTGGGTATCAACTTGACAACTGCAGACATTGTCGTCCTCTACGACTCAGACTGGAATCCCCAGGCGGATCTCCAGGCTATGGACCGTGCGCATCGTATCGGCCAGACCAAGCAGGTGATGGTCTTCCGCTTCGTTACCGAGAACGCCATTGAAGAGAAAGTTTTGGAGCGTGCTGCCCAGAAGCTCCGCCTTGACCAGCTCGTTATTCAGCAGTCTCGAGCACAGCTACAGACTAAGGCCGCTGCATCAAAGGATGAGCTATTATCCATGATTCAGCACGGTGCAGACGTCGTCTTCAAAAACAGCAAGGACAAGGAGAATCAGATTACACAGGACATGACCGATGATGATATCAACGCAATCCTTGAGCGTGGTGAACAGCGTACCAAGGAGCTAAACGCAAGATACGCTAAACTAGGACTCGATGACCTGCAAAAGTTCACTAGTGACTCCGCCTACGAGTGGAACGGCGAGAACTTTGCTGCAGTCAAGAAGACAAATATTGGCGCGAACTGGATCAACCCCGCCAAGAGAGAGAGGAAGGAACAGAGCTACGGTATTGATAATTACTACCGTCAGGTCCTGACGCAGGGCAGCAAACAGGCAGATACGAAACCCAAAGTCCCTAGAGCTCCAAAACAGGTATCTGTTCATGAGCATCAGTTCTATCCCCAGAGACTGGTGGAGCTCCAAGAGATGGAGACTGCATACTTCAAGAAGCAGCAGGGCTACAAGGCTGTTCTCCGCGACGGGACTGAAGACACACTTGAAGAGCGTGAAGCTGCCCGTATCGAAGAGCAAGAGACTATTGACAATGCCGTGCCGCTCACCGAAGCAGAGCAGGAAGAGAAGACTCGCCTCGGCGAGCAAGGGTTCTCAAACTGGTCCCGAAAAGATTTTATGTCCTTCATCCAGCTATCTGCCAAATACGGAAGAAAGAGCATCTCCGCTATCGCCGCCGACATCGAGAGCAAGACCGAGAAAGAAGTGCGCGAGTACGCCAAGGTCTTCTGGGACCGTTACAAGGAAATGCCCAGCTGGGAGAAATACATTGCCACAATTGAAGCCGGCGAAGACAAGTCTGAGAAGATCACCAAGCAAAAGAAGCTCCTCCGACGGAAGATTGAGATGTACCGGGTTCCCCTCCAGCAGCTCAAACTCAATTACTCTGTCTCTACCACCAATAAGAAGATCTACACTGAGGAGGAGGACCGCTTCCTCCTCGTGCACCTGGATAAGTTTGGCCTCGACGCCGAAAATCTGCACGACATGATTCGCGATGAGATTCGGGAGAGCCCGCTGTTCCGCTTCGACTGGTTCTTCCTGAGCCGAACGAGTCTCGAGATCTCACGCCGCTGCACAACGCTTATCATGACCGTTATGCGCGAGTTTGAGAATGAGGCGACCAATGGCACCACTGCCACTACTGGGACCGCGAAACCTAAGAAGGGCCGCGACCGGGAGGAGGAAGAGGAGGAGGAGCGCGGCCCGCCAGCAAAGAAAGGAAAGGGCGCGGCGGGAGCGGCGAAAGAGGCGAAGGTTGTTCCTGCGGAGACGAACGGCAAGTTGCCGGGGAGACCCCCTAAGGTACGTTCTGGCCGGACGCGGCCCCCCACCACTACAGACTAACAAACAGACTAAACCCACCCGGGTCTAAAAATAGAAGGTCCGTGCTGACGTAGTCCGGTGCGTGCGTAGAACAAGGCCGTTGAACAGGCAAAGAAGGGGGCAGAGAGCAAAGCTACGAGTGCGGCGACGAGCAGGGCATCCAGTGTGGACTCCAAAGTTTCGACCGCTGCGGCAGCATCGTCAAAGAAGGGTACCAAGTCAAAGAAGAAGTGAAAGGGGGGTAGGACATAATTAGGATTAGGAGGAATGGGCCATGCACACTTAGGTATAGATTTTTTTTTAAAAAATTACTTTTAGATGTTCCTGTAGGATGGCAGAGTTGTAGGGAGGAGGCGTTGATATTCTTTTTTACTTGTTTCTTCTTGTGTGTTCTTTTCTTCCATGTTTTATCGATGTGCAGTAAGGATCTAGGTGGGGGGGATTGGGGGGGGGGGGGTATCAAGGTGGTAAGTACTACTTAAGTAGACATTAGTACGGGTAGGTACACGCAGTAGTAGCTAGTAGTAACAGCGACTCGCAGAAAAAGGGGCGAGAGGGTAGGGGTGAAGGATGATATCTGTGGTCGGCGGTTTGGTTTGGTCTTGTATACTAGTTTTACATGTTCTGTTCTGTCGTATATTCACCTATCCACCCACCTACGTGTTTTCCCAGAATCTGTGAGTCTGTATATCTATCCTGTTTGTGATTGCGATCATATGTGCATAAATGTAGAGTATGTAGACCGTGGAAGTATGTCGCTGTGCCGTCAGTTCTAGTCAGGGCCAAGCCATTCATGTCTCTTCACCCCTGTGGCGTACGCGGGAAGGGTTGAAACTTGAGTATTGTTATTATTTATTGTTGGGGCCAGTGAATCTGCACAGCTGCGGGTTTGTTGGAGAACTATCCCGAGGCACCAGATAACAAGCTCCAGTGCTACATGTAGTTATTGTTGTTGTTGGAAGTTAAGGAGTGTATGTACAGAGATATGTAGGTAGTGGTGAAAGCTAGATTGAGAGTACTTTCTGGTACTGCAGTCCCCGCGATAATAATAGCTTGCAGCTTGTTGCTACCGGTACCAATTTTATCCCTGCTT